CAACTTCCGCGAGTCGTGAATAAAGGAAACGCCGATGCTCGGCAAAATCTTATTTGCAAATCTGTCAGACTAATTGAACGTTTCACCAGCAACGTTTCGTGGACCATGCTTTTCTTTTGAAGGCATTATAGAAAAACCACCTCGATAAATACATGTTTTCGAACAATACTATCAAGTTTACGTGTAATTTAAATTTACGCGGAAGTCGAGCAAATTCGTTGGGAAATTCGTAGAAAATATAGTAGAAAAGTGTGGAAGCAAGCGATTAAAAGTAATAAAATGCGAGAAAAGGACACGTGTACTAATTCGTAGGATGTCGTAGAAGTCTAACTATGAAATACCGGCTAACTCGCTCCTCTTCGACGACATCGAACGTGGATAGGTCAAGAGGAACGTAGGTGGTTTCAGAACGATACCGAAAGACCATAATCGTGGTTATCGTCTAATAAATAATACCGATAGGTGGTGGACATAGTTCTCATCGGGGGACAACCGAAAAATAAAACCCTCCATCTAATCGTTTCATAATCGATTCGGTAATACGTTGTTCGCAATCTGTCGAGTCCGCGATAGAAGTAAAGCCGTTTCAAGGACTCGCGGCTTGCACGCAAAGTGTTGATTATAAATGATACCCGACGATCTCGATCGGACACGAAGATCTGCCAAGAGATCGTAATCGAGCGACTTTCAGTTTTTTCGCTCGATTCTCCTTGCCAATGGTAAACACAGCGGCATGCAATCGTCGATGTAATAAAGCTGGTGCGTTGCAAAATATATAGACTAACGCGGCAAAGGGGTCTTAGATTTATGTTTTCTGTGAGGCAACGTACACCATGACGAGATCGATGCGAAAACCGGCCAGCGAGCGAAGACGCCGCACAACTAAGAATGAAAGCGTGTCGAAACTCGGGCTTTGGTAAACTTATTGCTTCTCCTCGATCTTTAATATTAGCAAATAATAGGTTGTCGGATTTATAAAATCGTTTTTATGTCTTTTCGGTTCTGTTTAGCTGGAAGAAAGATTCGCGATAACACTGTCACGTATCGACACGCGTCCCGATTACGTCGAGCGCGATTTTAATTGCGTTCACCTTAACGAGCTCCGATCTAATGACTCCTTGATTGTTACCTGACACCGACGTAACGAAGGCGTTACATTATATCGGACTGTCGGCAAACGTAAAGTCATCCTTGAACGAAACCTACGGAGACGATGAACGTTGCCTACGATAGGAACTGCGATCTATCATCCGCGAGAAACGCTGACGTAAGCTAATTATGGAAGCGCAATGGGTTTTTGTAATTTTCCGGTTTTGGAGAACGAAGGGAATTGTCCCTGCGTTTTCAGACTTAAGATTCCATTTCGAATTCCTAACTTTCAGTTTTACCGAGTACCACGATATTTATAGCCATTACCAAAAAGTCTATCAACGGTTCGAATAATTTAATCGATACAAAGCAAAGATCCGAGTTGTAATTCGACCGGGATCGAACGTGCTACAGCGATAGAGAAAATCCGGTTTAGCAATCGTAGGTGTCGTCTACGAACAAAATAAGCTCACTCTGCCAATAACGTGTTCTACGCAGAACGAGTATCGAAACGCCTCGATATGGCCGCCAGGTTGTACTTTACAGAGAGTCCTCGACAGTATTAAACTTGTTCGTAGTATAACGGTAAATAGCTGTAAATGATCAAACGCTTTGTATTCGAATGTATCTAGTTTTGAAATTTCATCGGTACTCTGCGATTCTCGCGAACGAAACAAAGTTAAATCGTGGCACCTGGTAATGGCATCTTTCTTTTGTTACACGGTAAGAAGAAAACGTAGCCCCAAGTGTCTATCGACGTAGACATCGATCCTCTCTGGTCTAATGCATTCGTCGATCCCATTGTCAGTTTATCGTTCGGTTTAATCCGCGCATGGAAAGAGGAAGACGATCGAGGTAGTTGAATTGTTGGAATATCAAACGAGAGGGACAAACTTGAACGAAAAAATCAGTGTTTCGAAGTGTCGCGTTACGTGGGGCCAGCACAGGTGCGGCGCTTCGAGGTTGACCAGTGTATTGAATTCCACAAAAATTCTTCACGACGCCTCTCTTTAAGCGTCGCCCAGGCCATTCTCTCGTTCGGTCTCGCTCGAGCGATTGCTCTTTCTCTCTTCGACTTGCTATGCCTTCTGTGTCGGCAAAAATTTCGAGATATACTGGCTTGGCAACAAATACCTGTCACCAGCGACACCGCGCACTACCAGCTATCGAGATTCGGTTATGAAACTCCTATTTGGTGCCGCCATTTTCTTCCATTGTCTAGGATCTGTTGCACCATATACGGGTCGTGGCTTTTAGTCTTCTTTTACATACATTATTTCGTTAATCCTTCGAAACGATTCACACCAATTTCTACACACTTCGTATCGATCACCACGTGATCATTTTATTATCAACACTCGGGCGCTATTCGCGTTGTAGAATTTAGTAAATCCTTGATCTTTATTTACATTTACTCGACTCGGTAGTTTTCGCAAAAATGAATATGCGAAACTTTATCACGAAGCAAGACAACAACCCTAAGCACCTGTCTACATTGTGCAAAGGGTTTCTATTGGAAAAAGAAACAGTCACGAGACTCGAGCTCCATTTACCTGTTATACGAAGAACTCACATTTGGCAACTACTATAAGAACCATGGAACAATATGAAATTAGCCAGAATACCAAAAATATTTCGGGTCATCGTTAACAAACTAAGAAAGGCTGAAAAGAAAAAAAACTTATTTCTTTGTACAAAAAATGTAAATTATGTTTGCTTGTTTGTTTATCGACAAATAAATCTTGGTTGGTTACTTGAAAAGCATTACAGTTCTTTCGAGAGAAGACCCTGTTCCTCTAAACTCGCGAACGTAGCGATTAAAATTCGTAAGATCGTGTCTCGATCTAGATGGTTTGTGCGCTGCTCGTTTGATACAGTCCCGGAAGATCTGTAGGGTCGATTGGCAAAAATGCGAGGCAAGGTTGCTTCCATATTATTTACTGAATCGACCACGCCCGGCAGAGCGCATAAATCGTGGCCGCAGCCTCACTCGACGTTCCATTAGAGCAGTTACCTTCGATCTGGAGCATAGTGCCGCTGAAAAACAGACCACAGGGAAGAAGAAGAAAAAAAGGCAGAGAGCCTCGAACCTTGGGCGGCGGCCAGCGGCGAAGGTAGGCCACCGCGGTGCGAAACGTGACTGATTTACGTGTGAAAATGGCCAATTAACCGGCGTAATCGATGTGTACACGCGTGTAGTACGTACCGAGGGGCCTCCGCAGTGTCAAAGTCGCGGAAATGCTCCGTGTTCGGTTCGGCTCTGGCCCTGAAAATGGTTGCGGCCGTGCACCTTGGGACCATGCTTCACGAAGCGAGGAAACGACCACGACCACGATCACGACGAAACGCAACGCGACGCGACGCAAAAAGTAACGCAGAACGTTACCAGCGTGCCAGCGGAATTGAAGAGTATCACCGTTATGCAACGATCAAACCGGAATGTCGAGAGCGGGGCTCCCGTGGCCCCGGCTGAACGCCGAAATTCTTCCTCCGGGGAGTGGTGGAAGCAATCTTGACAACTCGTTCTTCTCTATGTTATGTTTTGAACCGTTTCGTATGCAACGATGCGTTTTTATGCGATCGATGCCGGTGAAACGTACGACACCGCGACCCGCAGGTAAACGTGTCGTAATAGACGACGTGGGAAATGTTGAACGTTCACCTCGGATGGCTAATTAATATTGACGTTCGATACGCGGGGAAGGTCAGGGAACTCTTTCGATCGAATAGAAAAGGGGGTGTTTGGTATCGCTTAAAGTACACCGTTTCAAGTGGTTATTCGATCTACTTATTGGTAAATCCAACTGCGGTCGAATAGATGAAACAGAGGTACCGTAACGGCACGTAGTGTAATATTCTCCGGCTCCACGCGATTGCAGGTGGTAGACATTAGAGATGGCGTGTATTGCTACTTTTGAATCACTCGTGATCATGGTGATTTTTCACAGTGATTCGTGATCGCTTTTGATTGGCGGGGAGCGTTCTTTTCACTCTTCACGAATTACATATGTCCTTAGACTGTATATGTATTATATTATAATATGGTCTAAAAGCAATGTTAACATAATTTTCTTATTAGGAGAAAGAAAAGTGATAGATAGATGTAAGTATAAGTTTCATTTCTCATTGTTTCAACTTTCGTTTCATAAATGTTCGTTAAATTTGTCAACAAAGTATACGCAAAGCTAACCTGTTTATAATTTTAAATTCCAACTTATTTCTTTATAATATAAATATATACAAAATGTCATATTGATGTATAAAAACTTACTATGAATAATGTTAAAAATTAAATTTATATACATGTCACTTACGTTATAACTTTATGCTTAATATTATCATAAAAGCAGTTCAGCAAGGTGTGATTAAGCGTATAATAAATATATTTGTAATAATGTAAGAATAACAGAATATAAAAAAAATTTAGTTAAAATCATTATTAGAAGAGCCAATTGTAGCTAAAGCAGCTATTATGAGTAAAAACCTACTATATACTTTAATATGCAAAGCAGGAAATATTAGATGAATTGGCGAAAGGATATTTTCAAAAGCTGGACTAATTTAAAACCCTCAAAATTATCTATGTTGTTATTTTTTAAATAATAACCCAGATCTAACCCAGCCTTTTCCATTGCTTAGACTACATTACTATAGAATTTAAATTTGTAAATCTTTGAATTTCCACCAAGGGGAATTAGCGAAACACTAACGCTACTAAAACATCATCTTTCGGATCACGATCGTGAATGGAGTTTAATCACGAGATCGTGATTTTGTGATCACTGTGATAAATCACTGTTAGTGATTTTGCACGCCATCCCTAGTAGACATGCGGGCCAGGCAGAAGTGTAATCGATGCGACATTATTGGTTACGCGATCAAAGCTTCACGTCGATTTACGTTGGTTTCAGATCGAGGCGACGGCGACGGCGACGGCGACTACGACGGCGGTAGCGGGTAGCCCGCTTTCCTGGCACATCCCAAGGCCATCGTTGGTCGGACGAAGCGAGAGGGACAGCGAAAATGGTAGCTGGGCTCATCATCTGCACCCGAACTCCCCTTCGCGAGGATCCACATCGTCCCAAGGATCTACCGCCAGTACACACGTAAGCAACTCGCACGCTAAAACCGATCATCGAAGGTAACAGGATCGGTTGCCAATCTGACGGTTGACTATCGAGCGTGAGCGTATCGAGTGAAGATTTGATCGACGAATCTTTGCGTTTGTGTGTTGCAGAGTGCCGCGTCGGGCACGTTACTATTGACAGCCGCGAATCTCGCGAATCTCGCGGCTATTCATCCGCCATCGGTGACCACGCCGAAACAGATGGACACTGCCTCGGTGGCGAGTAGCACTCACTTCACTGTTGTGAACGGACTAGGCAGACCAACGACCGTCCACAGGAAATCCTGCTGCGCGAGAAACCAGCTCACCGTGCTCGTTTGCACGATGAGCTTCCTATTCATGGTCGGTCTGCTACTCGGAATCCTTTACATGGAAAGTGAGTATCATTCTTGAGCAATCCAAAGCGTCTTATCATTTCGACAAACACTTTTTCGACCAAGATTCAACGATTTCGATTTCGGAATAACTTGTTCGATTCTTCATCGAAGTTGCTGTTTCTGCGCAACTCATCTTTAAATCTAGTTTCCATGCCGTTTACTTTTGATTTCAGTGAGAATTCGCGACAAATATCACTAAGGCCGAAGTAGATGAAAATTAACGATGCACGAACGAATCAACGAAGCGACGAACAAGACGGAACAACTACGAAGAATGGAAACGAGCGAAACAGAGAGGCAGAAAAGTTTCCTCGAAGACACAAATTGGCGAACGTTCTTCGTTATCAACGACCGTCTTATTTCTATTTACAATGTACATGTGTATTTTCAAACACTTTGAGCGTTAGGACAACTCGAAAATTAGACGTTCTCGTTTAGAGATAAAATTTCGACGGATGTATTCACAGTGTTCGACGCGTGGTACGTAAAAACTCAGTAATTACATTCCTGTAATGAACTTTGTTTTAGAAGACACGAACGACGTAGCTCAACGCGAACGTAACCCGTTTGGAGCGCTCAAGCATTCCACGCAAGGACTGACGAGTCCTCTAGAACCTTTAATTCTACGTATTTTATTTTTCTCTTTTCTCACCAAGAGAGACGACGATGCAACGACTAATATGCTTTCTTCCATTCGAGCCGATCTGGCGAATTTTCGATCGATCGCAGGTTCATGAATCGGATTAATACCATCTTAAACCGATAAGGACAAAGGACGGTGCAACTGTTCAAGATCGATCGCGTAACAAGATAGCGACGTCATCGTCTAACAAAGTTACACAAGTCGTATAAATACTTGTTCGATTAATATTAATGGACAGTTCGGAGCAATCGACGAAACAGGAGTAAACTAAGCGGATGTTACTTTAGAGGTCGTTATTTAATTGTTACTAACAAAACGCCTGAATGAAACCCAGATTCTGTGAGGGTGTCGTTTCAGGAAAAATGTACGGAAAAGCAACGAGGAGCGAACGTGTCAATCGCTTCTCGCAACTGTGATATTACTTGCGTATTAATTAATCGTCGATTCAACAAGAAACTGTCGTACCATAAGGTAAACGATACGGTTGTTTTATTTTACCTCTCCCCAGTCCTCCCAAGATGAATAGATTCGCCAATTGAAAAACGTATTTAATCAAACAATTTAACACTTTGGCTGCCACGTCACCCATATATGGGCGACAAGACTTTCCCACTATGGAACTAAAACAATTTATACTCTAAAATTAAAATTGAAATGTTAAATAAATTTGTATAGGACGAATTTCAACGTGATTACGAAAATAAGTACCAAAAACAAATTTTAAGTTATACAGTTTACAATTATTTAAAATCGAAGTTTTGATTTCGTAAAAAATTGTACGGTTTTGGTGTGGCAGTCGACGTGTTAAACATACATTTAGAAAACAACATTTCAACGAATATTTTACTTGACTGCTGACTCTTTTCTTTCTCTAGAAAAGAGACCTTAATATTGTTGTTGTTTTAAATAACAGGAACAAATGTTATTTACACAAGTTGTACAAATTGTCCGAGGCAGGTAATCGGCTCTACAACTAATCACCTTCCAAGATAGTCGGCTACTAAAATATCCGAGTACTAATCTTTCATCTGCGTTATTGCACGTACGTTTCGTTGTTTCAGATGTAAACAAACGATGTATAATGTATTTGAACGCTGCTTTGCAAGTTAAATATTTCGAAAACTATCAGTTTTTGCAACAAACTATAGCACCTCAATGTTTTTATTTGGAAATATCGTTATTTTATGGAATCATACTATAAAAATCTGAACATTCCATATAATTTAACAAACCTGCTGACCCTTGAATCCCTTTCATGCCTCCGTTCGTAAAACATTAATTACTATCGTATTATGACCCCTTCGATGTCATATACATAACCACCCTAAGCAATGTTTCGTCCTATTATTCGCAATCGTGAACTTATTAACGTATAATTAATGTTTAATAGCGTGCAGAATATTTGCAACAATCAGATACGCATACCGGCAATTTAAAATGTTTCTTTTTGTTAGACATAAAATTATTTCGCGACTATAATGTAATGATTCGTAAATCATCGTTAGCGTAAAAAAATATTAAATATGTTTAACGATGCGTCTGTTTCGATTATTTTAAAATCAAAATATCATAAATTTGTTTTCATACATGGTATATCTGTGGTACTCACCTCCACATCCTGAAGCGTCTGAGTCCATTTGTAGTTTGGCAAATCCGCACCGTTCCCACTGTTAGGTCTGAGTTTGTTCTTTTCTTTTTCGTCTTCTTCCTCATCCTCCAAGTTATCCTCTTTCTTGTTGCTATCGCTATTATCGCCGCTAGGACCAGGTATCGCGGGTACCTGCTTTGCTGCTTTCTGAAAAAAAAAAAAAAATACGATACGTTTTAAAAAGTCATAACTTTACGCGTACGTATTAAATTGCTTCTTTAAGGCATGAAAAGATAGTCTCTGGACAAAAATTCATTTATCATATACCTACTTTATTATCTATTTCCTCTTGTAATTTAATAGCCTGTTCGTCGGTTAATTCAACAATTTTGGATTCAGAATTCATCTGTTCCTCTGCTGCTGCTTTCTCCTCTCTTTTCTTCTTTTCAAGCTTTTCTTTACGTCTCCTTTCTTGTTCAGCGCGCTCTGCTTTCTCTGTGGCAGCCTTAGCAAGAGCCGTAGCTTCGTATTTTTTGAAGTTACTGGTAACAAGCTAAAATACGGTAGAAATGCAATAGCCTCGATTACAATATTTGCGTTTATTAATGAAACGATTGATATAACGTTGTTGACTGGTATACGAAAAATTACCTTTTCTGCAGCTCCTTCGCCTCCTCCCGTATAGAAATCCGTTTTTCTCGCGAGAAAACTGAAGATCGTGTCTAGGAGCTGAAAAACAAATGACGTTTCGTGAATGATCTAATTTATTTTAAAAGAATACGTTCCGTGAACGTACGAGTTCCTAACCTAAACCGGCAACGAAATGGCACTCACCTCTTGTGCACCGCCCTCGTGTTGCTGAGTCATTGCCAGCAGCATTCTGTCGAATTTCTTCTCGTTTTCCGACATCCTGCTTCAAATTATACAGAATACTAATTACCGTGTACCAAATAACAGACTTTAAATGCTCAGCACTGACGTTAAAAACCAGCACACTTTGTTGCTACACCACGTTTCTACTGGCTTCCACTCGTGAAATGTCGTGATTATCGACCAAACATGCTCGTTGGCGGTGCACATGGCGCCCTCTGACACAATAAGTACGCATCGCTCTGAATGCTCCGCTAATGATCTATAGATCATTTAATGTGTCTGTAATAAAATGAAATGCAATCGCTTCGTTGTTTCCAGAAGCTCTTTCTAATGTTCGTACATTGAAAAAATCTCTTCTATGACCAAACGTATTTTATTTGCCAGATTCCTCTTTAATTATTTTATTTGCTAATAAAACCACAGACGAGGTATATGAATAGACCTTTCACCAACTGTAATTTTACGGCCCGAGTTTCTGGGGTCCCGGGACCCCATTACCATTTTTATGTCACTCGCAACGTTACCAACAGATTCAGAAATGAATTTTAATCCCTTTCATAGTCAACTCACATGGATTTACGCAAAACTACAGCTGTTTGCCTATCAATACTAATTCAGTGAATAATTTCTCAACTGACCGCCATCCATGAGAAGAGGACGCTGAAATCACCTCCGAATTTTTCGCTCATTGTCAGTATGGCAATTGTTCGAACTGACGTACAAAAAGACAACAATTAACGTCATACACTCTTCCAAAGTGGAACAAAATGTTAAAAAGATCATGTATCAAATTGTAAGGGGATCGTCGTAAGAAGGCTTTAATCTTCGTAATGGTTTTAAGGGGTCGATGATCAACAATGACTAGCTTATGGTCACTGGTGGTCAACAGTGAGGTGGACATCAAGGTCAGCGGTCCAGTGAAGATCCAGAAATGGTCAAGAGGTGGGACCAATCGAAATTGTTTCTTTGTAGACGAGACAGTCTTATCTGTTATCTTCAACTTTGGCTCTGACTGGTCTCCCCACCCTTTCATCACCTTAGACATTATAAGCAGGGTCACTGCGAAGATTTCTTCAGTCGCGTCGCGAATTCGGGAGTGTACAAATAGCCAGAGGAGAACCGGGGACCGCTGCTGACCACTACTGGCCAGCGCTGACCACAGCTGACCATGGCTGACCACTACTGACCAATAGTGACCATGGCTGACCACTACTGACCAATAGTGACCAATACTGACCACTACTGACCAATGCTGATTCGCGTTCCTGCCACTACTGACCACTACTGACCAGTGCCGGACGGTGATGACTACGGTAAGAACTGTTTAAAAATTCTCTTCCCTCTTCAATTCTATCATTTGATGCCAATTTTGCTTCAATGAACTGATTTTGCCTTGTTTATCTAACCGATGTTTCTATAATATGAATATTTTCTTACTTTACAGCTGGCCCTTATGGTAACTACCCTATGTACTGACAACAAGTAGTAAGTCCACTCCACTTATTTATATTTTATTATTTTTATTTGTTTGTTTGATGTGAATTCAACTTTATTTATCTATCTGATTTTATTTGGTTATTATGAATGTTCCTTTTCTCTGTTTCTACTTTTACATTGTTTTGCGAATTTACGTGACTGCTTCGATATGTATAATATTGCAGGATATAATAATATAATATTGTTTTCAATCATACACTATATTTGTTTCTATACAAATTCGTGAATTCATATTTTTACGTTCTTGCTCGAATTCTCGTAATATTCTACGGAGGTACTTTGTTTGATTCTTCCATTTCGTTTGATTGTTTGGTGTTGATTCAACTTGGTGTCTCGATCCAAGTTTCTTTCATTATTAGGAGTGTTCGTTTTGATATGAATAACATTGTGTCGATGCATATACCGTATTTGTTTCGATGTCTCTGACTCGTTTTTTCGATCGTGTTCGTTGTTCGACACTGATTAATATAAGATTTTTATTTTTACTTCTCAGCTTAAATTCTTGTAACATTTTGTTAATATACTCTGTTCAATCCCCTTTAGCTAGGTGATAGATCATTTTGAAGTGTTTATTAAATTTCCTACCATATCTCACTAATATACATATGAGTTTTGATTTCAGTTTAAATTTGGGTTAATCGCAAGGACATCGAGGGAGAACGCCACAACCGCCGAGGGACCTTTAATTGCAAGTTGATTAGTCTTAAGCTTCGTCGCGAGTATTAAAATTAACGTCAAAGCCTTCTTTATTATACGTATCTCCGCGTCCTACCAAGCAATTATTCAATAAGTAGCTTGTCTCTCGCTCGTTCCCTCGTTCCTAGCTTCGGTCACCGCTGTTTCATCGATTGAAACATGTGATCGGCCGTGTAGCTGATCCGAAAGATCTAATCGCCTTCCCTTTGGTAGCTCGATCGAGGGAAAATGGTACTTTGCTGGAAGGTGTGGAGTTTCCGTATTCTGCGGAAACGCATACCTTCCAGCGAAAGTCGACACTGTTTCAGGTACTCTCTCTATGTCAGACAACTTGAGTCGGGTCCTTCGGGCTCCCGGCGGGTTGCATTGGAGCAATGGAGACCTTCGATTCGGAGTCGCAGCCGTCCGTTATCCTATAGAGATCTAGTTAGCAAGGGCAGTAGGTTCGATCCTCGGATCCGCTGCGCGGTTCAGCGTCGCGTCGCGTCGCTTCGCGTGCCCCTCAAATTAACTTCGTCCCTCTTTTTAACCAAATAATTGCTTGGTACAACTAAACCAGAACACCCAAGGAACTTTGTTTCCTTCTATCGTCCGAATTTTAGTTTTAACTTGACCAGACTTGAGCTTCAACGTTAATTTTAAGTCCCTATTGTATGCGTCTCCCAATATTGCCAAGTAATAATTTAACAAGTAGCTTCTCTCGACTTCGATCACCGCTGTTTCATCGATTGAAACATGTGATCGGCCGTCCAGTTTGTCCGAAAGATCTAGTCGCCTACCCATGATGGATCGATTTCTAGAAATAGAAATCAATCTACCAAGGGCAGTGTTGATTCGATCCGAAGATCTGCCGCACGGTTCAGCATCGCGTCGCGTCGCGTATCCCACAATATAGCTTCACCCCTTTTCAAACGAAATAATTACTTGGTACAACTAAACTAGAAGATCGAAGGAACATTGCTTCCTTCTATCTCTCTAGTTTAGTAATCCAGCTAAGCTTAGCTAAAAGGGAGATCGATGGAACTTTGATTCCATCTATCTCCCTTCGGGTCTCCACTCGCAGCAACCTCCACGTGGTGAGACCTGGGGATTATTATTTACTATGTAATTAATATAATTATTAATTAATTAATATAATTATTAATTACATAGCAAATAATATGAGCTAATGGCTGCATTCTTCTTATAGTTCCACATACCTTCTTCGTCCTGGTGTGCGGTCTAATAACACTGATTTCGAGTCGCAAATACATTTTTGCCGAGTTAGTTTTTAAATAAATAATATATTACAATTTAAAATAAAAAATAGAGGATTTGCGGTGTATTTATCAATGAGATCCTTACGTATTTTAATAATTTTGAAATCTTTAAATAATCTCAATCGATTGGTTATTCCAATGAAATTAATCGATTAATGTCCAATGATGGACCCTACAGCTTTAATTCCGTTCAAAAATAATAAAATTTATGTAATTTTATTTTCTGTCTCACTTCCTCTTGTGTTAATTTCTGACTCTGTTGATAACGTTGCGAGTGACACGAAAATGGTAATGGGGTCCCGGGACCCCAGAAACTCGGGCCGAAAAATTACATTAGGTGAAAGGGCTATTCATATACCTCGATTGTGCTATCACACTAATTCAGTGAGTTTCTAAACTGACCGCCATCCATGAGAAGAGGCCGCTAAAATCACCTCCGAATTTTCAGGTCGGTATGGCAGTCAGATTCGGCCACGAAAGTCCATAAGGTGAAAGCACAGACGAGGTATACGATCATATACTTGGTCTGTGTTTCTATACTTCGTTTGTGGTCCATACCATTAAAAAATAATAAAATTCCTGTAATTTCGTTTGGTATCATAATGAGCGCTATGATCGTTTTCTATATAGCCTGTTGATAATGTAGCGGGTGACATCGAAATGAAAGTGGGGCTTTTCAGAACATGCTAAATAAGCTGTGACAATCATCTAGGTTTTTCTTATGTATCTATCTGTACAGTTGTATGATTATGGAATAAAATCGTTATATTTTTAGTCATGTTTAATTACGTGGTTTAGTTATCCATACCATTACTAGATGGTAGCATGATGGCAGTGATACATTAGACAATAAACTTTATAGGCATTGATTATTATTTAGAAAAGAGGAAGGTACAAAAGAATAAACCTTTCTATCTGTTGATCTTATCTACGAACCTTGATATAAACACAAACCTCGGTCTGTCTTATCGATACATAAATAGAAAATCAGACAGACACAACAACTAAACAGTTATGGTATCAATTTTAAAACTTGGAATATTTTATATTTGTGACTAACAATATTCATGAGACAGTCGAACGCATACAGAATTAAATAACACATAACTAAATTGTTTTTAAAACTGGGGGGTTTAAATGGAAATATTTTTCACGTATGTATCTGCATAGTATGCGATAGGAGTACATTTTAGCAGGGAACAACTTGTCGTTGTCTTAAATGTATTCTTACAGTAACTATTAAAGAGAAAATTTATTACCAAATGATAAACAATCGCCAACGTTTCTTGTTTTCGTCTTTGTACTCTTGTACCGATATCCTGCGCGCTAAGAAGTCCAACCATTCGTATGCACGCCCGTCGTATCTGTTTCCTTTCAATTGTGGACGTAAACTCGTGTAAATAAGCAAAGCAAATATACCCAAAGGAATGTGTTTTTACACAGTTTCGAAAATAGACGAGAGACGAAAGCAGACGCATAAAACGACGCCTTGGTATCAGTCTTCTCACGACCAAAAGCTGAAATTACGGCGAACCGTGCATCCTTCGCCGTGAATCGGCCCACCCACGCGATTATTCTCGAATCGTTGATCAAAGAATCGAGATATGCCCCATGTGGATATGTTTCTGTACCAGCTTCGCCAGATGGCACGACACCGCGGTCACCTGTTTACCTGAATTTTTACCTGAGAGGCTCTAGCATCAGGGCCCGAACGACCGACCAATCGCTGCGCCGACCCTGGGGCCCCACTCCCTCCACCTCCTGCTTCACGCCACTTGCCGCCTGGCTCGAGTGCAACGGGCTACGTAGTTCAGAAATTCGTCGGCTGTACGCGCGAAACCGATTTCTAACGTTAGCTTTCGCGGCCGCTTCCATCCAAACTGCGTTGCGTCGGTGCACACGTACGCGCGCTTTAATTTAGTGTCTCGGTCCCCTCGTGGAATATCAACAGAAGAAGCGAGAACAGGTGAGCGATTTACCTCGATTCGTTATCACGCGTTACTGCACGGAGCATAGAAAGATTGGCCCCGAGCAATGTTCACGATGCAACGGAGCCTACGTCAAGTGCAATTTCACGATACGAATGTTATCAATTTTTCGCGTCAGAAAATCGTGATCGACGATGAAGTAACCTTTTACAAAAATTCCGATCGTTGGATTTCAACGTCGTTCGGGTACATTCTCTTCGACACTTTGGTATACCTGTCGTTCAATGAGTCAAACTCGACGATCGTCGAACGTTGAAGCGCCATCGAATACGCAGGAGGAAGTTCTCCGACACGCCAACTAAGGACATTCTGTCGTATCGTCTCGTCTTCGAGGACGTTGAATATTTTGTAGGCGTATTCGTTCTACCACCAGCACGCTTCTGTACACACGTTTCCTTTCTAGAATGATCGCCCTGACTGTTTTTTTTTTTTTATTAAGGTCGCACGACTCCTGTTCATTGCTGCGACATTCGATGAACAGAACACGTAGGAAACTGGCAGAGATCGTCTCTTTGCTTCGCGTTTCTCTCTTACTCGAGTCTTCAGAGTATCGATTCAATCCCCGCATTCTTCTCGACGATACATTTAACAAGCACTGTTTGGACACGTGACCACACCTTAGTGGCTACCATTTAGTCGTTTGCAACCTTTAATAGCATACAGTTACGAACGAATATTCTCACAAAGTAATTTTGGAGTAGAACTTTGTTATTTCTTATTCAATTATAACAAGAAACTATTAATGTAAATATCTTGCATGATCAAGGTTCAAGCTGAACATAAAGTAAGCCGGAAGTATTATGTTGAAAAAGTTATTTTCAGAATGGGTATTTTATTCTGTGACACGAGAAATAAAAAGAGAAGCGTTTACTGTGTTCCACTCGGGTGGAAAAATTTTAATCCGATAGAAAACCAAACACTACATTGGGGTCTCGAAGATATCTAATACTTCGTTAAACATAGGAGTGGTACTGTAATTAATGGGGTTATATATATATCTCTAGTATCGATGAACTCAAATTTATTGACATTTTATCGGGATTTTATAAAATAATTTGATAAAAGGTTTTAAACAAGTCTTACGCGAATTTTTATTTTCAAATCCACAACAACCAGACAACGTACATCGTCAAACAATGGCTTATTTTTAATGCTTTTATGCTAAATTCATAAGTTTGTGGAACATGATAAAATAGAGTCTGAATTTATGAAAAAATTAAAGTTCTTTACGTTCGGCTTGAAACTTGTAAAACAAGAATTACTATTTTTATCTACTCGAATATGAGGAATAGCATATTAAGTAGAAGCATGGCGAGTTAGGTCATCGATAAAGTATTCCGTCCGCCTCGTCGATACTTTTCATCAACAGTAACTTTTCAATTAATTCGTTTATCGTAGCGTAGTAACGTGATTTACAAGAACCCAACAATTGTCGAGGGTCTTACCTGACACGAGGCATTTAATTAATTTCATTCCCATCACGTAATTGGGCATGCACGTCACGGAAGTACAACGTTCGTGAACAGCCATGGACAATCTGCACGAATCAATTTTCACGATTAAACGTCATTGTCGTATCCGTTTACGTAAAAGTACGCGTCGACGTTGGTACGTGACTGACTTAATGTCTTCGGACAACAATTTAATTTTAGACTTTTCGACCACTACTTCGTGGCCAAATAATAATTACACAAACACCGTCGACCATATTTAAACGAATACTTATCGTCGGTACGTCTGCAAACATTGTGTTAGCTTTCAAATATATCACACGTATACTTAAACTTTTTTGCCTGGTCCAAAGTCGAGATAATCATTTGCTACGGTTGATTAATGCAAATTAATCGTGCAATAACAGTTCTTCGAATAGTTTATTCGCCGTTTCAATTATTTTAAAAATTGAAAATTGGTCACTTCGTTGATTCGACGAATTCGACACGAGTTTTCTACTCGGAGAACAAACGAATCGCAACGTTATCAGGCACAGATGTGCGATTCCTCTTGTATACCTTTGTGCGCTTATCAGCGTTGGCAGATTAGCGTGCATTTTTGCGCCCTCATTGGCGCCGACCGACTGTGAAACAATAGAGCTGATAAGAGATACCAAACGAGAGGAGGTGCGTCCTAGAAAATCGGTCGAAAAACTTTCGTTCTGTCAAATCTCGAGCATGTCTTGAAGGTTCGTGTTAAATATTCCTCTGATCAACGGTGTAATCGAAAAAGAGTAATAAGAAACGATCGAAGAAGAAAATAGTTTGAATAAATTTGAATTCGATATTCAATTTACCATCCTCGAGTTCATCGTTTTTAGATTATACTGTATTTTATTTACCCTTTTTTCCATTATCTTTGTACGTATACTGTTATCTGAAACCCTGTGGGCAAGTGGATTTATTTGAAAACGCTCTTTTAAATCTCGGATAACAGAAATCATTCCCAGCGTCACTATCGATAAAAACTTGAATTTTTATTGTAGAAACCGTTTCGTTTCGTGACACATGCGATACTAAATCCCGAATGTATGTTTACAAGCTGAGAAACGCATGTTTATGAGAATGAAAACGAGACGTACGCAGAGAACGGAGGGAACTACTGCGAAAGAAATGGCTGTGCTAACTTTAATACGATTTAAATAACATTGATGCGACTACGTATAAACATAGTACTCAAACATTAATATTAATGCGAGATAGCTATATTTTTACGTAAGCCATGCACACGTCCTATCGTCATCATTGTACATCCATAGATTATACATATGGAATGCCCTCAAGTTCATGACATACATTTTACACGCGTGTAGCACTTATCATAAATGAATAAAAAACAATAAGTGGCACGTTGAGATAGGATAATGATTTATTTTTAAAAACTGTTATGAGAAAAAGAGATCACTTGTTGTTTAAACGCTTCTCAAAAATACATCTTCCAATCCATCTTATTCTGTTTCTTTTGCCCGTATTTCTGTTTATTATTTTATTATTGTTTGATCGAGAAACAAAGAAAGAATCCGGTCCCTTTAAATCTGTCCTGGTTTCAGCGAAGAGACGTTCCCATTGCTCGTTCAATTTAAAGATAGAGCGGATGTTAACAGTACTGCCTTGCATGATCGGAATCCCATTGGTCCATTGTGTCGACACAGCTGTGTTGGCCAAAGGTGTAGTACAGTGAATCCAACGGGCAATGAAACAAAACAAAAAACCGGACAAACGGTCAAAATGTCGATGAATGATCTTCCATAAAAATTATGACTCAAACAAGACATATTTATTTTATACTTTGATTCCGAAATATCGGAACAAATGATCGTTAGCTCGCGTGGAGCGTGTACGCCCCCCAATGCGATAAATTCGTTATACATTATTCAGATTTCTCGTATTGAAAGTCGATTTTTTCAAGTTTGATTTCAAGTCGAATTCAACGACCCACCATTCGATATCGTTCCTTCCAGTTAGTCCCAAATTAAGAACGATGGTATTGCGTATCATGCATCGCGTTGCATTGCAACGTTACAAACTACTCTCTCTGAGCCTAAACAGACATCGAACCTTTTTGTCTTTCCTCGCGTCGTTGCATTTTAAACGATCGGTTTATGGCGTCCCTTTAACGAGTCCTGAAAGTTGATGGTTGTAAGCTAGTGGTTCTTATCGACTCACCCAGTATATGAATATTGCGATTAAGAAGCCGTTCGACGACCTGCGTTAATCCAACCGCACAAAAAGTCTATCGAGCACACGTTTATGACGCTCGGCGATGTAAAGTGTTTTTACTTTCAACTAAACAGGAGAACCAGGTGCGAGTTCAAAGACCGTGAGAATCCTGGCTCTGAACGGCCATGTGCATTAATCAAGACGTCATGTTCTAACGTTAATTTTAGAAACTCGTTTAGAAACCTTGTACCGATCAAATAATACTTGCATCGAGAGATAAATATAGATCTATCAGTTTGGGTACTTTAAATTGACAATTTCTTTGTAGTAAATAGTATATCCTCGAGTTCTGTTCTTTTATGACTTACACATGGATACACTAAATGATCAATTAGTCCAACATTACGCCTATTGTTTAATTATTGTTCCAGTAAATATTACATTCAATATATTTAGTATTAAAGATTGCAGTATGATTAAATAAAAATTGTAATGAAGTAGTTACTTGATCAATGTCGGGAGTCACTGTGTATAGATGCACGTGCTAGTAGTTCTAAAGAGGTTGGAGAAACCTAAAAATGCACTTACCTTGATAAAACCTGCTATCTCCTGGCACTTTACCACGCGGTAGATAGAACAATGGAAGTAGACAGAAAATGTTTACACCTCTAATAATATTCCGTATCTTTGTGTTGATTCGCACGATTACATAATAGCAAGGTCCGCGTCCATTGGGACGATCTATTTTCGTTTGGGAGAAGCTCGGAAATACTGTTCAAGCTTCTGCATTAGTATTAGCGATTGTGAAAGCGGACGGACCGCGCGGAATGACGGTCAAGGTGTCATCGTACCGTGTCGCGTCGTTACCAGCGACATGTGACTGATAATCGACTTTACCAACAGTAACTTAGTCGATCTTGCAATTAGTCGTATCAAATCGTTCGGAACGAAGCTTGTATTGAAATCAGTAACGTAGGTCGTAACGATCTTTCGTTTCTGGTTAAGATCAGAGAAGGGCAAAATTTTGTTCGGCTAACCCTGGGAAAAATTGTAATAGGGGATTCTAGAGGCCAAAATAAGACGAAAATCATGAATACCAATTTATAGATGGAGGCTTTGTTAAAAAGTTATTAACATTTAAAGTTCCGCTCGTACTGAATTTTTTTCTCGAAAATGCGCAAAATTTCAGTGGTATGTCTATTCACCAAATATGATTCTAATTGACCCCCACAGCCAAAAATAATTTTTTCAGAACGATTTCAAATTTTCTCTGTCGATTTTTCATAAAAATTCGTTTTCGATTTTTAATAAATTTGTTTCACGCTGTACGGAAATTTTATTTAATACTTTCTCGAAGGTACCAATGAGCTCTACTTCAGAAATAAATTTCATTTAAATATATTCACTATTGTAGGAGTTACGGTCGTTTGAAAATTTGACCACTTTTATGGGGTCTTTCTCATTTTACGGGGTGAAGGATCAACTTTTCGAATATTCTTGGAATTTCTAAATATTCTACGCCAAAATACGCGTTGTTTGCATTTGGAAACTTCAAAATCCTCCAATCCGTTCAGAAGTTATGATGTTTTAAATATACACACATTATATTTGCAGTAATGAATTTTTTTCTCAAAAGTGCGCAGGATTTCGGTGGTATGTGTAATGACAAAAAATAATTGTAATTGACCCCCGCAAACGAAAATAATTTTTTTAGAACGATTTGAAATTTTTTAATTTAATTGTTAATAACTTTTTAACGAAGCCTCCATCAACAAATTGGTATTCTTGATTTTCGTCTTATTTTGGCCTCTAGAATCCCCCATTAAAAGTTTTCCCAAGGGTGGCCGAACACCCTGTATATAACCAATGGGACGTATAGGAATTAATTCGATGAAACGAATAAATTTTTTATCAGATCAAAATTATAATAATCAACCATTTATCTGTTACCCGTCGAACGACACTTGTAATTTCAACGACAGAATTAGTTTAGAACGTATAGAATAAATCGCTATACGCGGTGGTTATATTCGTTATTTATTGTTCGTACAAAATTTTACTGGTGTCTGGTGTACGAGCCGAGCTCGGTTAAAATAGGTCTATTTCATACTCCATAATTTCATTCTCGTCCCGATGCCTCCGGTGAAGATCAGAAACGATCGTTCCCAGCCCCTGAATGAATAAATACCGAGTGGAAGAGCAGGTTTGCCAGATGCTTCGATTATCTTCTTTTTTTCCCTTCCCTTCGCTGTTTCTTCGAACTACGGGCAGCGTGTACACTTCGATCGTGGAAAGTAGAATTTTTTGAACGTTTTGAGTTTCATGTTTCGTTATTCGCCGTTGGCAAATACTGCGACGCGCGGTCGCTTCGACGAAAGTTACGGTCGAGCCTCGATAATTGCAAGAAAACTGGCCTGAAAATTCCTGTTTCATCGAGGTACACGCAATAACGAAGGTAATCAATCCAACGCGATAGAGTTCTATTTACACGGTACATCTCCATTACCTATGGTCACTACCAGTTACTTTTCCCACTAACTTCACTCTCATATTTCCCTCTTATGCCAGAACCATAAATATGCAATTGTCTGGGACCTATCTTCTATCGTCTTAAAGTCCTTAGCTTGATCCAGTTGCATGAGACAATAATTTCTCTTTTGTCCAAAAATTATCGAATCTTATATAACACGAACGAGTGAATTCATTATCGTTTGCATTTGCTCCAGATTTTCCTCCCCCGTCCTGGGGGAAAATATAGAACGTTTTCTTATGAATAATGCTCGATAATGTACCGTTCCAATGTTAACTCCCTCACCGATGCTGTCGAAACACTTGATAATTCAATGGCGAACAAGTGACTCACATACTATCGCTATTATTTTTGCATACAAATACCATGTCGCAAGTGTCTTCTGCAACCGTTCGAGACTTATCGCTTATTTGGTACAAAGTACGCGTAAAAGTTGGCTCATTGTTAATTCTTTGCAAAGACAAAGGATATTTTCCGACCGAGAAAGATTTCACGTTGTCAAACACGGCTGTCCGTGTGAATTTTAAATTAATGCCGCTAAAATAGAGTTTATTTATTTATATTCTGAAAAGAACTAAAAAAAGAGTTAGTTTTATTAATTATCTATTGTTCGACTAAAGTTTTACTCGACTCTGGTTCAGAGCAACACTCAGAATCACATGCACCACGCGTGGATAGATTCTCCTTTCGTTCGAGTATATTTCACGATTATAGATTACAAACGTAATTTGTGATTATTATACGATACCAATTATGATTAATCGATCGATACTCGCGAGCATTATTGCTTTTATTAATCGATTTAAAAATGTAATTAATTCTTGCCTAACTCTGTCTGAAGGGACATGCTATATATGGGTTTCTGTAATTTTTACACATCAAGATCGCAAGTAGTATTTTTTTTTAGAGATTCCTGCGTTACGTGAGACTCGTCTTACGCAAGAAGCCCAGGAACGTATCTGTTATGTAACTTGGGGACTGATTGTGCTCGGTGCCCAATTTTGTTTGATTCGATATCGTTTGCAATCGCCACCTCCGTTTATCGATCATGTGTAACAAGTGAACTTATCGAAAGTGAAAACACACACTCGAACGGTATCTTCTTGCTTTTAATCGCGTCACGAAATTCTCAAAGGTCAACGACGTGAATCGACTTTGGTTGGCGACAGGGAAAGAGTACTTGGTGAACTGACCAAAGACGTTGAAACTGTGCGATCGACGGTGAACTTTTGGGACTTGCAAACCTTCCTTGACTCTATTTCCCACGATACATCACTCGAGGGGGTAAGGTGGGAGAAATCATCGCTGCATAGGTGGCGTCGCTCGAAGACAACGCAATTTTAAAACAATATCGAAGGTAATCAGTGATATTTACGATTTGAGATTACCTCGACGTATCTATTATTCTCTTTTGTTTCGAAAATCGTAAAAGTTAGCAATGGGTAGTGCTCCTCATGACAGAAAATTAATCGAAAGTAAATACAGTAAGTGCAAGCATAACTTAATTTTATTATAACGTTTCGAGTCGGTCGAGTTCTTTAAATCCATTGTTATTTTTTCAAATGACAATCAGAAACCACAACTACAGCTTTGAAAATTCTAATAAATATGCAAAGAGGTGCGGTGCATGTTTACGTGGACAAGTTACAACCTCAAACAAAAGATACAAAGGCGTAAAGAGCAATGGCGTAGTCTCAGACAAAACAAACATGTTATCAACGTGTTCGAGATAAACCCGTTGATAAGAGACAACGATAAAAACGTGCGTATGTTCCTTGATAAAGCAGCGGTAACGGTTTACTGGCAAATGGTTTATACAGAATTTTAAACACGCTGTACGCGTGAAACGGAACAGGAAATGCGTAAACAGTTTGCTCGAGCACTGTCCATTGGAAATAATTATTCCATTGGTTTAAGAACTTTATCCAAATTAACTAACGATCTATTAAGCCCATCGTTATCGATCACTTCTTTGGAAGCGACTTTAGTTAGAAATTTTACGAACTAGCACCAAACTGTTTGTTCATTAACTAAGTCTTCAACAGCTGTGTTAATAAGTTTCTTATACGTTGTGTCTCAATTCGAAGTTTTACAAGAAAATTACTTTATCACCTTGTTTCAAAACAATCGACAATTTATCGATATTATTTATTTTATCTAACTTGAAGCTTCAAATCTATATATATATATACGATAGGTGTCACCTGGTGATATCTTTTATTCGCCAAGTAATGGTAGAAGTTGCATCAGACATTTCATACGCAATAACGTAATAAATAAATTATATTTCGGCCGAAAAGATCGAACCCATGAAAAGCGCCGCGCGTGCTACCATTAATTCAAACTATACACCCAACAGTGACGCATTACGTAAGTGGCAATTACGATGCAAACGCATTTATGCGACGAAATGAGAACGACGCGATTAACCCAAGAGGGGGGAATGAAGAAGGCGCACACAATTGTTACAAAATCGTTCTACAATTCAACATTTTTAACACTCGTTAACTACTAGCAAGGTTTCTTATCTTAGGTAATTCAAAGTCCGCAGAATTCCAACAGCAAATATTCATGTATCAATGAGCATGTATGTACGGTGATTGTACTTTTCCGGGATTTTCTCTTCTTGGAGATTCGAGTACACGTTCTTCGTACTCTTCTATTTTCTTTTAATCCTACTCGAAGATCCTCGAGATTATTATTTTGTACAAAATAGCTGAAATCCACTGGTAATTCATTTTCGAGTGTTCCAATCGTATTCTCTGAATATTTGAATCGGTGAATTCAATACTAGACATTGCAATTACTAGCTGAAAGTGTTCGAATGTTTGAGTGCAAGAAAATTCAAGAAACAGTCCTACTCATAGTTAATGGAAGCGTTGACGTATCGATGAAACGTATTTCGATGAGGCCGATCGTCGGTTTACGAAATCGTTACTTTTACTGTTATCGAAACTAGATTGCGGCGATTATATTATGACAGCGTTACGTTAACGGCGTGCGGGTGTGCTTCTCCGTACAGATTGTCATTCGAGCCGGTTAGTTTCACAAGAAATCAGCTAACCGTCTCGCGACGAAGCGATCATGCAGGTCAACCAGGGAATCGATCGGATCTATATGTAATTCCTAGACGGAGAATGCTCGAACACGACTTTTCGAAGGACATTGCTTCAGAATAACCGTCCAACGCACGCCAACGGAATGTTTTCTAGGAGATGGAACGTTGTGTTGCTTGGTCGGTAGCAACAGAGTCTTGTCTTCCGCGTAACGTTCTTCCTTTATTTCCTACTCGAATTATGCAACAAAGGTTTACAGGGCGTTCCACTCTAATACGAAATAGGATTTCTCAGTCTTCTAAGGCATTTCTTACTTTTTTATGTGAAGAAATAAGAATTTAATTTTTGGCATGGACCGACAGAACGAAATAGAAAAGCACGGTTCCGCGTTCGAGAATACGACACGGAAGAATGCTCGTAAACAAACCTTGGCGCCTTGAAGTAGTAGTCGCGTTGTCGTCCCCTTGTCTCTAGCAACGTTTCCTAAGTCGATCTATCTATTTTCGCAGACGGTCCGTTTGACCGTCTAGGTGGGCCGTGGACATTACACGAAAACGTCAATCCCGAGATTTACAGATTCTATTCGAGACCAGGGAGTCGGCCCTTTTTCTTGCAAGCCCGTGACGACCCGATCGGAGTGGAAAAGAAGGGACCACCTGCGCTATTCACGGGGACAGGTAACTCTACCTGGTTTTGACCGCCAAGATTATTCGAGGGTCGAACAAAGAGCCCAGCTGGTACTCGTGCGTTCCACGACCTAACCCCACCTTTCGTCTTTTAAAGCGGTATTCACACGTGTATACCTGACTGCTTCGGGTCCTCGGCTCCTTTACAACCGCATTCCGTCCAAGGTGGCTCCTGCTGTTTGCTATTTAGACAGCATATTCCGGCCGTGCCCTCTTCGGATAAACGGGAAAAGAGAGTTTCCACGGAGTAGAGTACCTTCTCGAATTACACAGAACTATTGCATAACTATTATAAATAGGGGAAAATGTTCGAATTATAAAGAATTTTGACAATTTTCGTAACGAGAACCGCGTCATTAACGAAATGTAATCAATTGCACGAATAAAAATAAAATTGTTATTGTACTGATCAATTCTTATCTAGAATATATCACAAAACGCTGTTATTGTGATAAGTGGAATAATTAATATTACAACGGATGTATTTAAACAAGTTGTATCGTTTTAACGATTTACAAGTATGCATTATTACATAAAGTACGAAGGATATATTGCAAGCATATATTATTTTTTATTAATGATATTAGCATATTGTTGGAGAACAATACATTGCTACTGTGCAAATATAAAGAATTATAAAAAGAAAAAGCAATCGAAGAAAAGTGAAATATTCGAGCGAGTATCCTCGCGATATTTGAAAACAAATGCTATTGTTCTCCATCGGCTACAATTTTAATTTTTCGTTCCGAGAAATCAAGAATCAAAACTGATAAAAGCATTCGCTCAAGCTGAACTGTTTAACAAGATAATGTGAGACGTGACAGATAACGATTTTTTTTACTAAAGGAAGAAACTTTCAACAGTATGCGTAACTAGCTGACAATGCGAGCGATAGGACATCCTACTCGTTGCAAGCTACAACTATAGATTTGCCATTTTATTCGAGCCACGAGTAATCAATGCAAAAACGATGTACTATGTTTCGACGTATTTCGTGCAAATTTTGCCTCTGCGTAAGATAAATCGCCAAAAGTGATAAGACACAGCGATTGATAACGCTTTGTGTTATATCTAAATGAGAGTCGTTTGCGTTGAAATATTTGATAAATATCGGAGACAACTGTTGAATTATTCTACTGGTGCCATATAAAAAGTGATTGTGCCACGCGGAAAAGAAACTTTGAAATACAAGAAACGGATATTTGGTCGAAATTTTTAGAAATCGGAAGACTTTATGTGCAACGACCCGCGTGTGAAACGTAATTTGAACGAAATCTAATGTAATCTGATTGAACTTTACGTAACACCAGACTCTCTTATTGAGTTTTAACTATTTTTGTTCCTGGATTTCCTAGAGTAATGTACTCTAAGAGCAAAACACTTTCTACACTTCGTCTCTACTTCTGATTGCCCGAAAATATCTATCATCTATTCGAACACGTAGAAATGCTGCAAACAGTTCTTATCTGTTGCCTAACTTAGGTGGGGCAATAACATATCTGTGATATCACGAACAACCTCACTGTTTCAAACAGTCCACTCAACAGTCTGTTAATGTTTCAATGTGCAATTCTGTGATGCTTGTGCTCAGATAACTATTTACTTTCCGTTTGAAAATGTTCATGGTCTTTTGAATTAAGAAACTGATTCAAAGAAGATTTCAAACGCATTATCGAGGTTCGTACAATTATCGAGGTTCGTGCAATTATCGAGGCGATAGAGTACTCCATCTCTTCTGTGGAATAAAGTCTGTCGTAGTGTCACGATTCTATTTTTCACAATGTCGCAAAGTTACCTCCGCCACTTTCTAAAACTGCTAATTCGAAACGAGCTTCGGCGATATCTTCGCCGATGACTCACATTTCTAACCAATTACAATTACCACAGTTCGTTATATGCTCGAGTAAGAATTTTAATTATCAAAGTTACGCAATCTTACTCCAGCAAGAATAATTCATAATCAAGAAGACGTTTCAATTCATAATTTGTGTACTGCAAAAACAAAATGAAACCTAAAATAACTATTATCGAAACCTCTATCTCAAATCTAAAATTAAAACGTAATTTTTATATTAACGCGTCACACTTCAGATTAACAAGTCTGCGAAGTCGAATGCTTAATATCATTATTTGAAGTAGCTTCACATGGCGAATCGCGATCCATTTTCTATGATAAACTACTTTTGATAGTACGTGTACATTGAAGATAAGTCGAAAATAAAAACTGCTTATCGTTTTAGTGTTTATCGTATTGAAGACAAATAGTTAATTTTTAAAACGGTGCACATAAATGTTTATATACCCATTGGTTCATATTTTGATCGGTGTCATTGATCCCTATCTTGTAATCGAATCTCGCTCGTCTCATCCTTTCCATCCTCGAGTTTTAATTAAACTTCGCAAATTTGTAAATTGACTGAAAATAGGGAATAATTTTACCGTTATCGTTGTTTAGATAAGACACATTTCTATTTGCAGGAGACACAATGAGGATCATAGCAGCAGTTCTGCTGGCTGCTCTCTCGGTTGGAATCGTTTCTTCGTTTAGCGTTCCAAAGTCTGGCGCCATCGATGTAGAAATTAAAGAATCATCGAGCAGACCAGACACGGCATCGAATACTAAGCTGGAAAATTCGTATTCCTCCACGCCGGCAGTTATTATACGAGGAAAAGATGAAACCGTCCCTCGTGATAGCGAGAAGCTAACGTCGACATCGGAGTTTGTCGGTGATCCCTTATTTTTGGATCACGCGAAACCCACCTTCGATCTAAAGAACGCGTTTCTACAAGAAATTCATACTTTGGACGAGGTGGCGTCCAGAGACAAGGTGACTATTTATATTTACGTTGATTGTGACTACTCGCAATGGCTACCCAGTTCGTTGCATTTTTCGAATTTTTCAAACTCACGTTGACGTTTCCTGCTATCCACTGCGTTGCCAGTTGTTCGTTTCTTAAGATGAAAAATTTGATTTTTGTTACACAAATGCGCCGAACTGTCTCAAATTTGTTAACGTTGGGTTCAAGCTCCTGTGTTGGCCCGTTTGGCAGCTATGAGTTGTGCTAAATTTAGCACATTGTGAGCAAATGATCGGAAGACCACTGTATGGGAACCTTCGAAACACACTTATTTATCCATAGAAACCATAGACATCAATGCAATCGATTAAAGCAACTTATTAAAAGAAATATGTGACATTTGCTGCGACTTGTGGTACAAAAGAAAATCAATAAGTGTGCTTTGATTTGATACAGAAAACTTGATCTTTGCCTTAGCAATCTGTGTAATTGTATCGATGATCGTAATTCTGATGTGTAAACAGGAAATGATCTTTCTTCTGATACAGTCGTTCCACTTTGTATTGGCGGCAATAGAAAAAACAGGGTGTTTAGAAAAAAACGATTATATTTAGCCTATTCATTATTACCACTGTCTCACAATGTACTAAATTTATGCACTCTTTTTATGGTAACAAACCTTGTACGATACTCAAAGAACTATCACGTGACGTAAAATTTTAAATGTAAATCATATTCTAATCCAAAATAGGATTGATTTTATTAACCTCAATTCTAGAAACATTTCGAACTAGAAAAGTAATATTGATCATTGAATAAGATAATTTTTTACTCGTAATATTCGTATAACGCTTTATTCATTTCTTCACAGACATATTAAAAATTACATATATTCGAATAAATTTTAATACTAATAAAGAATGATTAAATCTGACACTGGTCCTTAATTGGTTAAACTCGAATATCATTATATGCCTTGTGAATTATTTGCCAATCTAAGTTGTTTTGACGTCTAGTTTACACCGCGAGAATGCAAAATGAGCTAAATGGTCACTTTACATCTAATTAATGGTTCAATTTATAATAGAATTTCCTTGAAATTACTTGTGTTTTGAAGAGCTAAGAATTTAAAAAAGCTTTACTTATTCATAATACTTTGTGTAAAGTCATTCTTCTTCCGTATAAAATATAAACGTTTATTTACATAATTGATGCAATTAAACTGCATATATTTATGCAAATGCATATATTGAAGTATGTAGAATATTAATATTCAGCGTATAAATTAATATTAATAGATAAATGTTAACAATTGACGGCATCAAAATTTAGCGAAACTCGCTTACGTTTATAAGCCGCAAACGCGTATTCTAGTTCGTTGAAAATGCACTTAAACGGTTGAAGAATGACGAGGCAGTAGTTTCTTTATCGTAAATGTATAGCGTTGGAAAATCAGCAACATCTAAGATAATGTAGAGCGCAGATAAAATACCAAAGAACTAAGCAGAACTAAACGTTCAGATGTTTTCCACGTAGAGAAACGTCACAATTAAATGAGAAAAAAAGATTCTGTTTATATTGGATTTTTTTTTTTAATAATTATAGACTCAGGATGAAGTGGCGAAAACATTTAAAGCCGAAGCACGAAGGATCAAACCGCTTAAACCATCGCCAATGACTAAGCCATTAGTCGCTAAAATCGACGTCGATATTAATAATACCGAGCAAGATAGCGCCATAAAGAAATTACTGGAAGCCGAAGATGTGCCCTACGACAATGATTTGACCGAGGACGAAGAAGACGAAAGCGATAACGACAGTGACAGCGACGTCTTTGATGACGATCTCGAAGATGACGAAGAAGTAATGACAAACTGTCCCGATTACTGCAAATGCATCGAGTCCACAGCTGCAACGTACGTTTAGAATTTTTTTCATAACGTTATATAACTGATATATTTCCATTACGATCCAACAAAGGAAAACATTCACTCCGCAACGAGCATCAGTTTGAATATGTGTAAATATATTTCAAACTGCTTGATCTCGTATCGTTTAGTTATCTCTTCGATACAAACTTCTAAACGACTTCAATCCGAAACAAGAATTACGATACGTAATTCAGACCTAATTCATTTCACATCCGTTATAAATCTAACTCAGAGATAATTCCTTTTTTAGGTATTGTTACAATACTGTCCAATAATGGTCCGATGTTGAATCAGGGGAACAATGATGACTAAATACTGACACATTCTGAGTTATTTCGTTTAGAGAAAGCTTTGGAATGCCTATATAATTAGTTAATTTGTCTATGACTGTGTAAACAATGAATTATTGTCTGAACGTTAGGTTAATTTTACATAGTTCTCAATGTGTTTTTGTCGAAATTGGATGAACGATTTCATAAAGGAACGGTAAAACCACGTTGACAGGGCAGCTGCAGGTCGCAGCTGGCTGGCGAAGTCACGTATACGTGACGGTGATCTTCAATCCATACATCCTTGTTCTGAAAGTTCCCATCGATATTAAAAACTTATCAAAACTTAAAAAAATCCTAAGCTTCGAATCGTGTTTAGTTGTTAAATTTAATTCGTGCATGGCAGTTCGATGGCCAACGATCGAAGGAACTCGAGTGAAAACAAAATTGTTCTTTTCTGTACAGGTGTACCAAACTCGTGGATAATCAATCGTTTAGCACGGACCTCGCCCATTTACGCATTGAAAATGCTGAACAAATACGTCTGGGCCCTAAAGCGTTCCGATCACGTGGTCTTGAGAAACTGGAATCCCTCAGGATCACCGACACGAAGATCGTCGAATTGCACGAAACCGCGTTCGACGGACTACCGTACTTGTACTTTGTTAATTTAACGCGAAACGGTCTCCAAGAGATCCCACCGAACATTTTCAAAAATAACACGCAGCTGACGATGCTCGCCATTTCTGGAAACCCGCTGAAACACACGCAAGATTCGAAATCGGGAAAGCACGTTCTGTTCGACACACCGTTCGTCATCGAATTAGACTTCTCTTACAACGGTTTGACGAAACTGAGACGCGCAGCTTTCACGAAGATGCAAAGCGTCATTTACGTTAATCTGAAGAACAACAAGCTGAGGGAACTCGACAGCGTTACGTTCGACTCGTTGGAGTTGCTCGACGAGCTGGATCTTTCGAACAACTTGTTGACCGAAATACCTGTCGATCTGTTTTACAACAACGAGATACAGACGCTTCGCATTGCTGGTAAGAGACCATTGACGTTTGAAAGAACGAGTTAAATACAAATATTTTAAGAGCAAATAGCGGTTTCGTATATTAAGGAACGAGTAATTGTAGATTGCATCTACAAACTATATATTTTCAAATGGAACAATATCCAGAATATCTTTTTCTCAGGGAACAACTTGACCACGTTGGGCACTATAAAAGCACCAAAGCTGAAAATACTTGACGCGTCTAATAACAAAATTAAACTAATAACGAAAGATGATCTGTCTGGTATGACTTTATTGGATCAACTGATACTTTCTTCGAACGGTCTCAAAACCATTCATCAGAACGCCTTTACTGATTTGAAGCAGATCACTCACCTCGATATCAGTAACAACAGGTTGACTATCTGGACGGATCATCATCTGAGAACGAATGGAAGACTGCAGATTCTGTTAATGAACGACAACCCTGAATTAAAAACCTTGCCAGCGTTCAAGACTGTTGGTCTTGAATATGAAACTTTCAGGTAACGGCTGTTTTATGTTTGATCTTTTTCTTCATCGATGTATACTTATTTTATTTAGTTATACACGCGTTCAACTTGTTTACGATCAAATGTCTTGCAGCATCTATCGTTTTGAATGTGCAAATTGTGGCTTGGAACATCTTAAGAAGGAAACATTCAACGCCATGCCAGCGTTGACGCAACTAAATCTCTCCAGAAATCGTCTAACCAGTCTAACAAACGGACTGCTGGAACGTACCTCCACTTTACAAGTCCTCGACCTTTCCGATAATAAAATCAGCTCCTTAGACAGAAACATGTTCTACGGTGCCATCAGTTTATCGAAAATCAATCTGGCGGGTAATCCATTGGTAACTTTACAAGTAACGCCATTCTTGGTGGCTCCTAATCTCGCCGAGCTCGACGTGAGCAGATGCGCTTTGGAAAGAGTTTGGAACGAGGCTAGAGTTCGTTTGACTAGTCTGCGGTACGAAAACTACTTTTATTGGATCAAAAACTTACCTATTTTTTGCTTAATTATCGATGCATTCCATAGATATATACTGATGTTTCCCATTTACTTTAACGATTAAATAGTATCGGTATTAGTAACCATTAGAAATTTCATGAAAATTATTGCAATCTCAGATTCTTGTCGGTTCGCGACAACCATCTTCGACAAATCACGTTGGAAGAGCTGAAGGCTATGCCAAACATTGCCAGTTTGGACATGTCGCATAATCCTTTCGATTGCAACGACGAATTCAACGAGGCAGTACAATGGCTCACTAGTCACGGTGTATCTCCCATGGAGAAGTTGCGGTATGAAACAATTTTTAAAATAATATATCGAAGATAAACTAAAAATCGTAATTCCGCCAAGAAGAGAATCGTTCCAACGACAGAATTAAAACTCGTGCATAGCGATCTTGTGAAACGTTTTGCAATGTTCTGAAATGCTTTACAGATTCATCAACAATTATAGCAATGGCGACAAGTACCACGATTCTAAAGGTATTACTGAATGGACTGATTTGGCGAAAATAGTCTGTCAAGGTATCAACGACGGACCACCAGATAGGTCAATTTCACAAAGGAGAAAGAACTTGAACAGCCTTTACGACGAGCTTGACAACACAGAAGACTCTGATTCTCTATTGAGAACTGACTTTGATGGCAATGAAGTGAGTTATCAAAGATTTCTTGATCGTTTTAATTAACAATGAAACAACACAAAAACGATGTTATTTGTACTTAGAACCCGGTGCCATTCCACTTTGACCATGGTATAAAATCAAACGAGGAAGTCGATAAAGCCTGGACGACCCAAGATCAGGAATACGAAGAGTTCATTGTATCAGCGGACATGGAGTATCATCCTTGGTACACCACTTCCCTTTGGCCCGTGATCCTCGTGATTTTCATAACGGCGATGATTCTTCTATTGACGGTGAACGTCGTAGTTTATTTAGCGAGACGAAGAGGCCGAGGTCCTGTTATCAGACCGCCGATGATACTTCGCCAGGGTCTGATAGACAACAAGAATTGTGGCTTAGTTTACAAGCCTCTTCAAGAAGAAATCGCTACGCCTCATATGCCGAAGAGAGGAAGCTTTTATTCCAGCAGTACATTTCACTACGACAAGATCGTTCCAGAGAGTATTTAAAATTTATTACAAGTATAAATGTCTGGCATTCGACTTGATTCTACTTGATTAGAATGTTAATAACGTTGAGGAATTATCGAAGAAACATTTTGTATAAATTCGATTGGCAGGTTAAGTATACTTAGAAAATCGTGCAATGTGCGAAGCCATCGATCCGTTTTTGATGAAAATATTCTGCAATCTTAAATAATCCAGGAAAACTATGTAAGATTTTATAGCAGTAAAATATACTTAAACGTAAACGATGAATATAATGATGGGTAATGTAGCTTCTTAAACGTAATTAAAGGCATCTAATGATTCGAAAAGAAATATGGGAGCCAGTGAGCTTTATATTTCTTCATCGGCAAGATTTAAATAGTGATTAGGAATATTTCGAACAGTGATATGAAAATTAATAAATTTTATGGAAAAAGTTTGTTTGTGGACGAACAATCAGTATTCTGTTTCTTTATTGAGGTGATCAGTTTTAATACGAAAATAGGAACGGAGTCACAATAATTTAATCGTATTTGTATATTTAATTGATAATACATAATTATATACATTTATTGTTTAATATAATTGTGGAAATATAGTTTTGGGCGACAGGTTAAATATTATTCCAAATACGAAAGATGAAAGAAATTCTAAATAGGGTCTGAAATAGACAATCTAGTGTGTATTATATACATATACATATAACTTGTGTGTATATATATGTATATATGCATACGCTATAGCATAAGACTTACGACTTTTAATTGCAGCGACTACAATGTCTCGTTTAAGCCATGAAAATACAATTATCTACGTAAAAATACACATAGTACTAAGGAAACTAACATTTCGTAGTATAAGTAGTACGTTATTATGTACTATGCATTATGCTACATGATGTAAATAATGTATAACGTTTTAATAAAATTTTGACTACAATAAATAATTAAATATTTATCAAATTTATTTTCATGTTATTCAAATAATGTTGTCGTTCCTTTTTTTACTCGTTTCTCGCGTATTTTTTTAACGACTCATTTCAATCAAGCTTTCTAAGCTTCAAATATAAAGATACAGCTTTATTGTTACGAGATAATAGTACGACTATTATTCTGTTGCGGTACAAAAAATACATTCTAAATTTATCTTATCATTGATTAAGATTTCTTGTCTAGATGGAAGTGCTATCAAATATGATCAATATCTAACATTTACAACGGAATCGTTGGTCCAATTAATATTTTCGTACTTTTTTTTACAACAATTAGACGTGATCGTTACTTTAATTTTGACCTCTTCTACTGCATGTTTTGCAATAAAAAACATTTTAAATTCATTAAACAATTTGCTTCCTTTTAGGAATGTGGACAGTAAAATTGATACGGCACTGCTGACATTGTCCATGTGGAATTATCTCGTCGCATACAGTGAATAACAAGAATGGAAGGAGAGGGCACTCGGTCAGTTGATGTAAAACAGAGCACGAGAAATCGACGACGAAAACTCACGCGCCTTTGATCGATAATTTGTCCGTAAATCAGTGAACTCCTCGATCATTGTTGTCACGTATCAGCGAAAAATGTTTCCCCGAAAACGCGTCGTAGAGCTGTTACAAGTTATTTCCTCTCAGTCGTAAGTAACCACTGATAATGGATTTCTGGAGTCGTGACATTTAAAGTGGACTCGTGTTATGAAACGCTTGTGTAACGTTGGCATCGATATTATAATTAGCCTGATACAAAATTTGTGAATGTCTTTGATGTCAATGGCACGTTGTAGTAAAATATTTGTACATACGTTCATATTATATATTTACATATAACAAAATATTCGATACATTATGTATATACATATATTTGTTATCATATATTTATCAGCGAACTATATACATCTAATATTTCGTGCAATCGATTACTCAAGGAATTGACGTAAGATTGACCTGTTAAACTCTCATTGAGAAAAACAAGAAATTATCGAACATTGTATACAAATGGTTTATTTTGAATTAGTCATGGTTTTATCTCCGTTGCCTTGTATGATTCGAATTATGTGACACTAAAAATTAAGTGTATACAAAATGTAGATTCCTTTGATGCTATGGGATCCTTAAACATTGAAATTATTATTTTTTTAGATGTAAATGCCCGGCTCATGGAAATCTGGAGGGCACGACGAGCCACGAGCTGGGAAAAGCTCGTAGCACAGTCGCGAATGCTACGCCCACGAAAGAATACGCTTTCGAGGTATGTATGCATTCCCAAAATTTGTCACGAAGATCATAAATATAAAACAACGATACCTAATTATATAATTATGCGATAGATCGTACGATTACGAAATGCAAGTATTGATTCAGTCCATGTACCGAGATAACGAAACACCGCGTAAACATTTCTGGTAATAACTTAATTTACGTAATTCTCTACTAAGATTTCGAATGAAGACGTTTCCATGGAGGCACATCCTCGATATCGATTCGTTTTACTCAAAAATAACACAGAAATTCGAGCTTACGGAAATCGACACATTCGATGCGTTTGATTGACTTCGTTGCAATAAATATTGAAGGTAATTGCAGATGGCCTGTTCCACAGTACGATATGGCGTCGGCGTTACCAGGGAACTGGGCCTAGACATGCAAAATTTGGGCGCAAAGAAGGTGTGCTTGATGACGGATCCGAATTTAGCGAATCTCCCGCCAGTTAAGACCGCCATGGACAGTCTCGCGAAATCTGGCATCGAGTTCGAAGTGTACGACAAAGTGCGCGTGGAACCTACGGAACAGAGTCTCGAAGATTCCATCCAGTATGCCAAACGCGGGAAATTCGATGCTTTTATAGCTGTAAGGAGCTAAGGAACAATGCAACTAATCAAATAGGAAAAGAAACCCTCGATATAAATGTAAAATTCACGTTTTATTAGGTTGGCGGTGGCTCGGTGATGGACACCTGTAAAGCAGCAAACCTTTACAGCTGTGATCCAGAAGCAGAGTTTCTGGATTACGTAAACGCTCCCATTGGCAAGGGTAAACCAGTCACGGTGCCATTAAAACCACTGATCGCAGTACCGACCACGTCGGGCACTGGTTCGGAAACTACCGGTGTTACTATTTTCGATTATCGGCCCCTTAAAGCGAAAACTGGAATTGCTAATAGGTAAATCGTTACTTGCAAGCTCACGGTAGCGACTTTAGGATAGCTTGGCACTTTAACGGTCGCTATATCACGCGAAAACTGTTCTCCATCACCACTGATATTGTACACCAAAGTGTATTATTATAAGGAATTATAAATGTAACCTCAATAAACGTAATAAGTTGAATGTACGATGAAATGGTAACTGATACAGTAGATCACGCGCACGTGACAGTGGCCGACGTCTGCTGGCTCTCAAAGTCACATATGTGTGACAGCGGCCGTCAAAGTGTTAAGAGAGAAAAGGCTGATTTTAAACTTTATTTTAAGACCTAAGAAGTTAATTTAAATGTTATTTTAAATATGCAATAATATCTGTTTTCACCAACAGAGCCCTAAGACCCACCTTGGGCCTTATCGATCCGAAGCATACACTGACCATGCCGGAAAGGGTCTGCGCTTATTCCGGATTCGATGTACTCTGTCATGCTCTTGAATCTTTCACTGCCATGCCATACACAGAAAGGACACCATGTCCTACGAATCCAATTCTGAGACCAGCCTACCAGGGCAGTAATCCTGTTAGCGACGTTTGGGCAAAATATGCTCTTCAAACTATGCGCAAGTAAATACAGCGATTCAGATATTCGTTCGCAAAAACCGTATTAATTCGTTTGGAAAGTGTAATCACATTTCCTGCTCTAACGTTATAAAAATGTCACATTTAACACACGATAAGTCTTCGAAACGAACGATGTCTCTGTTCTCCAAAAGAAAATTTTATTTTGCATCGAATTTAAGCGTTTCGATACTTTCGCGAGCAACAATAAATAGAAAATACACTATGTAAAATTAGAATTAAAATTATGACGTACCGTGAACAGTATTTACATCGTATTTATTTTCTCGCAGGTACTTTGAAAGAGCAGTGTACAACCAAGACGATCTCGAGGCTAGAAGTAACATGCACCTTGCAAGCACTATGGCGGGAGTTGGATTCGGTAATGCAGGTGTTCACCTCTGTCACGGACTATCTTATCCTATTAGCGGAAACGTGCGAAGCTTCCAACCTTTGGTAATCTGTACTAAATAATCTAATCTGTATTAAGTAGTCTATATTTAATAATAAAACTTAACACGGGATGTTTGTCCGTAACAACATCGATTGGAAACGGCGCGACGCAGTTATGAAATTTTATGGCACTTTATATGATTTTTAACGATATACTAGAAAACTTTACATGATTGCAGGGTTATAGCAACGACCATCCTATAGTGCCACACGGTCTTTCGGTCGTTATATCGGCACCGGCTGTGTTCTTGTTCACCGGAAACGCGTGTCCAGAAAGGCACCTGGAAGCCGCGGAATTACTCGGTGTTGATGTCAAACGAGCAAAAAAAGAAGACGCAGGTAGGATACTATCGGACACTGTGAAAGAATACATGAGGCTGATGAAAGTCGAGAACGGTTTGACGGAACTGGGATTCAAGAAAGAAGACATTCCAACGTTGGTTCAGGGTACACTGCCGCAAGTAAGCATTACCATTTTGTTTTTACTAGGATCGATTGAATAAGATCAGGCAAACTTTGCAATAGTGATTTATTGGTCACTATACATATTACTATTACAATTTAATAAATTCGCCATGTTTTTAACATCGTATACTCGTATCTATGACGAATTCATAATTGTGATATTAATGATACATATTTTGATAATCTTATACCGTACTGTTCATCCGCGAAAACATATTATAGAACAATTTATATATACATATAGATACATTTTATAATTACACATCTCACGAATACAATTTCCTTACTTATTACTTACAGCATCGCATTACAAAGTTAGCGCCAAGAGAACAATCCGAGGAGGATCTTACGCAATTATTTGAAAATTCATTTACAATTTATTAAGAATCAATATTATTGTTAATACTGATCCGAAAAAGGGCAACGAATAAAAGTTTATTTTTTTACAGAACTATATTTCATGCGACGTTTCTTATCCTTGAACCCATCTATCTTGAATAAACGCTAAATCTATTTACTAATTCGCGATGTTAAACAATTATATAAAGCGTGATCGTTTTAAAAACTTATTAACTTAAACAAACAATCGAAAACCAAGAATAAAATAATATGTATAGAAAACATTAACAAATAATTATATAATATATATTAAATCGGCTGTTAACTTACGAGGAAATGTACAAACGTTTTGTGCGCGTTCGAACGTGTAGCTGACAATATTTATGAAGTCATCTTATCGAAAAGTCCTTTACAAAGCGGTCATCGTTGCTAGCAACGATGAAAAGGACCCCCGAGATCGATGAGTTCAATTTGTCGACGATGTAATTATTAGTAAACTGTCGAAGAATATGCGATACGATCATCTACGTCAAAACATCGTATATGTAAATTAATCATTAAAATTGAAAACTATAATGCTATATTTTTAAATCGAAAACCGAACGTTAGAGCCACAGATTTTAATTCGCATCTGAAGCAGTCAAATTTTATCATGCAAAACAAATTACGTTTTCGCTAAGACTACGAGAAATACTCGCCACGAAAATTTCCCGGGGACAATTAATTTTACTTAGAGTACACACCGTCGAATAAATGTAGGAAACTTTAAACCGACATAATTACTAGAAATTGAAATTTAATATTAGATTCTAAGGATACGACAATTTTGTCTATTCAAGTTTCGACAAAACGTCGTGTAATTACTTTCAGAAATGTATTTTATATACAATTTTTTAACATGTTTTTTCTCTCCGAAATCCAAAAATATAAATATAAATACAGTATTTGCATACATGCTATATCACTGGAATATACAAATATCATTTATGCCGTACGACATGATTTTATTAAATACGTCGCGTGTGTTTAGAAAAATCAATGTTCGTATTGCACGATTTTTGTATATACAAAAACGACATTTAGATTTGTGGATATGTGCCATTATACTGTATATATTTTCTATTGCTTTTCATTCGGAATAAAATAATACAACTGACCTGTTTTACTATGATGATATACTATGATACTATGGTTCACGAAATTAATAAAATCGACCTTTGCTTCGTCAATGCAAATATCTTTCCCTTTTCCTTCTTCCCTTTCGTCATATTACATATACCCTAATCACATTTTTCACATACAATAAAAAATATATTCCTTGTACTGTTGCGCGTTGAAATTGCCATTTTTTTAAATTTCGTTCCTCCTAATCAATGCTATCGATTATTTTTAATATCATTCGTAATATAAAACTACTTAATCTCGGACTGAATCATTAGAAATGATTATTCTGAAATTCACAGTAATTTAATGAAATTAATTAATTTAATTATTGATATATGTTATATGAATTACCTTATGATATGAAAAGATCTGCAATTTTTTTTTTACTTTGACTCCGTGTAGTCGACCTTCCATGTTTCACAAATATTTCACGCGTGCTTATATATATATTTTTTCCTTGAAACTCGTTGAAAATTCCTCTTACAAAATTGTTTTCATTTAATACCTAAGATTTATATGTATATGTATTCCATTTCTCGCTGCAAGTATGTATTATAGTAACATTACGAAAATTTCTTAAATAATTTCCAACGTTTTTTAAAACCACGCAAATATAAATACAAATATTTTAGTTAAAGATCGTGATTAGCTTACCATCGAGCTTTTGTAAAGGAAAGATAACTTTTCAATAACCGCTTATCCGGGCTTTTCTGATACCATTTCGAACCGACTTCCCTTACCGCAAATACGAGACTGACGAGTGAATAACGTGTTGGGATTAATTCCACCACTACCAATGTTGATGTTTGTCTCTCGATATCGAGTAACTTCGTATTTCACAATGATAGTAATAACGTACGTTTACAAAAAAAAAAAAAGAGGAATGTAATATACGGAATTTACGATCCTCGCTCAAAGCAAGGCTACGTTGAATTTCGAATATTATGAAAGGACACGGATCGTTTGGACCAAATCAGGGTTTCTCATTCATTCTATTATTGGATAATACCGATAGAAAGTCGATCAACCACATATTTAAATGTAAAAGTTGTCCAACTTTAAATATATTTCATCTCAACATTTTATATAATTTTATATTAACGCAGCTTTGCAAGCACTTCACACTGTTGATTTTTAGATGCTTGTAGCAACTGAATAGATGGAATAGAAAATCTGCATTCGATTTAAAAGCATCTCAACTTAATATCAGTAACATTTAATTAATAATTATACCGAATATCATCAAATTATGGCAACTGTAGGAATTAATGGATTTGGTAGAATAGGAAGAATGTGTCTTCGTGCTTGCATAGAACAGAATATTGAAGTAATATTAACATTTCGAGATATGTACACTTTCTATGTACACATATCAATTAGACACAAAGTAATTATACGTTTTATTAGGTCACGTTGATTAACGATCCATATATTACGACCGACTACATGATATACCTGTTTAAATATGATTCAACTCATGGAACTTATCCATTAAAATTAGAATGTGAAAATGGATCTATTATTGTTGCAGGTATATGTAATAGTTTTTACGTTATTTGATCCTACGATAATTAATAAGGTAATTTGTATCAAACTTGATTAAATAATTTAAAATGTCGTAATTGATGTCGCATCCTAATATATCCTATAACTTCCAAACTGAATATATTACCAATTAAATCAAGTTTTTTCTTATTGAAGATCAAAAAATTGCAATTTCACAAGAAAAAAATCCATGTAAAATAAAGTGGAAAGATGCAGGTGTAACCTATGTAATTGAAGCTACTGGTGTATTTAATACTTTAGAGAAAGCAGGTGTAAGAAATGAAATTATTATCTTCCCTAGTTTAGTATTTTTCACACTATAATGCAATCTAATTAGATATACTATGTATACTATGTATAAAGTATACATATAATGATAAATGTCTACTTTAGTTACATATGGATGGTGGAGCTAAAAGAGTGATTATTACTGCACCTTCAATTGATGCACAAATGATGGTTTTTGGTGTAAATCACACTTGTTATGACCCACAAAAAAGTAAAATAGTGTCAGCTGCCTCTTGCACAACAAATTGTGCAGCACCAATCATTCGAGTGATGCATGACAAGTTTGAAGTTATTGAAGTAATGATCACCAGTGTACATGCTTTAACATCATCACAAAGAACTTTAGATGGTCCTATAGAAAGAGGAAAAGTAATAATAATCATATTCCTTGTCACAACTATTAAATTTACTATCATTATTTTTAACAATAGTTATTAGGCTGGATTTGTTTAGAGTTGTTTATTGCATGCAACATTCCCTTTGTTAAGTAAATAATAATAATAAGATACAATTCCATTATACTATTATAACAAGATAAATTCTAATTTCATTCGCATCACAGTTATGGAGAGATGGCAGAGGTGCTCTCCAAAATATTATTCCAACATCCTCTGGTGCAGCTAAGTCGTTAAATAAAATTATTCCTGAACTCAAGGGCAAGATTTCTGCAATAGCTTTCAGAGTACCAATTCCGAATGTTTCTTTATGTGATATGACTTTTAGGTAACACAAGAACAATATATGAAATAAATTATCAAACTTTAATTACTATGTCATGTATAATCAATATTAGAGTCAATAAACCAACAACATATGATGAAATAAAAGAAGTAATGAAAGTAGCATCAGAAACTGATTTAAAAAAGATCCTGGGTTATACAGATGATGACTGTGTATCATCTGATTTCAATGACACGACTTATTCGTGTATTTTCGACGCGAAAGCTGGTATTCCTCAGACAAGTACATTCATCAAAGTTGTTGCCTGGTAGTTTTATTATACTTAACATTTTATATTCTACAAAAAGTATAAACTATAATACTTAAATAACAAATCTAAATCTTTACAGGTACGATAACGAATACGGTTATGCTCATCGTGTGATAGATCTGGTGCAATACATGTTTAAGGTTGATTCTGGTGAAGTGCCAGTAGTCTCAGAAAACGTAGAAGAAAACGAAAATTAATACATCGTTCGTTATATTAAAATATATTGCAAGATTATATTTTTACTATTCTTGACATGAAACGATTGTGATATCTAATTTATACATATTTAATTATATTTGATATAATTTAAGAATACAATTGTTTTTATAAACATCATGATTTTTAATTGGTACCAAGTTTATTTAAATGTTTCGAATGAAGAAGAGTTTGAATTTAGCGGTTCGTAGACACGTCAATAAGACCATTACTCACGTGATCCGAGTTTAGTCGATGATACACGAAAGTAAAAAACTGTTACGGCGCATACACCTAAACTGACGCCGGTTATATTACCGTTTTCTGCCCTTCAAATGACACTGCTTCTGTGGTAATCATAGCGTACGGATCTTTTTCATGTGAGTATTCCGAATTTTTACTTCTTCTTTAACCGATTTCGTTAGTATGTTTTTGTGAAATGAATAGATTCTCACCGTGTATCTCTGCTTTAATGCGTTCAATAGTTTATCAATTATACTCGGATCATTATCACGATTGTGTCCATTAAGCACAAAATAGAAATCGAGATTGTTCCGGCTTATAACTGGAATTACATAGCATGTGCATACACGTATCATCCACACCGGCTGATATGACGTCATTCGAAATGAGTATCGCAATAATTCATACATTGGTGGATTCAGAATTTGGCTGACCTGTGAGAAATTGTCCATTACTAAACTCCATGCGGGATTCACTTCTAGACAAAGACATTTCATTCGATTAGAATTTCGTTTCATTTTATTTCTCACGTAGTTCTATTTGCAACACAAAGAAACTTTATTCCTACTTGGTCAGCTTTTAAATATCTTGATAGATATGTATAAATATTACAAGTCACAAAATTTCTATTAATTTGCAAATGTGTCGTATGTAGTCTAGTCTTTTTTTACATTATTGATCAATAAGATAATACTGTAATACTGCCCACTTTAAGTGTTTAGTAATTATGATTTCATATAGAAATTGAAGACAAAATTATAAAATTTATATTTCTCGTATTTAATTGAACATTAGTTTCTATTTATAAAAGATATGTCCAAACATAATGTTTTTATTTTATAATCAAGAAATATTAACTAGGTCTGTTACTTTTGTTCTAATTTAATTTGTAATTATGATAAATTATGAAATTTGGAAATGTCCCAATAATGTGTCGTATATCGTTGTAACATTCAACATATTCTACTGCTGCTTTTTTTGTTACTCATTATTACGTCAAATTATGTAACTGCATATTATCACAAATATAAAATATATTTTGCCCTAATAATGTACAAACTAAAAATGGTTATGTCGATTGTAGTCGTCCGATTGCACTATACGTGAAAAAGGTCACGTTCGACTTCAAGGACAAGTTCGAAGATGAAAGCTGCCATACTTTTTAACCTTGAGTGACCTTTGAGAATATATGAACTCTTGTACCACAAATAAATATCTGAATTTTTCACTATTCATTCATTTTCGATTTTTAATTTTTATAACGAAATAGCGCAGTTATTACTAGTAACCAAACAATTGAAATTATTATACATTGGTATATGCAACACGGACTATAGAATTAAACAAGATTTATAATACCCACCTAATTTTAATATAGAAGACATAACCAATACCGAAATCGTATATCAACAAAAATATTTACCTTTTTTAAAGAAACCATCGTTCACAATGAAATTAATTATATTATACTTCCGTCAAATGCTTACCCCAATAACACAGAAATTATCTGTTGATTCAAGAATTTTGTATAAAAAATTTTCTAGTTGCACAACAACCGACATGAGTAAAATTGGAATTAACGGATTCGGCCGTATCGGTCGTCTCGTACTTCGGGCTTCCGTTGAAAAAGGTGCCCAGGTGTGTAATAATTTTGATAATTAAATACATTTTATCATTTTTTTTCAATGTTATATTAATTATTATAATCGTAATAGGTTGTTGCAGTCAATGATCCTTTCATTGGATTGGACTACATGGTATACATGTTCAAATATGATTCTACTCATGGCAAATTCAAGGGGGAAGTGAAAGCCGAAAATGGTTGCTTAGTTGTTAATGGCAATAAAATTGCTGTATTCAGTGAACGTGACCCAAAATCCATTCCATGGTCAAAGGCTGGTGCTGAATATGTCGTAGAGTCAACCGGTGTCTTCACTACTATTGACAAGGCTTCCGTATGTAAAAATTTGCATAATTGTTAATACTATTGATACATAGGTTTTAGAACAAATTTCTTATATGAAACATATTTAATGTTTTCACAGGCTCATTTGGAAGGTGGTGCTAAGAAAGTCATTATTTCTGCACCATCTGCTGATGCACCTATGTTTGTTGTTGGTGTTAACTTAGATGCTTATGACCCAAGCTTCAAAGTCATCTCCAATGCTTCTTGTACTACCAATTGCCTAGCTCCCCTTGCTAAGGTTGTCCATGATAATTTCGAAATTGTTGAAGGTCTTATGACTACTGTACATGCTATCACAGCTACCCAGAAGACTGTTGACGGTCCCTCTGGCAAAGTATGTAAAACATTTTCGTGCTACTCGATTTTTCACATACGTAATTAATATTCTCGTTGCATTGAACATGTTTTTCTCTTTCTCTTTGATTATCTAATAGTTGTGGCGCGATGGACGTGGCGCTGCGCAAAACATTATTCCTGCTGCCACTGGAGCAGCCAAAGCTGTCGGCAAAGTCATTCCAGCTCTTAACGGAAAGCTAACTGGTATGGCTTTCCGTGTACCAGTACACAATGTATCTGTTGTCGATTTGACGGTTCGACTTGCCAAACCTGCAACCTACGATGCTATTAAAGCTAAGGTGAAGGAAGCCGCTGAAGGACCTTTGAAAGGCGTTTTAGGATACACAGAAGATGAGGTAGTGTCTTCTGATTTCATTGGTGATAACCACTCCAGTATTTTTGATGCTAAGGCCGGCATACCTTTGAACGACAATTTCGTTAAATTAATTTCGTGGTACGACAACGAATACGGTTACTCTAACCGCGTGGTTGATTTAATCAAGTACATACAAACAAAGGACAACTAAACAGTTTTTCACATGCCCATGTGTAATACACTCATGAATTTGTCCATATGATGTATATTGTTGCATGGATACTTCAGATTAAATAACATTATGTCTAGCCAGTAGCTTTTTGAAACAAAAGTCAAAGATATAAAAGAAAAAGGGTACTTTAGCATACATATGTTCTTGCACAGGTAATGCAACTACAACCAATGTTGTATAGACATCTGTCGCCAAAATCAGTACAAAATAAGTAGACTAGGATTTGTTATAACACTCAAATTTCGGTTTACAGTTTTCAAATCTATTCGTTATTGATATAAAAATATAGTTGCAAGTAGAACATACACGTATGTAAGGTACACGGCCAACTGTGTAACATAAATTATTGTATTTTTGTGTTGTATCATATAAATGCAAGTAATATATGTTACAACTATCCGATTTATATTCATTCTATCAACATTCGCAAAAGGGGCATAAAAATATTTATGATTCCTTTTTGTAACATTAATATTATTTATCACTCATTGACACCAATAAAAATTGTTATGAAACTAAGAGGTTGTTTTATTTCACAGACGTTTGTTTATCTGCATATATAGTTACATTTTTACAGGATTACACGAATAAAAGGAATAAGTAAATTAACAATTAATTTTATATAATTTTTACACAACGTTTATACATTTAGAAAAAGATTTTTTTCATATAATTGTTGATTGAAACATTTATCTCTTAAACAGTTTTAACGTCAGGACAGTATTATTTGTTAGCCATTGATAGCGGCTATGCTATTAATATTATTATGTTGTATTGTATGGCACAAGGAATTACCTGTCATTTAACTTTTCTTAGCAATGTTAAATTATTGCTGGTTATAATCATCTATCGAGCTTGTCTGTATGTCAATATAATATAATATTCATATAATCCTTGTAAGCAAAATAGCAAATTATATGGTGTGATATTTTTTGTTTTAAGATATTAAAAGCAGTACATTAAATAATATGTGAAGTAAAGCAAAAGTAGAGCAACACGTAAATTGATTTAGGATATTAACATTTTTTTTTTTCAAAGTATATTTATTCTCTGAATGTTCTGTTCCTGCAGACTTCATTTTCTCTCATTCCTTGTTCTAAATTCTATTGACTATGTACAGTTACTATCACGAAATGAAATACATTGTAACACTTTTTCAGGAATACCGATTCTCGACTATATGCCATGCTGTGAAAAATTTGATTGTACAGCGATACGAAAATACAGTTTCATTTTGTTTGTCGTAAACAATAAACATCTATCACTCGTTTTTACAATATGTTTCTATAATAAATTTGCAGTTTACAATAATTATCAAGCTCTTTTCACTATTGCTTGATGTAAACATTCAACTTTAAAGATTCTTATATATACAAAGAACTATATTTTAGCAATTTAGCACAATACTATGCATAAAAAATATAAGTTCTCAAAAGGAATTGAATGTTAAAATGCTGTAACATTTGAATGTTAGAAAGTGGGCAGATGTACTATGGTACTTGTACTCATGCACTTATTAATGCATACTGGAATTGCTGGCGTAAAAGGATTATACATGAATCATAGCGTAACCATAAGAAATTTTACCGCGAGATTTAACATTTTCAATTATTGTGAAAACGTCTACTTTTTTAATGAAATGCAATTTAAATGTCTGTAACCTTATTTATACGTACCATTATAGTATATTAACCCTTAGCGGTTTGGCAATAATCATCACGCTGGTTAGTCGTCTTTATTTTTTTACAAATTATAAAATTAATGTTAATCAAGGTAGTAATTTCAAATACTAATTATTTCGATCACCAATCGATAATCGATAATCGATAATCGTTCTAAACGACAGTTTAACTAGTCGTAACTTCTTCTGAGGACTAATTTTAGTATTTTACTAACCTTAGTCATGATTAATTCTGAGAATGAAATCTGTAATCGCATTATATAATCGATTAATGCATTACGTCAGTTACTCGAAAATAATTACGATTATCCGAGTGCTTTGTGATCGCAAAGGGTTAAAAATACAACTGATACTTCAAACATCCACTAACATCAATGGAAACAGATCGAATAGTCAATTCTTCTGATAGATTTTATATAGTTTCTATTGATATCTGTTTTGTAATATTAACTTTTGGTTACGCTAATTATTATGAATATACAAGATTTCATCGAAAAAGGAAAAATTCTACACTAGAGTGATATATCAAATACATGGATTACGATGAATTTAGGAAAAATCGGTACTTCACAGTTTGGAGCGTTTACAAATGGTAACAGATTACATCATGTTAAAAGTAAGAGTTTTGCACGAAGGTTTATACGTTCCTGGAGTGCGCTGGCTAATTCTCGTGTTAATTCTTCGCAAACTAATCGTAATTCTGCGTTCTTTTCTCGCAATTCTTGTAAAGTTAACTTCTTTGACTCTTCTACCTCGTCCTTAGGAGTGTCTTCCTCTCCTCCTTCTCGTTCTTGAGAGAAAAAAAAAAATGAAGAGAAATTTGTTTAAATCCACAGAAATTTCTTAAAAGTTGAATCGAAAAGGGAATATGCAACTTACTCGGACTAGGTTTTCTATAAATATGAAATGCACCACAGACACCGGTAAATTGCTGTGATTGCGATGTAACGGTTTCCAAATGTGGATTTTCAGGTAGTTCGGTCTTTGGAGAAAAGTGAGAAAAATCAGCAACAAAATCTTGATTTTCACTTAGGGTTTTTTGTCCCTCTCCCTCACTCTTTTGTCCAACCAATTTACGAGGTGAAGTCTGTAGTTGAGATATATGACAAATTTTTCTTTATAGCAACAATTTTGTCTATGGTTTCTAATATTCTGAATCCATATAATTACATATAACATGTAAAATGTCTGGAATATCTACTGTGCAGATCCATAATAGGCAGCTTAATTAAACACGAGTCTTGTCCATAATAATGTTGGTTTAGTTGCTTAATACTTGAATGGCTTAAAAAGTAAACACTTACGATTCCAGGAGAGATTCTTGGTGGAACCAGTGGAGGTTGTCCGAGGAAACTTTGACCATTCTTCCCTACAAGAGTGTGCAGATTTTGAAATTGTGAATTCCTTCACAGCCACGAGTAAAAAGTATTGCCGAGTATTGGTAGTGATATGTACCTAATTTATTAAGATCAAGACTAGAACTTCTTGCATGTGTCCTATAGGGTCTGGGTGGTGGTGGAGGCGGCGGTTCCTTCTTTGGAGTTACAATTATACCCTCTTCGACAGACGCGGGTGGTTTCTTCATGAGAGGTCGTTGCATCAACGAAGCTGCGGTATGTTGAAGATCCTCGTCCCCTAACGTGGTACAGCTATTGCTATTACCATTTGCTCCAGAGGCAAGTATAGCTGCTTCAGGTGTTAAACGTAGTGGTACAGGATGTAAAATTTTAGGATCTCTTTCGACGGCCGATTTTTGAAAATCGAAGTTTACTAGCTGCAGGCCAGGGATAGTAAGAGAACTGCTAGTCCCAGTTGGTGAGTCCACAAATTTCGTCCATTCTTTATTCTTTTCACAAGTACCTACAGAATTCGGTGGACTTTTTTGTGGAACAGGATGACTCTTTTCCCTAAGCAGTGGGATTAACAAGGCTGGAGGTAACGAGTCAGGAAGAGGCACATGGTTTCTTCGTAACACAACAAGATGCATGGCTACAAAGAATTCTTTTAAACTCAATGCCCCATCCTTGGTTATGTCTGCCAGCCGCCAAATATGACTAAGTTCGTGCAGAGGAAGTCCAGACTTTTTAAAAAATGTTCTAGCAATATGACCTTTCAAAAGTCCATCAGGATCAAGTTGTAGCTGCGCGAATTGATTGGCATAATAGTCACGCTGCGCGTCGGTCATTATCCATACTGGTGAAAGGGAATAGTCACCATCCCCGTCGCCTTCGTCGCTACTGTGACGTTCCGAACTTTCTTCTTCCGTTCCTAACAACTGTCTCGATTCCTCGGATAATCCCTGCCAACCCCCAGATACAGAGTCTAATATCGTTTCACCACCTATATCATTGTTTCTCTCTGGTATCACACTATTTGTTGGTGTTGGTGAATCTGTACTACCACCAGTTTCCCGCGGAGATTCCGCTTCACTTTCACTTTCCGTAGTACTTTCGGAAGCATGACGTCGACCTTTTACAGCCCTATTCGAATCAGAACTCTTCCTATCATCCTCGTCCTCTGATTTTGGCCAAATAAAATCAGGCAAACGGATATCCAGAGGCTTGGTAATCATATCTTTACGAATATTAAGCCCAGATTGATGTGCTGCTACCAGTTTCAGCAGCACATAAAATTGTTTTTGTCCAATGTGAATGCTGCCACTGAATGCTGCTTCAAGCCCAACACATATATCCAATATCTAAAGCATGAAAATCAACCATTTTGCAAATAACAATTATAACATTCTTAATTATGTTAAATTTGGGTAAAAATATTTTCATGCTTTTAATATAGTATTTATAAGCTCTGTATTTCAGACAAAACAAAACAAACAACATACATATATGACAAGTTTGTTTATAAACAAAACAAACAACATCAAGACAAGTCCAAAAGAAAAACTGTACTTTACTTTATGAGCCATTAACATAAAATTAATTTCATTTATTATATAAATCGTTTCAAAGTTTTGGGTTTTTCACTAATTTTATCATTAATTTTTAATATGTTTATGTGTATCATATTAAAATGATGTTCAATATATGGTAACATCTTGTGTCAAGTTAAGTTATAAATGGATTTCATTTCAAGGGTATACGTTTTTTTCGGAAACTATCATAATTTATGCGAATACTAACGTGTTAATTACATATTGATAATTAATGCTGTACGTGTTAGCGATATTCTACAAATAATTATTATAAAAATCTAAATTCAATCAATGTTCTGTTTAACCAGTTAAACTGTTTCGACCTCTTTGGAAAATGCGAATCTAAATTGCGACGCAGAAATTTAGCGATGACGAGTATACTCGTCGAACACAGTGTGTGTAATATGAAATTAGGTTGTAATAAAATGACTTACTTTTTTATTTTATTACTCACATTTATTTATTTACTTAAATTAACATAAATATTTTGCATACGAACGAAAAAAAACATTAAAAAACGCCGACTTTTGAATACACGTAAAAAGGAAACCAAAGGATCCTTATCCCGTTTTTTATTACCAGACGCGCCACTGATTGCATAGTTTAAAACAATATATGGATCCGTAATTGCTTCTGTAATGACTAATAAAAGACAACGATACATTTACGAAAAATAATTCATACTATATGCGGTATTTTTTTTATATTAATTATTTATAAACTTTTATTTGTTCCTTTTATTTCAACGGGCCTCGAAATATTTCAAACATCTTGAAGTATACGAATATATTTTAGTTTTCACTAAAATTGCAATTTAAACTGCAAATTTTCACTGCTTATTACTCGTGACGAATATACTCGTCATAACACAAAATTTTGCACTTTTTTCATGACGAGTATACCAGTCAGAAACAGTTAACTGGTTAAAGGCGGAGAGGCATGGTTTTTAAAAGGCATTCAATCGCTATTTGACAACAAAATTTATAATTCACTTGTGATCTTTGCTTAGACCTAACCTTGTAGAGTTTCCATAATTTGCCGACATCATGACACATTATGACACATTGAACGCCCACCTCGGCGTAATTAACCGTATACCATGGTCTTGATACTTTGCTCGCGGGTATGACAGAAAACCAACAGCTGATAGGTTAATGCATATCGAGTGAACATAATTTACCTTCGCCACGACAGCTCCTGGTATATTCGACGAGTGTAGCAGCTCGACAACTTTGATCACCGGCACACTCTTGGTGTCAGCATTTTCGTACAAAAGACCGAAAATGGTTTCGTAGTACAGTTTCTCGTTAGTCGTCAGGTGAAGGTTCGCCAACGTGATTGACTCCCAATCCATCTTGGCGACAAGTCACAGCGGAGCAATGAACCGCTTCGACACTCGTTACGTATAAACTGGGTGCCCGTTCTCTTTCTACGCTCTCCTTCTCTCTTCACCGTCCTTCTGCTTCGTTGTCCTTCCGTTCTTCTTGACACGGTTTGCTGCACGGGATGGTCGTGATCAGCGTGGTCACATCGCACGGTAATATTACGGCTTCGACGTATCCCTTGGGAACGTGAGACACCCCATTTATAAACTATATCTCATGCATCGCGAAATTACCGCTCGACCGCCATCTTTCCGTTCCTCGGCATTTGATATTCCTATAATCTATACGGATACACTATTCCCACCCAGTGTTACTAGATCGGGCACCGGGTGCACCGAGAACTCCTCATTCCACTTTCGTACACTCTGCCCGATCACGTGTACGTGAAGAGTAGAGAAAGACAAACTGACACTCGCCCTCTTTCTCGATCTCTATGATCTCACGTACACGCGATCGGACATAGTGTGTAAAAGTGGAATGAGGTGTTACTAGTGCTGCACCCGGTGCTCGATCTGGTAACACTTTTTACCAACTGACATTTCTACAGTCAATGCGTATTAATTTTACGTGCACGGTACGTTCGCATTGCGCATGTCTATTACTCTCGCGACGACAACGCGGGGCATTTAATTTTTTCTAAAATGAAATCTTATTTATCCAAACGAAGTACCTAGGTAGTACTACATTAAATACTTATTTTCTTCAATAAATTTATTTAGTAAATTCTTTATCTGTATAACAGTACAATTTAATATTATAGTATTTCTACACTTTTCCATCGACAAATAATTCTCATATACATCGATCGCGTCGCGAACGACCAATCACTTTACCTTATATATTTCTAATATTCGCACTATTTTGGTTTCATCTCAGTTTAACCATGTCAAAAGAGGATAATCAAAATGTTTTATTAACAGTAATCGCGTATTTGTGAGCTTCAAGCAATTGGCCATCGTAATATCGACGAGTATTTATTATTGTTACTATTTCTTGTAGTAAAATGTTAAATAATATAAAAAGAAAATGATTGTTTTCTTGCGTTTAAGATATTCCGTACGGACGCGTCGAAAGACGTTTAAGTGTTTAAACTTTCGCGTTTCTTGGGAACAAACGAGAAAAGCTTCAATGAGGTAAAGTTGCTTCGCGAAAGGGAACACGTAGAACGCTTATGATAATAACTATACGAACTGATGCATGACTAGAGCGTGTTATGATGATGGACTCTTAGAGATATACCTTGACTTTGGATCCATCGAACTCATATAAATTAGATGGAATCGATTATTTCTCAATCTAATGGTAATAGAAATTGCTGATATACAATAACGAAACGTCACCGTGGATTATAAGTACGATAATTCTTCGAACAATCTTTAATGTTACGCAAAAGCGTGCACACGTGGGGGGAGGGGATTAAACATTTTCCACGACCAAAGAAGACGGACTTTTTTTCGCGTTACCATAACGTCCGGTTAATGTCTTTTTTCCAGTCGACTTAAATCGATGCAACACTGGCGAAACTTCCCTCGGGCTACCGCTAATATTATCGAAGTCCCAACTAGCGAAATGTTCCTCGAACAATTCCTCCAGTTTCCTCGACAGCGTTTCGATCGTTTTCACTCGATTATGATCGTTCTGCGACGTAGAAAGGGGGCATGAAAATGTTTCTTTTCTCTATAACTAAAAATACAATTTCATCGTAAGTAATTTCACACAAACCTTGTGATATAATTTTGAATTGTAAACGATGCGACGAAAGTCTTGAACCGCATGTTCTACTTTATGGTAAACTCGATTCTTCAGATTGTATTCGACGGTTTCAAGGAACATTGGACTTTTGATGACCGTACAATAGTCTTCAATCTGAAAGAAAACTATTTTATTACCCACTAGTTCTCACCTTTATAAGCAAATATACGAATTAATAAAGAAACTAACCGTGTGCGCGGAGGACTGACTGCCGCCGCTGTCTCCCGAGGATGGGCACTTAAAGATTTCCGCTTCTTCCATTTGCCAAACGGTTCGATGAATCATCTCCAGCTTGCTGAGGGCAAGGGGACTGAGACTCTGCTTCCTTTTAGAACTGAACCACACGGACCAGCCCCGATCGCTGGTCTTCCCGCTGAATTTTCCGTCCAAGAATTCCACGCATCCGGAGCCATCCTTTTTCTTCCCGTGTTTCGTCGTAATGGCGGTCTGCGACGTCGAGGACGGAACAACCAGGTTCTCTTTCGTCGCGTCGTTCCGGGAACACTTGGATTTGGTGCACGACGCTTCGTCCGTTTGCTGATTGGCGATCTCGCAACTTTTCGCCGCCTTTTTACCCGAACATTTGCGCGATCTGTTGTGCAACAGGTAATACGATTTCTCGGAGTCCTTTTTCTGACACCTGCGTCCAGAAATCGGTACCACCGAATTGCAGACCGCCGTTGCGTTAGCGGCGTATAATTTGCCTTTTTTGCAAAACTCTTTTCTCTCGGACTGCGACGCGCTCAACGGCGTGCAGCGTCTCACGGTTTCGGAATAAGTGGCTTTTCCCGCGACCCGTTCGAATTCCTCGGACATCGTTCGATCGTTATTCGAAATGGTGCACGAGCTTTTTCTGATGCAGCTCGTCTGTTGAATACTCTTAACCGTCGTTGCAGCGGCCGCCAACGACATGGCGGGAATCGTTTGTATATCTCCCGTCATCGAACTGTTCGATGAACCCGAACTGCGTCTGTCGGAACTGTTTCCCTGGCGTTTCTGCTTGTTCGCCATGTTCAAAGTTCTGATTAACCACGAGTCCGTTTTTACGTTCGTTTTACTAGAACCTGTTAACGGGCAGCTGCGTAAAATGGTGCGAAATATAATGCTGTAAGAACGGAACGTATTTTTCTCTTGTTCAGGACCGTGACAAGGAAGGTGCATAAGGGGCGCGTGTCTTTAAAATTAAATTAACTCACGACAACGATGCAAATTTAATTTTTAATATCTAAAAGATTATTATCAACGCTTCGAAAATAATAATCAAACTTCTTCTTCTATCGAAATTGTACGTGTATTTACCGTAACGCAGAGCAAATGGCGGTACGTAAGTACAAGATTATTGCCCCGGATGCCAAAAGAAATACCTAGGCACAGTCCTGCCTGCAAGTTTTGTTCGATCGAAACACAACGATAACAAGTTACGCGACACGGTGCAGTGGTTTCAACGATCGTAATTATTTACCATTTTTATTCTCAGACGACTGTAAAGATTCATTGGCGCTGGCATTTGGGGAGAAACGGCAGGTAGATCCTGAATCGTCCTCGGACGCTTCGTAGCTAGAGGCGCCATTGCAGTCGTCGTTGCCATCCTTCGCTGTTTTCGTGAAACCTTTCTGTAATTTTTCCTGATTATGCGTCGCGTCGTCGCTTTTAACGTATTCCTGCTCCTCGTTGGGATCGGTTTTCTCCCTGTCAACATCGGTGTTGTCTTTCACGGTCAACGCTTCCAACAAAATCTCAGCCGAGGCGCAAGCTGCTCGCCAAGTGATGTCCTCGGGTCCGGCAAAGTTGGACGCGTCGGAGCGTTTTAAAATTCTGGGCGAATTTTCGAGAGAGAAAGCCGGGGGCGGTATGATGGGAGTCGCTGGAAAAGGTAGCTTGATCGTCGCGTTCGCGGGATCGTTGGCGTCGGAGAAACCGGTGGTTGTCGCGGTTCGGGACTCGGGCGTCGAGGACGCCATCGCGCCAAACAGTTTCTCCTTATTGAAGTAGTGATTTCGATGCGCGTTGGTTAGATTCCGACCCGCCGAGTTGTCCGCGCGACGGTTGGATCGTCTTTGGTGCCTTTTCTTCGGAACGTTGTAGCTTCCTGGTTTCATGTACACTCGACCATCCTCGGAACTATCGTACTCCTCGGGCATCTGTTGCGCCTGGACACGATTGTTGATCAAGTTGTACGCGTTCCACGGCGCGCTCTGAATACTCTGCATGTTCTGCAGCGTCTGGAACTGACGGTTCGCGTCGATCTGCAGCTGCCTGATGCAGTTCCCGAGGTCCATCGTGTTCTTCGACATTTCTTGCTGCGACTGCACACGCGGCACGACGTTCCCAGCCTTCTGTTCACCGAGATTCATGAACGGCATCTGACGACTGTCGGGGTTCCTCATACTGGCGAACCAGGCTGACAGATTGGCGGTCATCTCCTCGGACGACTTCTCCGGAACGCTAGGCTCGATCTGACTGAGCAACGTCATCTTGTCCTTGGGCACCGTCGCCAGTTCCATCTGATTCGTCGACGACTTGCCAACGTATACCAAGTCCACATTAGCTTTGTTGCCCTGGCTCTGATCGAAGTTCTTCAAACTTTTCTCGCCGTAATCCACCGAGTACGAGGGGCAAACGGAATAACTAGGCTCCAAGTTCTCGGGCTCGTTGTTAGAGGTGAAGTACATGGACTCCAGGCTGATCGACGGGTTCAGAAACGAGGACTGCACGCGCGGCAGGCACTTCTGAGCGTAATTCTTCTCGTAATTCTCGTCCAATTGTCTCCGAAGTCTGTAGACGGACTCGTTGTTCTCGCGAGGCGTGCGTTTGTCCTCCAAGTACTCTTGCTGCTTCTTCTTGAACGTCCACTGTCTGGAATAGTCTAGGCTGTTCTCCGTGAGCACTTTGCTGCGCAGATGAAAGAATTCCGCGTTCAGGGATTGCGCCGAGGCGTCCACCTTCGCGGATGACGAGCCACCGCGTGACCGGAACCTTCCGTTCGTTTTAACGCCAACCTCCGCGTGTCCTAGGAACATAGTGGGCATGGATTTCGAGCTGTCTACCGTCGTCAGGTTCTTGGCAACTGTCCACTTACTTCGCGACTTGGACTCCTTCCGCGGGAACTGTTTCTCCTGATCGTAGTGGCCTCGCAGACCTCCGACGTTCGGCGATGGATCGAACAGGTCGCAATTCGTGTACACCGACACGTCACCTGGAAAGAACGTCCCGAAAGATTCCGACTTGTGCTCGACGTTGGCGGCCTCGCTGTTCCCCCTGATCTTCAGGAACGTGTGGACGATCTGGTCGAGCAGCTCGTGCGTGTTCTTCTCCCACGACTGAAAGCACCTGATCAACTCCTGATCGAACTTCTCGCCCAGGCTCGGATAGTGCTGCTTGTTCAAGTAGTTGTCGAGGATCAGCCAGCCGTTGCTGATGCGCAGCAACGCGTTTATCAGGTCGCCGACGAAGACATGGTCCCCGGCGAAAATTGGGAAGCAGGTGGACGATTTGGTGATCGCAGTTTTAGTGGCAGCGGACAGGTTCTTCAACCAGCCCGACCTGTGATTAGTTTTGGAACTGTCGTTCAAGACCGTTTCCGCCTCCGTGCATCCCCAATAAACGATCTTTCGTAACAATTCGGGGTACTGGGTACCATCCAAGCCTGGCTCGTCCGTTTGTATCGCCACCGACGCGCAGGTACCGTAACTCGCGCAAAAATCCGCGAACCAGTCGTTCTTGTTCGAGATCGTGTCGCCAGCGCCGCTGAACAACGGCGTCGAGCTTGGCTTGGCTTTGTTCTCCTCTTTGCAAAGGTCGTTCGGGGACGTGTTGCACAGCGCAGACACCATTTTCTCGGCCTCGATCGTGAAATCGAAGCTGGCGGAGGACTCGTCGGAGTAATGCTCCTCTTGCGTTTTAACGGATACGTTCTGGATCGTCTTCTCCAGAGAATTCGCGGCTGCTTCTTGGTTCGCGTCATCGGCGACAGGCTTCGCGTCGAAGAGGCTGCTGCCCGCGGAACTGATCGTTTGAAACGGCCACTCGGTGTAGCTTTCGGACGCGATCGGTGCTATCTGAGAGTCGTTAACAGTGGTCACTTTGCTTTTGGAACATTTGAACGCTGATACGTCGAGCGTGGACGACTTGTCCTTCTGTGTGTCGCCGTAGGTAATGCTCGCTGGAGGGTTTGGAACGGTTTGAGACTGCACGATCTGGACGGGTCCCGTGATTTGGTTGTTCGTGAAACTCGTGGGCGCATAAGGGCCAAGTTTGGAAAACTGATACGTCGAATGGGCGTTAACGGTTTGCAGGTTGCAGCTGTTCGAATTCGAGATGTTGTAGTAGGGCGTTTGCTCCGGTTGTGGCTGCTGAGTGTTCTGTTGATCTTGGATTACGCAGTAGGCAGGCACATCCGGGGGCTTGTAGTAGGGCTGGGGTATTAAGGCGACTCCGGAATTGTTGTACTGGTCGCTGGAGTAGGAGCCATGAGTGTACGTCGAGGAAGCAACTAAAAACGAAGTCACTGGTGCTGGTGGCGGACCGTTGTTCGTCGTTTGATCGTACAGGACCAGTGGCTTCAAGTTGTAGGACAGTTGTTGCTGAATGTGCTGCTGTTGCTGCTGCTGTTGCTGTTGACAATATTGCTGATTTCGGACGAGTTTATTCTTGGGTAGCCATCTGTTGCTTTTGCCTAGATTCGTGAGCGAGTTTGGACGAGTATTTTAGAGAACAGAAGCTGGTAGAGTACGATACGATTTGAACAAATTTGACAAAAGGACGCGTATTTACACCTTGTATTTGGAGAGGAACAGGGCTAGGTAGATTAGCGTTACGTTGTGCTCCTGGATAAATACACGATGGATGCAAACCAGTTCCGCACGGCTGAAGGGTTAACATCGGATTAACGATTGGACCATAAAGAATTTGTTGCTGTTGCGGATGCCGGAGCGGCGATGGCGCGGACGTGGACGGGACGGAGGATTGTAAAGATGATCGACTGGATCGTGCTGCTGTAGGGTGCATGATCCACCTAACCCCGGCTTAAAAGTAATCTTCTTCTTGCCAGGACTTGTCTAAGTCTATTCAAGCACGGAATTTGCTTAGCGTCTGTTTGTTATCAGGTCGTTCCATAAGGAACGTTTTATTCGTGATCATTAATCATAAATACGTTTAGCTCTATAAAGATTACCTCTCTTTCTCAGCGTATCGTCAAAGATGTCAACTCCTTGAACGTCGACGCAATAGCGTATCATCTATCCGACTGGAATTAAAGATTGCGTAAAAATTTTATTTCCCTGCTTGCCAATATTACCGAAGAAATAATAACAAGAGTCTTGCGAGCAATATTTAATATTAATCGATATCAAATTTTGATTTTATATGTGAACGTGTTCGACCAGAACGGCCATACTTGGACGTAAGAAGAAGGCGTTATTAAAATGGTTTAGGATCAATAATTCAAGAGGGATCTAAATTAAAATTAAATTTAAATTTTCTAAAGATGACATTTATAACGAGACAATCACTGCCGTTGATCCGAACCGAACGAACATAGCCGCTATGACAGCTGCGTGTTTGACACGCCTTTAACCTACGTACATTCGTTTCGAGTTATTTAATTAGAACGATAAATACGTTGAGATTTTACCTGGTGTCTGAAACACTCTTTCAATTTTCACGAGCAAGCCAGTTGCGTTCGATGATTTTATCAGTTAGAACGAACAACGAGGAAACGTCATGGGACGAGAAGTTGCATCCGCGGCGACGTTAGGCAACGGGGTAATATCATGTCGAACTTGAAAAAACGCGCACGGGAAAACAGAAATAGAACAAGATTTAAACCGTTAAACGTATCAACTCGCGATTAATATTAGGAAACGTGACCGTTAATCGACGTTTTCGCAATCACTTCGGCTCTTCCCTTTTCGAGTCAACGGACACACATGTTATCGTTTTCTCGTTACAAACGGTCAAAATTACGAACGATAAACAACCAAACGTATGTACATATTAAAAAATCGAATGACGTTCTACGAAACGGAATAATTCAAGGAATAACGTGATGAAAAATGGCAGATTACTGACTATTGGTCTGAAACAAAATTATTTCCACGGAACAATGAAACGGGAGAAAAATTTGACGCACGGTTCAGGCAGTTCCCGAAACTGATTCGATTATTCCTGCGATCTAAGGGTTATTTCAAATAATTTTCGCGTTGCAAAATTATTTAGAAACGTATTGCACGATCAACGTAATCTTGCGGAGACTCGAGACGCGAGTTATAACTGCGAATTAATGACGATACGAGTTCATCGTCATCGACTATACAGGGTGTTCGCCATAATAAATTCGATAAAAAATGTCATCTTGATTTTTTAATATGGCGCTATATGTATATTTTTAACGACCTACTATACAATAATTTTTAGATGAATTCTTGGAAATAGTGAAAACGCTCATTTTTAGATTCGATCTTTTACACACGATTTTATGTATCTTTCTCATTCGAATTTTGATTATTTTTACTCTCTTGATCCCGTCCACTAGGATCACGATTCCCTTTAACCCCTTAACGTTCATGCCCGAGTCTGACTGCTTTGAAAAACAATATTTCTTTAATCCAACGGGTTTAAGGGATGATAATATTTGTTTTCCTTCAAATTATACGTTAGATACAACATTGTAATTAACAAAAACCGTATTTTTAGAAACAAATCCAACAAAGAAAACTGATCATTGCTGGTTAACCCGAAAAATATGAGCGTTAAGGGGTTAAGGTTCGCGTACCGTAAAATATTGCAATCCAGGGTCGAAAGACCCCTAAAATGAACTTGGAAAATGAGGGGAAATAACAGAAAATTCAAATTCTTCGCAACGACAACCCTTATATATTTTCCTCGCTTCGCACAAAAACATATATATATAGATATATGTATATATCGTACAGATGTTTCGTTCCGCGAACATTGTCACGACAAGATTCTCAACAAGTTGCGCGATTGTTGCGTGCGTAATATCATTCTTAAGCTCTACGCAGAAAAATTTGTCGAGTGAACACAATGTGACCGCCGTCAACACCTTCAGCACCTAAGTTGAAGTTTCCCGAGAAGAATCAATGCAACGATCGGAGGTACGATCGCCAGGCTGTATATTTTTTTTTTTTGCAAAAAGTACGAAAAAACCATACCGTTCTCCGAATGCCTCTCTACGGACATTCGTTGGAACACATTAAATATTCGACGATAATTATTCTTAATCATGATTATCTCTCATTGGGCCCAATTTGTTTCGCAACTCTGACCGAAACCTGAAACAGCGTGCGCGTATTTGTTTTTCTCTCTAAAATTACCGTAACGTTTCTATACTTTCAGATCGAATCATCAATCGGCCGTGTAATCCTTACACGTGCTCCCTTGATCGCCAGCGTTCAGTTTCCAGGATATAAAACGGAAAACTCGCGTTCGTAAAATGGCTGCTCGGGCGCGTCCATCTTTATCAGCGACGAGAGATCAAAAGTACTTCCTCTGGAGTCCATTGTCCTGTCAGCCTGTCTCTTTTGTCCGTTTCTCGAGTATATGCGAGGTCGATGCTGCGTGTTAGGTACTAACGATCTCGAGCGCATCCCTTCGTTGGCTGTTCGGGGAGCGCGTCAACATTCTAATTACGGATGAATGCCAGCAGAACGCTGCCTAGAACGCACGACAGAATCAAAGATGTCGGCGGCAGAACGCTCGGCCTCGCCGCGTTGCAGTAATCTGTCAAACACGAGCAAACTTCCTGACGTCCGCCGAAACCGCTTCGCTGGTAGCATCTTCCTTTGTAATTGGACTCGTCCCATCCGCAACCTCTTATGACCCGGGTGTCAGCTGGAACTATTTCGAACGCGATCGTTAAAATTTATCTAGCAAACGCAACGGTTCCATCGAATCAAACATCTTAGGTTTCGATTATAAGTTCAGCAACGTCGATCGTTTAAATACAGATTTCACGTTTTCTTCTTTTGAATATAGAAAATATAGAAGTGTCTTAAATTTTTGTACACTAGCGTGCTTATAAGTGGTTATAAAGACCAAAAGTTTATTCAAAGTATTTGATCCTACATTGTACTAGATAATTCCGACTACAATAGTGTGGTATGCACTGCAATAATCAAGCTGATGTAGCACGCTCGGCAATACGCGGTAGCTTTCTATAGAATAATGAGGGTGCTGTATTAATCTGGGTTAATGCAGATAACTTGCTGCGGTAGATTGTTGTATTACTAGTTGCTGTTCTAACAATCGTGCTAAACTTACTATCGAGCATTATTGTCAACCGTAATCGTCGATTCTCCAACCTATTATCCACGGAATTTACCTTAATGGTCGGTTGAACGAATTAATATATTTACGAAACTCGTTTGAGTTTACCATGGCAACGGCAGTGTCGTTTTAACGAAATAATTTGCGTATTACTTACGTCCATTAACGCTAAACTCAATGACTTGCGTAATCTTTCGGCACATCGTGTACTTTGCGCCGTCCTTGAGGTCGGAGCAATCTTTCTTAAGGGCATCCGGAGGATTCTCGTCGGCGCATCGACTGTCGTTGTGGCTGTTACATAAGTAACATTGCATCCCGTGTATACCTGTAACGTTGTAAGGATATTTATAAAATTATTCGTAGATCGAAAATTGCGTTTATAAGGCTGTTATTATGCTTGTCGAATATTGGAACGCTTGGACGTTTCAAATATTTGGCGAATATTATACGAATCTTTTCGAGTGTGAATCTTTTGAGTATTATGTAAACAAATATTCCAATATTCGAATATTTATAAAATATTTGAATAGTAAACCTTTTTAATAGAATCGTCTTTCATTTGTATACAATAATACGTTCTCGGTTTCCTAATAATTCGAAACAGATACGCTTCGAGTTGAATCGAGTTGCTGATAACATAGGTCAACGTAAAACGACGATAATTCGACGATTAAACGATTTGTCTGTGAAAAGCTGCGTTTCAACACGTGTAGAACAATTCTATGCGCCAAAATGGGACAAAAACAAGAGTTACGAAATTAGGTTGGAGGAAAATCCTCGAAAAGACCTAAGATTTTATTTAATCTCTTTCTTTTTTGTACAAGACAAAGTCAAAAATCGAACTCTTCTCATGTACAATATCTCTTTTTATCTCTACATATTAATTTATAAGACATTTGATTAAAATTACATTAGTTTATGAAGAATTTAACTAGATAAATACGAATATCGGTCGACAAAAGAAAATACATGTGTAATATTACTCAATGATTTACGTGTACGTGTTTTATCAGAATCGAAGATTGTCAATTGGGTGATGTTGGTCGTGTGTTGAATGTATCGTAGAAACTGTAGATTCCGATGGAGGAAAAGTTCATCGTTCCCGTGACCCTATGTGATATAAAAATCAATGCAGCTACCTGCCCCAGAAAGACAACAGCGATAAGTTTACTTCGTCTGTCTGCTCGCTATAATCTTGTTTCTGTCATCATTGACAGCCTTGGAACATTACAGAACAGAGAAAGAAGCTGAGGATTTCGCGCTAAAGAAACAAATACGGGACAATACGATTCAATAACACCGCGTGACGCTAACATTTCTAAATTGGCGAAGTTGTAAATTTTATAACGAACGATAAACGTTGTAAAAATAATGAGAATTATTCCAACTTGAAAAAATAGAAAAGACGAAAGATATCTCGAGGTGGTGTGTACTTTTCAAGTACTATGATAAATCATTTTATCTCGTTTCAGAGGCACGTCGATCGACTCGTCGAGCAATCATAATATTACACACTTCCGTAATCATTGTTAAATCGGTCGCAACACTAATACTACGCCTGAACACTCGACACCTCTGGAACGAGGAAGTAACTTGATCCACTTTCATCACGACGCGTACCATCCCTATAGCTATTCACACCAAACGAAAAGTAACAGGTATCACAAATATAGTCAAAACACCTGTGAACACGTATACTACTGCTAGAAAACAATTTAATTACATTAGACACAAAAAATAAAATTAAAAGGCGAACAATAACAGTGGCTCTATCCATGGATTAAAATGGCAAAATTATGCATATAGTGTAAATATAAATATACATGATAATCAACTATTCGATATTAATATTAATTTATCTGCTCGTCACTGGGTAGATCTGTATTAATAAAGGCAATTTTTATTGATTGTTGCGTTTCGTTAGGATCTAGGGATTCGCTAGAGGACACCGGTAAGGATATAGCGAATCCTTAGATCCTTTTAGTTGGAAACAAAGGAGATTCACCTCTTGTGACTGAGTTTGAATCGTGACTTCTATAAAAGAAGCTCGTTTTCAAACGGTTCTGGAATATTTACAATTTCACTGTTGCCGAGGGTAGTCGAAGAGGGAAACTAGGGCTGAGAGAAGGGCACGGAATCGATAGCAGGCAGTCTCCATAAACCCTCCCTAGGGATCATTGAACTACGGGAACCCAGACACGACGCATAGTGATAGGAAATTTGAAAAAGCTAGCCAACAGGTAATCTCTTTATTTCTTATTTTTATACGTTGATGTTTGGACTAAATTGGGGCAAAGAAAAATGGCGCGGAGTTGAGGTGCATTTGTGCTATTGAGATTAAAATCACATTTAAAACGCAGTCGTAGTGGTAGTTATTCTAATATACACGACTGTCGATAGTTCACCATAAATAGGCCATTCCTGAGGATGAAAATTAATATCAGTGTACTTATTCTATACATTAGGTTTCAACGGATACGGAAATGTCAACAGAACGATCAAACTGCAGTGGAAATAGCGCGCTAAACACATCGACCCAAACGTTTCACTGTAAACATTAACAAATAATATTGACTTATAGCGTACGAAACGTCATGTACTTAATTTGACTAATTTTTATATTGTACATTACACTTTCCCTCGCATTTGAGGGAATCCAGTTCGATCAAAATTACGAACGAAGAGATTTTTACTTCGAAATAACCGATCTGGTAAAATGTTGCAAGGGGGTGATAATGTTTCACTTTCCATGCATGTAAAGACTAAGCTCACGAATTCCCCCGAGCAGAATATCGTTCGAAGGATTAGCGTCTAAGGATAGGTTTGTTGGGTCAACCTTACCGTCCGTCAGCAACACCTGGACGCAAGGGTTACGCTTTCGAGCAAACACACCTCCCCCCACAGAAATACTATTACCAACGAACAATTTCCACGGATAAACACTTTCTGGCCAACTTACTGAATTCGGGATTTGGGGTGCAGCGCGGGGACGCTTACCATAAAAGCCAAGAATGACCAACAGGCAAATGACGAGAACGTAAGCGCGCCTCATGTTGGCGTCGGTATCCTTGCACGATTAGGGGTATATCCTTGGACGATCAGGCGGTCCCTTTCCCGCGGTAACCGTCGTGAAGGGCTGCACGCGACCGGGCGGCGCTCAGGGCGGTCGTGAACCGGAAGTAGCAGTACCAGAGCGAAAGAGAGAGAGAGAGAGAGATCGACCGATTTAGGGGTTGGCGAGGCCAACCATTCGGCCTCGGGAGCTGCTGAAGCACTGTTCACGCTCGTCGTTCGTTGCTCGATGCGATTGCAGCGCAAGCTCGCGACTAAGGCGACGATGCTCGCAGCGACGAGCGGAACCGCGAGAGTACGTGATTGCGCGCGTGGAACATCGTCGTCGGCAAGACGGGGCGAGACGAACGATGGAAACGGACTCGTCAACGAACAGCCCAAGGCTCAAACGATTTAGACGCGATGCTGATACCCGTACGCCTCCGACGATGGACAGATTCACGACGGTGTTCATGGCGGAATCAATATTTTTTACGATCACCATGAGGGGAGGCGAAGCACGCACTGCGCAAGATTGATTTTTTCTGTATCGCTGAGGTGGTAATTTTTTTTTTTCTTTTACTTCGGTTGCAAGAGGATACTTTGGTGCACAACACCGATTTTCACCCTCTTTAAATAATTTTTTTTTGTCGCGGACAAACATTATATGCGCTTGATACAACTCAAAAAATATGACGTCATTAAACTGTGCACATCAACAGAAACAGGGATGAAACAGTTTAAACACACTTTTGGAGCAACGTTTTTTTAAATAGAAAGTAATTACAAATTCAGCTTGCCAGAATGTCGAGACACAAAAGAATCACGATTGAACGTATACGTGGAAATTTTGCAAAACGTTGAAAACTAAAAGAGTTCGTGTGTTCATAATCAGGAAACGGGATCAAGAAAATTTAGACCTACGCTACTTTAAGAAAACGGTCGAATTATGTCTTTGATTCATTACACGGACTCACTGGTACGTAATTTGTACGATAAGCTAACTTATCTAATCAGAGCAAGTACTGTTATTATTTACTATTAACGAAATAAAATGATGACTGTATTCGTATCTTTAACCTTGCCAGACATTATTGCGAGACTCGAGCATGAAATAAAGATTGTGTAAATATAATAAATATTGATAGACGCGTTTCGACCGTTCTAGAGTAAAGACGAGAGTCGATTTAAGATGTACGGTTTTATTTAAGAGGAAATCACGCTTTAATAAAATCACGGTGAGATATTCTCCCCTTGAGTCGTTCAACTTTCCTTTCGAGGCTCTCCATCACCATTTAGAGAGGAGATACAACCCGCCCCAGTTTCTACGATCGCTCTGCGGATACTTGGCTTTTTCCGATACATTGGAAAAATTGGAGCTTCCACTCGAAAGGAGGAAGAGTACCGAGCATCTTAACTTCTCGCGGGCAATGTAGCTTAAGCAGGAGGTCCTTAATTCGCCGATAACAAAAAGGTACGATTGTTTTGACGGATAAAGCAGGGCTGTACGTTAAATGGGGAAGGCCGTGGGCGGTACGAAGAGCTTTATGTTCAAATGGAGCGTAAAGTGGTGGTTTGGAACACGCTAAGTGGATAATATCCCTTTTCCTGTGACACACTGAACGTCATGAAATGTCATGGAAGCTCTTCTAATATGTTGCACGCGAACAATACGCGTAAAGGAACGTGGAAGGTACGCTTCCATGTTGTTAAAAAACTTCTTACATCATCCGTTAAAGCATAAGTTTTTTTTTTTCAATCCCGACGATGAAAACTGATTGCAACAAAATCATTGAACTTAATTACGCTTTAATGCGGCACGAAGAAGGGAGATTCCTCCTCGTTGTCACGATTCGTTGCTACTACCTTCGTTGTCCACGCTTTGAACGATCGTAACTTTTGGGATACGTGTGTTAGGAATTACCGAAAGAATCGAACTATGGTGTTTATTTTGTATATCCTTCTGTGTATGTTAATTTCTTTCATACATTACATTTAGTCTCATTCTCGTTGTACTTCTTTTATCGCAGTTAGCATTTAACATACTTAGCAACACAGTGAGTCCCTGACACGTCTTCGACGATTACGTTATACGTGGTAAGTATTTGGTTTGTGTGCGTTTTTTTAGACCAGCTATTCGGTTTAGTAACATCATGCGGTACGAAAAGTCGAAAATTATCTACCTCGCTTCGTATCGAAATAGCGATACATCGATTCTATTTGTCACGTTCATGCTGGAGTAGCGTTTGCAACGAGGGATGGAGTTTATAAATTAAACTCGAATCTCACGCGACAACAACGAATTTGTTATTGCATCGAATTAAGTAATATATTTTTATTTATCAACGGCCAAAGAGGAAACAGAATTTATCACTACGGCGTCGTGTTCACCTGTCAAAGTACAGTATAACCTTTTGTACGATAGCATTGGTTTCGTAACATAAGTAAGTTATGTTCAATAACTTTTTCTTATTTATAAACAAAGTAGAAAATTACGTTCGATCGATTATATCATTTTCATTATTATTTACGAGTTTCCCATTTTAAAGCCAATTGGTCAATATCAGGAACTTGATAGTATGATTTGTATTAGAATTAGAACGTGTTACAACTTATTTATTTCACGATCTAATACTCCGACTGATAAAAGTAGCGCGCGTTATCGTAATGTTTTTAGATCACATATTTTATTCTCCAGACTGTAAACTCTGAAAGAAGGACAACGACGCTAAAATATATTGTGATCTATTGGACATATACAGGGTGTTCGGCCACCTCTAGCAAAAATTTTAATGAGCGATAGTAGAGGCCAAAATAAGACGAAAATCAAGAATACTAATTTGTTGGTGGAAGCTTCGTTAAAAAGTTATTAACGTTTAAAGTGCCGCTCTTACTGAATTTTTTTCTCGAAAATGCGCAAGATTTCGGGGGTATGTCTATTCACCAAAAATGACTGTAATTGAACCCTACAATCGAAAATAATTTTTCCACAACGATTTGCAATTTTTTAATTTTCTCGAATAATTTCACACCTTCTCTATTTTTTTTCTCGAAAGTGGGCAGGATTTCGTGGGTATGTCTAATGACAAAAACTGATTGTAATTGACCCCCGCAACCGAAAATAATTTTTTCACAACGATTTGCAATTTTTTTTCTCCGTTGAAAAATTTAGGCACCTAATTAGATTTTCAGTAAGGAATTTTTTTCTCGAAAGTGCGTACGATTTCGGAGGTATGTGTAATGATAAAAAATGATTGTAATTGATCCCCGCAACCGAAAATAATTTTTCCAGAACGATTTGAAATTTTTGAATTTAATTGTTAATAACTTTTTAACGAAGCTTCCATCAACAAATTAGTATTCTTGATTTTCGTCTTATTTTGGCCTCTACTATCGCTCATTAAAATTTTTGCTAGAGGTGGCCGAACACCCTGTATAACTTTAGAAATCTAGTGGGTGTTAAAATTAATATTATCGTCGGTTAATTACAGATAAAGTAAAACACGCAAATGAAAAAGAGAAATTAACGATGCAGATGAAGCGAAATATACTGCGAATACTATTGTTCTTGTTCGTTTTTCAAGGAGGTAAGATTCACTACGTAGAGACCGTATTTGTCGGTCGTAGATAATGTCGAATAAACTCTTATCAAGTAACGATAAAGAAACTATAGTTGGTAGATCTCTATAACCTTACACCGTATGGACTTTCGTGGTCCAATCTGACTGACATACCGACTTGAAAATTCGGAGGTGATTTTAGCGTCCTCTTCTCATGGATGGCGGTCATTTATTTATGTAGTAGAGCTCATTGGTACCTTCAAAAAAGTATTAAATAAAATTTCCGTACACCGTCAAAGAAATTTATTAAAAATCGAAAACGAATTTTTATGAAAAATCGGCAGGGGTACAGAAATTTTTAGGCGAAATTAAAAAATTTCAAATCATTCTGAAAAAATTATTTTTGGCTGCGGGGGTCAATTACAATTATATTTGGTGAATAGACATACCCTCGAAATCCTATCCACTTTCTAGAAAAAAATTCAAGAACGTGTGAAATTTATCGACGAAAAAAAAAATTTCAAATCGTTCTGAAAAAATTATTTTTGGCTGCGGGGGTCAATTATAATCATATTTGGTGAATAGACATACTCCCGAAAACCTATGCACTTTTCAGAAAAAAATTCTTTTCCAAAAGGATAATATGAGGCTAGAAATGTTCCTCCGAAATGCGTGTGTTTAAAAAATCATAACTCCTGAACGGATTGGAGGATTTTAAAGTTTCAAAATGCAAACAACGCGTACTTTAGTGTAGAATGTTTAGAAACTCCAAGAATATTCGAAAACTTGTTCCTTCATCCCATAAAGTGAGAAAAACCCCATATAAGTGGTTCCATTTTTCAAACGGCCATAACTCCTACAATAGTGAATATATTTAAATGAATTTTATGTCTGAAATAGAGCTCATTTGTACCTTCAAAAAAGTATTAAATAAAATTTCCGTACAGCGCCAAACAAATTTACTAAAAATCGAAAACGAATTTTTATGAAAAGCGACAGGGTGTAGATGCAGAAATTTTTAGGCGAAATTAAAAAATTTCAAATCATTCTGGAAAAATTATTTTTGGCTGCGGGGGTCAATTGCAATTATATTTGGTGAATAGACATACCCTCGAAATCCTATCCACTTTCTAGAAAAAAATTCAAGAAGGAGTGAAATTTTTCGACGGAAAAAAAATTTCAAATCGTTCTGAAAAAATTATTTTTGGCTGCGGGAGTCAATTACAATCATATTTGATGAATAGACATACTCCCGAAATCCTATCCACTTTCTAGAAAAAAATTCAAGAAGGTGTGAAATTTTTCGACGGAAAAAAAATTTCAAATCGTTCTGAAAAAATTATTTTTGGCTGCGGGGGTCAATTATAATCATATTTGGTGAATAGACATACTCCCGAAAACCTATGCACTTTTCAGAAAAAAATTCTTTTCCAAAAGGATAATATGAGGTTAGAAATGTTCCTCCGAAATGCGTGTGTTTAAAAAATCATAACTCCTGAACGGATTGGAGGATTTTAAAGTTTCAAAATGCAAACAACGCGTACTTTAGTGTAGAATGTTTAGAAACTCCAAGAATATTCGAAAACTTGTTCCTTCATCCCATAAAGTGAGAAAAACCCCATATAAGTGGTTCCATTTTTCAAACGGCCATAACTCCTACAATAGTGAATATATTTAAATGAATTTTATGTCTGAAATAGAGCTCATTTGTACCTTCAAAAAAGTATTAAATAAAATTTCCGTACAGCGCCAAACAAATTTACTAAAAATCGAAAACGAATTTTTATGAAAAGCGACAGGGTGTAGATGCAGAAATTTTTAGGCGAAATTAAAAAATTTCAAATCATTCTGGAAAAATTATTTTTGCCTGCGGGGGTCAATTGCAATTATATTTGGTGAATAGACATACCCTCGAAATCCTATCCACTTTCTAGAAAAAAATTCAAGAATGTGTGAAATTTTTCGACGGAAAAAAAATTTTAAATCGTTTTGGAAAAATTATTTTCGGTTGCGGAGGTCAATTATAATCATTTTTGGTCATTACATATACCCCCGAAATTCTATGCACTTTTGAGAAAAAAATTCTTTTCCGAAAGGATAATGTGAAGCCAGAAATGTTCCTCCGAAATTTCATGCGTATATTTAAAAAATCATAACTTCTGAACGGATTGAAGGATTTTAATGTTCCAAAATACAAACAACGCGTGTTTTAGTGTAGAATGTTTAGAAATTCTAAGAATTAATTAAATTAAGTAAATTTTATATGAGAATGAAATATGTTCTGTCAACAAAAGAAAATATTAATTTTACTATTGTATATTATGTATCGGTACACGTAAGAAGAAACCAGAGCCATCGAGTGTTATCAGTGCAACAGTAAAGAAGACGAAGATTGCACCGACAGTGGAGTAGACATTAAATACTTGAAGCCATGTCCGCCATCGCATAAATTTTGCCGTAAAGCAGTGTACATATGTAAGCATACGTTCTTAATCCTTTCTATGGTCACTGGCTTCCAAAGTCGAATGACGTTTTAAAACATTAATCGAATCAATGTTTTACGAAACAGTGGTTCTTCGCTCCTTCGATCCGTGTAAAGTCTACCAAAGATAAACGTTGTGGATTTTCAGATTACTTCACGGACCCCAAGGAACACATATCCGTCTGTGAGTGCGCAAAGTGGCGAAATGCCGAGCAAGATTGTTACAGAGGTCGTTATACGCGCGACAGTTATCAACTCGTTTGCGAATGCCATGGCGTAGGATGCAATCGGTCCACGAGATCGTCGTCGAGGACAACGATTTTACTTTGTGTCCTGTGTCAAATTGCACTTATTCTCCTTTTAATCTGATAAATAGTTTATTAAAAAAGTAATATCATTAGAAGACGATCAATTTGTTAACGATTAACAAATTCAATTTGGATGCTGTGTCAGCGCGTAGGAAGATCGCCTGCTATTATTTCTATTTTAAACAGCAACGATGTCTGTAGCCGTACAATTTTCAATAGATTAAAAATGACGTTTCGTAGCGACAGCACGAGGTTGCGTTGGATATAAATGATTTAGTCGCGAAAACTAAACGCTCGCTCGCATTTATCACATCCCGAGCAACGAGTAAGGAGTGCCGTCGGTTTTTTGCCGAACACGGAAGAAAATGGTCGTTTTTATCCCAGTTGGCTCCCGGCCAATCGAAGTTTCATACTACTCCGGAACGACCGGAGTAAGTGTCGATTATACGTCTATTTATACATCGATTGTTTCTGATCTGGAGATATAAACATGATTCATGCGTTCCTACGCGCCTATGTCATCTTTAAACAAATTATTGACGTCGTGATAACATTATGTTGGCTCAACCTGCCACGCAAGTCCAAACTATCGATGACTTTTAATGAAAATATTATTCGCAGAATTCTTACATGTCAACAAGCACTAGCAAACAAATAATACACATCCAAGTATAATATTCGCTGTTTCTGTTATTACTCTGCTCAAAACATAATAATAGGTAGCTAATTTTAAAAAATCTATTCGATGAATAACGTTGGTCGTTTGCACAATTACCATCGTTTATACTGATATAATTCGCGGTACGGTAAAATACGAACGTCACTCCAGTATTTAGGTGACGCGTCCCCTGTGGCTTTTACGTGTCACCCATATCCGCGTGACATGGCGGTCGACGTCTTAATGACCGCGAGCAAGTTATCCGACCATTCCCATCGGGACGAGAGCGAATTAACAAGAACAATCGTTCGACGGACGGTATTCCGGACCCCGCCACCCACGTCATCCTTATTGTTGCCGTCGAATTGATGGAACGTTCTCGAAGGAACGTTTGCACGACACCGGCTGATTTATCTGCGCGAGGAAAGTTCCTTTCCGCGATCCTCGAAAACAGGATATTTCTCACTCTGGAAACGATTCCGCGTGTCCGTGATCGTTCTGTGTGCGCGAAACAAAATGGCGCGACACGGGGGCCGCGGAAAGATAAGAGGAGGCTGTTGGAAGCGAGGGCCTCGTAAAAGTGTTTGCATCGTTAGACGGATAATAACGTAGACGAGGTCTGGCCGAGCATCCAAGTATTCTCGCGAATGTAGGTGGTGCACGCGGTCGTTCTTCCTCGTCCTTCATCGCTCGCAACAGCGTCTCCGACCCGCCTTCGTCGATGGTATTATTACTATTTGGGTCGCGGCAATGTGGCGCCGAGCGTCCTGACGCTCTCCGGACACTTTTCACCAGCCACACTTTCATTATTGCGCGTCGACGATTCTTGCTTTCGAACCGTCGATCGAACGTTCCGGGATACCAGTGGAATAACCTTTCGCGAATCGAGACATCGACAAAACGGTAACACGCGAAACCTTAGGTGGTCTTAGGTGGTTCGAGATCCAAAATGTATAATTGTTCGTTACACTAGGGCATCCTTAACTAGAAGAATCAATTCTCATGTTCAGATGTTGAGGAAAATAAATTTGGATAGGATTCGTGAATTTGAGTAAACTTACAAAAATAAGTACCGAAACAAATTTTAGGTTTTGCAGTGGAAACAATGGTTTAAAATCAAAATTTTAGTCGTGAAGAAAGTTGCACGGTTTTCTTCAGGTGAACGTGTTAATAGGAAGAGTTCTTATTTTATCCTATACTTTGTTCAACGAGTCTTTGTCGGTGAAAAAAGACAGAACTACCAATAAGCAACGTTAGGTCCGTCTTTCGAGTCATCGCTTTGGTTTTCGTAATTAGTTGCTTTCTACTAGCACGCACGGTACGTTTCGTGCTCGGTTTCGTCGCTGAAAGTTCCCAGCGTTCAATTAAAACTTTACCCGGTGATTAGCGTAGGAACAAAAACGCTCGAGTGTTTTGAAATGCATCGATTGCGCGCGAAAACGATACTTAACGCTCGTTGAACGTATGCCAAGGTTGTTATCTGCATTATAAGGCGTCCCTCGCGGGGACTACTTACAATAATGGATACCACAACGGTGACACTTCAAGATTTATCGGTTTGTCACGATGTATCGTACTATGACTTCTGGAGAGATGCTCGAATCTTTGTATGCATTAACCGACGCTCGTAAATTCGTACAATTTGCGGACAACTTCGCGACAAGTTTCATAATTTATGCGCCGAATTTTGTAAATTTATAGAACGTGCACAAAAGGTATTCGTACGATCGTTGGAATCTTTTGCGTTACGATACAGCAGCGACGAGACGGTCGAAAAATCGTCGAGCGACGTGAAAGATTTCCTAAATGACGTTGAATTATGAGACGAACGAGCGGTTGACTTATAAGGAAATGTGAGAGGATGCCCGGGAGGTTGGTTTCTTCGGATGAAAATGGTAAATCGTCCATCGGATGGTCGTAAGAAAACTCGCGTTCCGTCGCCCGAATAGTTTATGATCTCGAGAAATGACGTCAGATAAATACGATACTATATTTCACCGTGAGTAAATAAAGCGTAGGAAAATGAATCGAAACAACGAAGGCCGTTTAAAAACTATAACCGAACGTAATTCTAAGATATGGAATAACGCAAAAATATTGCTTTGTAGTCACATATCGAATGCCCCTGTTTTAGATTGTACAATATTTCAACTTTATCGAAAGTAATCAGCAGCAGAAGGTCTGTTGGGGACGAAGCTTGGAAAAAGTGCGTGATCTAATTAAACAGGCGACGGAGAAACGGGGAGAATGAAAAACGATACATTTTACCAAAAGTCGTTTGAAACGTCCAAAAAAAAGAGGAGAACGCATTAAGATAGATCGAAATACAGAGCATAACTACGAGCAAAGAGGAAGGATACTGTGGTGGATTCTCTTAGTAATTGCTAAACCCCAAACTGTGAGCTAGACGGCGTCGTTGGCGTCCTGGATCGGCGCCACGGCGCCGGACGTCTCTCGTTTTCATCCTTCTCCATCTTCGTTCCACTGTCTTTATCAAAACGTACTGATTTTCAGAAGAACGGAATCTACGCAACTATGAATCCATCGTGTTCGAGCAAAATGGCCGACGCACGATTAATGATGCTGCCCGTTGGGAACCGGGGACGCGATCGTATAAAATTCAACTTTTTCGCTTATTCGCGCGAACGGAAAAATGCATCTCGTCGTCGTAGAATCTCGTTCCGTGGTAAAGAAAGAGGTCACGGGATAAACTAAAATGCAAACTGCGCGTAATTCGATGCATTTCTATCGAGCTGTTGAATGGCATGTTTAAATGTATACGTGCATCCGGGGAAAATATAAATGTAGAAGTAAAAGTAGAACGTTTCTGGGTGGATGGTTGACCGAGAACGGAGTTGTTTACAGAAACTGACTGCGACGGGCGCCGCATAATATAAACACTGTAGACCTTAAATGACGCTCGTCCTAGGAAGAAAATCTCAAATATGATTCCTAGGACGGTCGAACCACGATTAAGCCTAACTGTTCGCCAGTCTAACGCCAACGCCCGAACGACTCGGTCAAATTGTAAATGCGCACAGCGAGGCGCGACTTCTTTATTCTCCTTCGCTGAACGCTGACTAAGGATATTACTTTCGACCTGAATTCGCAAGAATCAAGATTAGTTGAATAATAAGATAAAATAGGATTAATGTGGATTCTCCTGGTTATCGGAGTTGTGCAATAAAAGTGTTTAATTGACATTTTGGCCTAAGACGAAGATCTTTTACAGGATTTAACAATTTGAACAAAAATTTAACAATTTGTTGAAACATCGCAAGAACGCAATTATTTTAAGCGTGCCAAACTAATTCGTTCGCGGTAAAATTTAGGAAGTAAGTGTTTTGTCCCTGAAAGCGTGTGAAACAGACGTATTTTCGGCGACACGTAATTACAACGTTCGCAGACCGTGAATGTATAGCACTGTCACGGATATTTGCAGCTCTACTTAGGCTAATAGGCTATTAATGTTGTTCGACGTATCCATGTTTTCGTCCCCTCGTCTTCGACGCGAATCTCGAAGAATAGTATTCAGAGTTCATGCCAAACCGATTCAACAGTGCACTTTCCAACGTGAAACGAAGGTAGGGAGTATCGCGTTGATCCAACAAACGTTACGAGATCGTTGCGCGGACGATACACATACGCGATTAAATAGGCGAAATCGCAGACAACATTTTTGGCGCTTACGCGATGCAACAGGTACATATATTGAAAATTATGCAAATGTTGTGTGGCTGGTGGAGTTAGAAGAGTTCGTTGGTACCGTAACTATCGATGCCACACATTTTTTCTTGGGCCTCTAAGTGTGTATACTTAGTACTTTAACTTCATATAGAAAATCTACAAACGACGTAGAGATGTTTTAATTTTCATGGGATGAGAGACAAAACGCCCTTGAAAATTAATTCTGTTTCAAGTCGATATCATAGTTAGTTCTGGAGAAAACAATTATTTACGAAAAAATACTGGCTAGTAATTATGCAAACATCCTGTATACAAATTTAGATTCGTTTTTAATTAAAGAAACAATTTCTGAACCAGTCGTATAATCAATAGGAGTTGCCAAAATGTCTTTCGGTATGTAGAGTCAAAGTAAATGTTAAAATAAACACAGAAGACAGCCTAAAAAATAATAGTTCATGTGGTCATCGGATAGGGGATGAAATGCCCTTTAAAATGAGCGTTTGTACGAGTCGATAGCGTTATTAGTTCCGGAGATATAGCGATTTTAATTTCAAGTCGATGCGGTGGCTAGTTTCGGAGATAGGGTTTGTTTACATTTCGTTGTGCGCTCGCGAGTTCATTGATCTCGCGCGCGCGAAAATAGTAAACAGTGCGTAGTAAATTCTTGGAAATACTACGCCGAAACTAGGTCACGACAGTCACGACTCACGTGCGACAAAGAGGTACGACGCGACGCGTCAGACGGAGACAGAGATAGTCGAATTAAAAAAATTACCCCTTTATATAAATTACGATATCTCGAAAACGGAAAGTCGGATCGTCAAAAACCAAAAACCATTTCAAAGGGGAGGCCTTGCCGCTTCTAGCACTCCTTCAATTTTTGATAAAGCACTAGCAGTTTCGAAACTATATGCGTGTAAATTTTAACTATTTTTAATGCGCATTAATAGGCTTCTGTAAGGCTGACAGAGAGATCATAGTAGAATTCAAAAAATTGCCGCTTCATTTAAATTACGATATCTCGAAAACGGAAAGTCGGATCGTCAAAAACCAAAAACCGTTTTAAAGGGGAGGCCTTGCCCTTTCTAACAGTGTCTCAATTTTGAAAAAAACACTAGCAGTTTCGGAACTACATGCGTGTAAATTTTAACTATTTTTAATACGTATTGTTAGATTTTTAAGACAGTGGAAATAGAAGATTCTCCCCTTTCATCTTTCCTATATATTTCCTATTTTCATTGGAAGCTAACCAGACTTTTATATCGAATTTTATCCGATTTGTTACAAAAAAATATGAATCGTTCAACCGGTTAGGTGACCGGACAGACTAGATATTTTTTTCAGAAAACAAACAGTAAGAACAGAAGTGAATATTGAAAAATGGCAGTAAAATAACATTGTATGTTAAAAATTTAAAAAACGATCATTCGACCGGTCGTGGAAGGTGCAGTGTTAAATACCTAAAATAAACTGCACTTTGTAAATAGTATGGTTTAAATTAAATGTGGTTTCTGGCACTGAAAGCTTGATATCTCAGCGAATAATTGCAAAGTCGCTTCTAAGATTGGGATTTAAATTTTAAAAACTCTAATTGTTCCTTAGCCTCGGGCCTGAAGACCTTAATTCGGCACTGCTCCAGGATACAAATAACACACCTGGCATCAATGCGCGAATCTAAGTTCTAAATATAATGTTACTATAGAATCTATTCGTCGTATATTGCATAACAATCGGATATATCCATACCATATTACTCGCGTGCAGAAAATCTTCTGAAAAACGACAATGCTCAGCGAACGAATTTTTTATTTCATGGCGTGACGAATCTTCTACACGAGATGACGTTTTTGAGATCTATAATATGCATTGATGGTCAATCGAACGTCTTTGTATTTCAAGAAAGATGTGCCATTTCGTGGACTGAATCAATAGATAATCAAATTGTAGGACGTATTATACTTTATCCAACCAAATCAATCTGTTATATTAAACATCCTCTGTGATACAGTAAATGTAAACAGCCACAAAATTCTAAATGATTTGCAATACCGTACATTTGTGTAAAAGGATCAATATTCCCATATGTCGAGATGTATAGTTTAGATTCGAACGGAGGGAAACTTCGCGGCGTTCTCGGGGGAGCGTTTAGCCTTATCTGACCCAAGATAGGAGGCCGAGCAGGAGATAATTCTACATGGAAGAAACAAATCGAGAATAAAGAATAAAATTTCAGGAAATCGAGTTTCAAAATCTATCGTCCACGCAATAAAGTACAAATTTTTAAATTCAATCATCTCGAAAACGAAGCGTTATTTTAAAAAATTCTATTCCTCGTTTTCGACTTATTTCCCCCTGTAGAATTATCATTAACGCTTTTTATTATTTATAAAGCGAGTTACGATGATAGAAAGAAGGGACAAAGCGCGTAGATTGGGGCTCGTTGCGATTCTAGGCAGCAGGGAGCCGCGCGTGAAACGTAAAATTAGTACGTTTCAGAAAATTGGCGACCATTCTGACGGCGTGTTTTCAAGCGCGGAACGTAAACACGTATAGAGGGAGTTCGTGAAATACGGTGGGACGGTGAACGCGCCGCGTTGATCCGCACCCAACGATCCAGCGAGAGATTCACCAAGCGGGCGAAATCTACGCGCCTTGCGCGAGTACGCGAGCCGCGTTGGCGGGGGTGAGAAACGTTACGGTGGAAATAGGAGAGGAGTGGCGTGGTGAGTGGCGAATCTCGCAATCTCGTACTCGCGATCAGGCCGTGGACTCGACGACAACCCTTCACGGAGCCAGTGCTTTGCTCTCCGTCACGCATCGCAGTCGCGTTCCGTTCGCCGACCACGAATTTATTCCGACGAAAAGGGAAACCGTCGCACGCAACCGCCAGCATGAATCGAAGGATCCCAGTGCTAATCGTCGGTTTCGCGCTCGTCTTGGTAGTTCGTTCAGGTGAATATTCTATGAATACGCTTTCCGCGCAGAGAATGACCAAACGCGGATAGCTTTTCTTCCCTCTTAAATTTTGTTTTTCTTTCTCACGTTCAGTGAGATATTAGTGAAAGCGAAAAAGAAAGTTTGCTCTCCTAGAGTGACGAAATTATCAGGTTCGATTATCAGTGATTTTACCAACTGTCAAAGTGACACGAAGAGTGTTTTTTTTTTTTAAATTTTTTAGACTCGTAGTAGGTTATTTTCGATTATCAATTTCGTTGAGTTTTCGATGTTTTGTACGAACAATGGTTCTTTGATGAAATGAACTCAGCGCCACTTTGAACGTAAACACGAAAGCGCACGAGGGGTCAGAGGGTGTAATACACGTATGTAATTGGAAGTCCCAGTGTATGTCGGAGAGAATTGCACGTTTAAGCAGGACAAAGTAAAAGATTTTACGCAAATAATAAAATGGATTCCCGAGTATTAATTATAATGTTATTGTAGTTGTACTTTTTATTTTACGTACGAATTCGATTGCTGGGAACATTTTTCGGTCGAACATTTTTACGTCTGTTCCCGAGAAAAAGTTATCCGCGAAACGAGTTGAAATAACTGCAACAAGTTACCCACCGTCCGACATAGCAAATGCATTACTACTTTCGTTCCAGTGAAACTTACGGCATTTTCGCTATCGTAATAATTTTCACTCTTGAGCGACCAAAGATATATTCCCCTATTCATTTTCATATATTTCGAACATGTATTTTGTAAAATTTCATAGAAATATAGTTCAAATTTACTACTTTAACTACGATTAGCAATTTCTACTTGTTTTCAGTAACATTTGCCTTTGCATTTATAATACATCTTAGATTTTGTTGAACTAGTGAAATTTAGTTTTTTTAAATATAGTTTAACATTTATTTAACGTTGATTACTTGTTGTCAATATACTGGAATTAATCACAGTTTTTAATTTTTAAATATATCTGTTTTAGTAACTACTGTATATATTATTATGATACAATTTGACGTTTGCTCGATACACTTTAGTAAACTGTAAGGACGTTTCGATATTATACTTGCTGATTGCCCGATTAGGATCGTGGGTAGTGATGTCTGTAATTTTGAAGATCATTGAAATTTTCGGTCGTTTTCGAATAGCTTCAAAACAGAAGAATAGTAGGTTAACTGCAGTTTGTCGAACTGCGATTGGCTGAAGCTTACCAGCGTGAGTAGCGTCTCGACTCGCGGCGCCACGACGCCGCGACCCAAATAATAACTACGCACTGTGGCTCTCCAACGTAAGAGAGTACTTCCACAGAAAAATCTTCGATCACGATATACGTAAATTAACCTCCTCAAGGACGATTTTTTTTTCTTTTTTTGGACCTATTTATTATTTACAGTAACTATAATTATAAAAAAAAAACGTCCACATATGTGGCCAAGGGCGTGAAGAGGTTAAACTAAACTGTTCGATACGGCATATAAAATAATATATTTCATGTTGTCTTTGAAGATATCAAAAAAGAAATTAAGCTTATTTACATTTTGCAGGCGTTAGTTTCGAAAAAACGTTCGTGCAACAATTTTCTGCCTTCGTTATAACCAACAATGATAATTACGAAACTAGTTTTGACCTCCAACCCCCGAGTGGATCTTACGGAACTCTAGAACTCCGTTGAGCACCCTTTGAAAAAAGCTGCTTAAAATGATCGTCACGTCGGAAATAAAAATCACGTAACGACCCAAATTTCTCTGCGCTCTTTTTAAAATTTCGCCTCAGAACGTGTAGGTACGCGTCATAAAATATAAAAGATCGCAATAAAGTTCGTGTTTCGATGCATGACTGAAAAATCATCAGGTTCGTTCAAATTAAATTTCTTTCTCGCCACCGACGATGACTTAACATAATTTCGATAAAAATACTCTCAATCTCGATTTACGTTTCCTTTGGTGAACATCTGTCTTCTTTCTTCCCGGGCATCCTCGAGTTTTTAAAGCTGATTTCATTTCACGTCGAGGAACACGAAGATTTCTTGCGATACTTTGGTAAACAGTACTTTTCGAAACATATAAATTGCGCTCGTTTCTTATATCGTTTATAGTTTTCGTAGAGTTGGGAACTGTTCGAAGCAATTTACGCTCGTATTGTGGCAAGAGCATCTTGGGACGTTCCGCGCGTTACCTTTCACCATAATTTCCGAGTTTGGTAGCAAACTCTGCAACAGCACTCTTCGAACGTCCAAGTCTTTTTGCTGCTGTCTTCGATCGTAATTCTTTTTTTCTCTCGAAAAGTTGTTTCTCACATTTCTGGATAAAACTATCGCAATCAACGATGCTAACTATTACCGAAACAAAATAAAAAGTAACCTACCGTGAGTAATAATAAATATAAAAAAAGAAAACGGTGTTTATATTCATATTAATATGAAATAAGCAACGGATTAAAGAATGAAATTGAACATTTTATTTGTTAACGTTCTCGATTTTTCTGTTGCGTCGTTGTACATAGATATACGTTATAATGCATATCTGTATTCAGCATAGAGCGAAAAGAGACGCTGGGAAGTTACTCGCGACCATAAACATTCTTACGACGCGAAAGCACACTCCATTGGTTAGTTAGAATTATGTGATGGTCGAAAGGGACACGGCGTCGTGGGGGCGTCTACCAGGCGCCAGAGGGAACAGATTATTTACTTCTTTCGGGGAACTTCCGTGATAAGCTGTTATAAAATATTACCACGAATCGTTTAAAATACCGTCCTTTGAAAATTTGTTACAATTATAAAGGTGTATACTAATTTTAGTATCTTCAATTTTCGAGCAACTTTTTAATCGTGATAGAGTGATAAAACCGAGAAATAGTTCCGCCCTAATATTCAATTGTATCCTCTCATCGCGATAACTCGACGGGCACTGAGAACGGAATAATTTAGTAAGCCTGGTAGGATGGAAATTATGCCACTGACAACGTGTACAAGCACAAGAAGCGGTAAAAATAATGAATTCTGGAGAGATATATTAGCCAAGTCATAGCAGTGTGTACGAATACGAGAATGAAAAACTTCCTTTTCGCACGTACGACTTATTTTTATCGCGAATAGTCGTTATTCTTTTTTGTTCCAACTTGCCCCCTATTTTGATCGTAATTACTGCTATCGTACGAACAATTTGGATATAAAAATTTCAGCAAGAACATTTTTTTATTTATTTTGCGACCGGCCAATGACTTGGTTCCCAATATTGTTTACTATTTAATATGAAATTCTTTACAAGACAAATTATATTTGGCTTACGGAAGTAATTTCAATTTAAATAAACGTATTTTAAAAGTTTTCCGTTCGACGGAATTTTTTAAACCGTCGCGTCAAAGTTAAATCGTTCTCCCGTGATATTAATGCAATATCGACACGTTGTTTCTGCTAGCGTGAATGTCGAAACACGTTACGCTAGGATCTTTCATTTTTCAGACGAAAAATTGAAGTGCTACATGTGCACTTCGCTCACGAACGAGGGCTGTGACACTGATCCAAAAGCACACGACATCAAACCTGTCGAATGTACTATGAAGAATATGGTCGACTGGCAACTGAACGTTCAACAGTATGGAGCTTTAAGCGCAATATCTCGCATTTTCGAGGTCGACAATTCGCAGCAGTACCAGACTGCTGCGCCAATGGCCTGCGCGAAGATGGTTCTTATGGGTAAATTTTTAATCAAATCGTTCACGGTGGACGAATTTAAACAAAATTCTCGATGTTTTCGTAATTTACGCTTCCAACCCAATACCGTTTATATTAATTTGATCAAACGTTTCTGCGTTGCTTTATACAAGATCTCTAAGTACATACTAACATCATCAGTCCTTTTATTTACCAAAATGTAACATTCCATATCACGATTAAATACAAAATTCATCGATCGATCCATCCATTAAGATTACATTTAGTATTTCACACGTTGCTCACGCATCTTTGCCGCTCAACGAGAGTCGAGAGACGAGGCTTATCGTCCGACAAACATCGTTAAACGCTCGAATCTTTCTGTTATCAGTGGACAAACAGGAGGTCACGGTGAGGAACTGCCAGACAGCGAAGACGGAGACCATCGATCCGTGCAGAGCGATACAAGGAAAGTTTTCCTCCGACTTGTACCGTCTGGAGCACTGCGATCTTTGCACGCACGACGCCTGCAACAGTTCGGTCGCCATTTCCGCCAGGATTTTCCTCGTTCTATTGTCGTTGGTCGGGTCTGTAATTTTCGGCGGTCTTTACAATAGAGCGTAACCCTCCGCTAACGTGTACACAGATTTAATTGCGATCGAATACGCGTTACGATCGTTCCACAGCGCATTCTAAAACTCGAACACCATATACACATTGTTCATCGATGTTCCATGTTGTGTCATGTTCACAAAACTGCACGCGGCGGACAACCCTTGCGTTACGAAACCGGAAATCGAGATCGAGTTCCAACATTTGCCGTTGTTGTTCTATAAAATTTTTTAATTCTTCGGTGAATCGGGCCACGTTGATATTTTTTTTCTTTTTTTTTGTACGCAGCACTTCCGGATCCCTCGGCCGAAAGAACGTTAAACGGATCGTTGAGTCTCCGCGAAATCACGGGGCGGACGGAGCGAAATTTCTGGAGCAAACATTACGGGGGAGTTCGCAACGTAATTTTCTGGCTAATTCCTTCGTTAAATTCGGTTTAGGGCCGTTTATATCTCGCCTCTGCCTCGCCTCGACGCAAAGTGGGACGCGTGAAATAATTAGAAACGGAAATGTGACATTCTGCTCGATTTCGTTTCGGGACTACGGACCGCCGAATTATTGCGTATTCGAATGCTCGATAAATATTATTTCCAATACTGTTCAAACATTCTTGAGCATTCGAACGTTTTTATTATTTTAATAATTTCTCGTTTCAATGATATGTAAATACTGTATCGTTCAAATGATAATGTCGTTTCTTATTTCAATAATATTTTATTGAAATAAAAATATCAAAACACTTTCTTGCGTTTGCAGTAATGTTTGAATAATGATATTTAAGTACTTATTTATGTTCGTAGTGATAATGGAATACTTTCTTGCGCGAATAATATTGTTCGAATATTGAATTATTCGAGCGGTCCAAGGCCCTGTTCGAGACTGAACTCGAAACGAGGTCTATATAGTTGCATACAACGATCAAAACCATTCCCGACGATCGCGTGGCCGCGTTCCCCGCAAATGAAAATTTGAATATTATTGTATTCGTTAAAGTGCATTCGCGAATCGATGGTTCGAACGAGGCTCGACGCTGCAAGCATAAATTTATTAAATACAATTATATGCGTACGTATGTGTGTCGCGCAGACGGGAGGGCTTAACAAATGTGACTTTCGAATGGGAACGTCTGCACAGAGAAATTATGCTATCGAGCTTCTCAAGGACAAATAAAATATTATTACACGAAGATTATAACGAGCAATAAAATGTATATTGAACGATTCCGTCGTATTGTCGTTAAAGCAACATCCAGAATTCCGTGAAAAAGGATTTTTCAAACTACAGGCACAGAAATACTTATAAAACGTATAACACGAATCGTTTAATAAGCCTTCCTATCCTTCTTTAATTTCATTTAAGTAACGCAAAATTAAATTAAGAAAATATTGCTGCTCACTTATATATACATGTATATTGATCACTTGATATCTTTATGTTTATTTTTGTTTGTTTTAAAAAGAAAGCTTCGAAAGCAATGTTATCAGGATATTAATCAGAGTCTATTAATCACACGCAGTATCACTAAGGTGTTTACATATTGTAATTATTAAAACAAGGTAAAGCAAGATCTGAACATTGTTGGAAGCAGTAACGGTGAATACAATTTTTTTTTTTACGCAAACTGTTTCACCGCGATTCGATCGATCCAGTGCAGCACCAACACCCACGATACTTAACACTGTTAACGTTTATATTTCGTTGCATAAACGAAAGGCCATACGTACATTTTCTACAGTGGCATGCTAGTTCTTGCTTTTATTGCGAGAGATAAGATAACAGGTAACGAGGAGATTTGAGACGTAGATCTCAAGGTGGAACCACCATGGTTGGACAGCACAGTTTAACGATAGCGATCATTTTAATGAGTTTCGGTAAGTAGATTTTCTGATTTGTAATTTTTACTACCGCTATCGGACAATTATTACACGAATGTGCCTGATCGTGCAATTTAGTACAATCGTTGAGTGTCTACATTGGTAAATTGTTCGAGATTAATTTCTCCAACTACCTGTAACGTTTGTTAACCGTTTATGTAGCTTACAGACGTTTATTGAAAATATACCGATAAGCTGTTGTAACTAATTTTACTCAGAGAAAAGTTCAAATATAAGATTAAATAATTAACGCAAGATAATATAAACCTTGACACGCTTTTAAAGTATAAATTGATCAAAACGATAAGGAATAAAGTTTCTTAGAGTAAAATCAATAACGTTGGTGTAGTTGTGACGAAAAGAAGAACAGAAAAAAGTGTGTGTTCAAGTAAGTAATAATTAGATTCATTTTATTTATCCTCAAAAATATTCAAATGGCTCGTTAATTAGCCAACCGCAACCAACGTCGTAATTCGATTGTTTTTATTGACCGTTGTAATCCCGTCGATTAACTTCTCAAACAGGTTGATTAAACGATTTCATTTATTACCGAGTAAATTTATTCTGCGATTAATTGGGCTACCGTGACGAATCGGAATACAACAAAGCTCGAGAATTCCTTTAAAAATTCCCCCCAAATTAAACTCTCACAGTAAACACGGCGAATAATTTTTAAAAGATATATTAAACAACGTTATTCTTTTTTAATATTTTCGTACACGATTAAGAACGATGGATACAGCGGCGAATCGCGTTGCAAAGTGGAATTATTATCGCGAAAGACTCTTAATGAGAAAAGTGCCTCCGCTTTGGTTCTTACGGTAACTGTGTCGCATCTGAAGAAAGGGAGGAAACAACTTGTTAAATGTGCCTGGCAAAATGTCCTCTAAGTAACGTTCTTCCGTGTAACGCAGCTTCTTTCGTGAAATTTTAAAGTTATCTCCTCATGTATATAGAAAACAAAACAAATGAATCGAAATGAAATTAGTTGGACGTTAAGAATAAAGTTGGCTAATTCGAAAGGGAAAATATGGCAATGATGAAGGAATTCGTTAGTTTTTGTTCGTTATTTGAAAACCATGCTGTTGGTTAACAGAGTATGCAAGTGGAGGGACCTTATGGTGTTATGGCTGCAACACTGATTTAAGGGATGGCCACACGACGGAGTGCAATGACCCGTACAACCCAACGCCTCGTTTCGACTTAGTTGCTTGTCCTCAAAATGGCAGTCATCATTGTGTCAAAAGCGTCATTCTTTGTGCGTATACTGCATAACTAATAAGAGGAGGGGAGGTACAACTGGGGACGAGCACTTTTACGATGCAACAGAACTCAAAATGGAACAGATATAAAGTTCATTTTCTTTCCAAACGCTATAAACGTTTCGATTTTTTATTTTTTGACAGGTGCTACACGAGGTTAACAAGATTCTACGTATGTAATGAATAATAGACACAAATTTTAGAGCTGTTGCACGGGAATCTTCCCTTTAAATTTGATTTAAATCAAAAAGTGCTCGTCCCGTTTGTATTTTCACACGTAACACTAGATTGCTCCTGCGTGCGATGACCTTTATTACGTACGTGCACGCATCGCGTCCTCGTGCGCGCTTACGCCAACGTCGATTGCATTTGTCCACATACGCGGTAGCCTAATCGTCGGAACGCACAAACGAATTTGAACGAGGCACGTTAACGACAGAAAAATTCCTTGATATTGACGCGAAGCGTATCGAGAACACTGTCGTAAACCGTCGAAGATATAACTGGTCTTGTACAACGTTTCTCAAACTTAACCTTTCCACGAATTCTCTCAATAATAGAACATTTTTTTAAAAACTCATTAAACATCGTTGTAAGATAAAGTCTATCATAAAAATACAGGTCTCTATTTTAAACAAAGTTCAAATAACCTTGAAACTGAGAAACTTTGCTATTTAATATTTAGATTAAAAATTTGTTAATTTTACACCGAATTGCAAATATTTCTTAAAAGAAATGGGCCACTATTTTTTTTTTTTTCATTTCACGGATCACAGAGAGCACGTTTGGAATTCGACCTTAAAATTCCTTGGCGGTCTCAGATCGCGCGATAAGCAACAGCTCTGTTTCTTGCCGTATTAATTTTCGTCGAATTTATAGCTTCGAGTTTTTGCAATTAAAATGTTGCCTTGAAAGTGGCGGGGCTATGAAGCAACTATTTCCTTAATGATGCAGATAGGGACGTCCTGGTGACGGTGCGAGGTTGCGTGCCGTCACGCGAAATCGATGGATACTGCCAGCACGAGGAATATTTTCCCAAGTCCAGCATCATGTGTTCCTTCTGCAACAATTATGCTTGCAACGGTCAAGGATCCTATTATTTATTTATACCGTGGCATTCGATACACCTTTTTCTCTTAATTTCTCTATCAACGTATCTCTTATAATGTTTACCTCCTGCTCTAATCGTTCTTCCAACTGTTTACGAACAAACAACTAAACTACACGTACAACTATTATAAATTACAGTTGTACGTTACATAAATTTCTACACTTTGTTATCCTACTCGTATCATCCAATGCTATAAAGAATTTTGTAAAATGTAACTAATAAAGCTTTTCCTCCGACGAGTGCAAATATTTTTTTTCGTTCGTATATAATAAAAAGAAGGTTAATTTATTATTCGAAGTGGAGCCAAAGCTTGCTACCGCGTTGATGAGGGAAGTTTGTTTTTCAGTTATCGAATCGAAAGGAAAGACGATGACGTCGCGCGGCCGGAAACGGCTGTTGACTTCCAAGGCAGAAATTAAATGGCTTTATGAATGAACAGGGAGACATAGCCCGTTTGATGCAAGCTTCGCGTAGATGGTAGTAACTTTTAACTCGGAATACATTAAAACGTGCGTTCGTGGTTGCACACGTACCCGCGCGTACGTTCGTACGATCGAAGAGAAAGGGTCAAATGCTCGAGTCAATTTGGTAATGCCTTCTGGGGTTAACTGGTCTCCTGACCCCTGGCAAGACCTTCTTAACGAGTCGGCAGGCCTCACTTTGTAATCCTGCGTTTAGAGATCTGTGAGTAACTCGAACGATTGCAAATTCAAATTCAATGATGCGCCATTACATCACTATCCAATTCGAAAGTGCAGACTATTGGAGCAACAATTGAATAAAACTAAAAAAAACAGACAGAGAAGATAGATCGGAGGGAATCGGATTAAACAAATAGATGGTGTTCGATGCAACGATCTCGTAAACAAGGTAGCAGGGAATCCATCTCCGTCGCGTACTCAGTCAGCCAGAACGTCGGTACAGAGTAATGTGATTGAATTTGCAAGAACCGGTAGGAAACGCAAAGATACGAGTTTTGGATACGCTGGATAAAAGAGGATGGTCGGGGGGAAAGACAGGGACCATAAACCACGTTAGAATGATCGAGTCAGGGAGATCGTGGACGATTGGAAAAAGCGTTACGAGTTTCCACTGATATTGTGACTCGTAAACAGTCTGTATAAAATGTGGCTCGTGACTGGCCTCGGCTTCGTCGCGTGTCGCGATCGAAATTTTTGTAACGTGTTCGTTGAGAGTTGCACGATTGGTAATAATGGGACGGAAATAGCATCGGGCGCCATTTTGTACCTGTCATGTAACGAAACGTTCAAAACAATGCGTCAATGACTTTACATTTACTTCGTAGTTACGTGTATATTAGTACGGCAATTTTAATAAAAATAGCTAACGTTCGCGTATTTAGAGAGCAGGGATCATGGTATGTGAAACGTCTGTGCAATTCGAGTGCCCACGTAGACGAAACGAACGCTTACTCTAGTTTTGAGCATATACTCTGGTTTCCACCTCGAAAGATCCCAGAGCGTTCGACGAGCCCGTAATTATTCTAATGAGACCAATGAGGGCCGCGAGTAATGTCGGTCTCTGTCTCTCCCTTCCCCTATCCGCCATTATTGTTTCGTCTCTCGTGTTCTCTCGAAAGCCTCCTTCGGTTGTTTGCTCTTGACTCCTACTTCCTGACAGTTACATCGTCCGCGGAGGGGTTACGGGGTTATTAGGCACGACACGCGTTATTACGTTGGTCCACGTTAGCCGCGTGCCCGAGCGAAGAAACCAGAGAGAGGGAGCCAGGGAAAAAGGAGACTGTGCGTACGCTCTCGGCAAAAAGGGGGTGTTGCCTCTTCAGTATCGTAGTGAACACGTTCCGTGACGCCTGGTCAGCTCCTTTCCGTCTATTTCACCACGACAATTACGTATCGTTTTCTGGCCCATCGAGGAACCGCGTCGTTTGCGATCCGTGTCGACAACGATCGATCGAATTCGATTGGGAAAAGCGTTGAAATCTCCGAGTGACCCGTCAGAATGTCTTCCAGATTCGAGTGGATGCTCCTGGCTCTCGGGCTGGTCGTTCTTGCACGGTCAGGTGAGTCGAAAATCCTGTCCACGTTACGGAGAATACCCCTTGGATGTTCCGTGCGTTTGAAATAAATTTCTCTTTTCGAGTGTGAATAGAATTATCGTTTATTGAGAACTCGCGATCAATGAAGAAGCAACCATCTGAATTCCAACTGGGGATATTCTTTGTAGCTTTTTCGGTGTACATAGAAGTTAGAACGCTGGAATATATATTTTTGTATCGATAATTTCTTGGAAAGCGCAGAATTTTTGCAGAGAATATATTTTTAAATTAATCGAAGAATGAACTGAAAGGTAAATATAGAAAATAGCTGATGATAGTGATGTCTAGACTGCGGATGTTTATGCATTTATGGGGAATTTTAATTCTTAAGAGACTACAGAATGCACTTAATATGCAAAAATATAAGAAATACTTAAAGTAAGATACGAATTATTATATTTAAGGGTTGAGACAATCATCTACAAAGCTCCCATTTTATTAATTCTATTAATAAAAATATGAATTTGCATAAAGATCCGCAGTCTAGTGATGACAATTAACTTTCGTAATCAATTGTAATACAGTCCTTTCGATAATTGACAATTTTAAAATTGTAACTTATAAATGAAATTTTGTTATTACATGCTTCTGTTAATTTCGAGAATATTTAGACATTAGACGTGACTCATTGAATAACCGGTTGCTAGAGCATGAGTAAACCTAAGTACGTAATTTCTTTATTAAAATCTCCATTTGTATTCTCTTACTCAAGTTATTATTCTTTATTGCTGGTTTTATTGTCTCGTTACGTGACATTATTATCATTTTGTCAGACGTATTGTTACCACCTATTGTCATAATTTGCTTAACACCAATAATAATAATTTCCATAACAATTGTCCGAATGCAATCGCGATTAAAATTAATTACAACGATTTTCGTTACGTTTTACACAGTTTTTATATTTATTTCGTACTTGCAAAACAACGAAGATCGTTCGATTGTTGATGCGAAGTAACCAGTTACGTAATTATTGCATTCTTTCGAGTTTCCGTGATTCGCGATAGAGTATAAAATGAGTAATCTTTCAAGAATGAGATAGATTATGATATTATTACAGTTCTCAAGAAACGTGTTCAAACGTTACGTAAGCAATTCTTGCAAAAATTCTATCGCAAGAAACGTGATACAAAAAACTCAATAAACGCAAGTAAAGTATAAATACAAATTAAAAAATAATTTAATCCGATATAAGTATTTCAAATTTTTTGATCATTCTTTCAGTAATTCTTTGACACAGAGTAGTTTTTATTTTAACTAAATATTGTATCATATATTCTATATAAAACATAATTTTTATATTAAACACCTTTTCATGGAACGCACACTTTAATAGTTATTCTGGGTAGACAAGTTACGTAACTCACCCTGTATATTTAATCTTGCACTCGTGTTGTGCTAAATTATATTTTGATTTGTATGCATAATACGACGCGACAGTGATCGTGATTGAAATAGGAATAAGAAAATTATTGTATAAGGAAATAATTCGTAATGCATCCGATAGGTTCGGCTTTAAAATGCTGGGATTGTGCATCCAATATGAACGCTTTGTGCGGTGACCCAATGAATATCACGGAACATCAATCGACTTTTCATACGAAAATATGTGAAAGTGGCTACTTTGAAACATCGAAGCCGATATGCCGAAAAATCGTGAAAAGAGGTAAAAGAATTTACTTTGTAAATATTCAAACGATCAGGAAAGTCAACAAATCCCTTGTTCCCACATTATTTGATGTTGTTTCCTGAAAAATATTACTATTGACTTCGAAGTCCCATTACGATTTCAAATTCCATTATTCTGATGTATAAATCTGTTTACGAATGAAACGTGTATAGAACTTTGTTTATAATATTGTTTATAATAGTTAAGGAATTGTTTTTTTTTTAGATGTATTATGACAATCACTGTTCTTTCTTTCTTTTATTAATTTTTATAACAGATCAAACTCAAGCGGTAAAACTTAGTAAAAAGATTTTTTGTGCATCGATTCCAATCGACTGTGTTTGTTGGAATTTGTTTGCAGCCAAGGTTTCTTGGCATCAGTCATAAAATTAACGATACGCTGCAGGATCGTGAGCAAGATCCTTACGTGTACGATGACGCATTCGTTGCGTGAAATCGTCGCATCACCCCGTGATCATCGTCTTCGAACCGATTGTTGTGGCGCGCAGTGTCGCGCCCGTGAGTCATGGCGCTCGCTCCTTTGCCATAATTGCGATAATCGTCTGCCATCAAGGTTGAAACCACACCCGCGTTAGAGAAAAATCACTCGCCGGTGTAGGCTCATGAATATTGAGGTTAATCGTGTTAACGTGACTGGAATTACGGGATTAACGACGCACGTATTCACGTATGTGGAAACAAAACAAGCGGAATATTACTGCCCACGATACCATTTCAGTCTATTCCATCATCGATTAATTTTATTAAAATCACGCGTTAACGTTCTTTCTATTTTATGGTGTGCCAAGGAGGTCCCCATTGGAACGAATAAATAAATAAATTGTCGGAGTATGCATAATTCAGTTAAGAATAATTATACGACACAAAGGAAAGCAAACGTTTCGCAGTAATTGATGCATAGTGTACTGCAAGAAGATATGCAAAATTTCCTATGCAAAAAAAGGTTTTTTAAAAATGTTTCGTCAAAATTAAATTCAATGAATTATATTTTCCACGAAGAAATTAGAACAGTAATCATGTTTAAAATGTTAATTCAAAGAAAGTGGCTCCAATTACTTGTTGTTTCTACTAATCAGCCATCTTAAGTTACGGAACGATATTTACCTGCGTCGTTCCTCGTTATCGTTCTAGAATTTCTGTAAACGATCGCCGGCGGTGCGTGTGTTTCACATTATTAATCACTATACAAAAGAACCAGGTTTTATTTGCATGCACAATGCCATAATTACTTCCGGAGAATCTTGGTACACTTTGAATCACGAGCGTTACACAACCTGTTGCGCTATATCGTTCAAACAATGCCTTATTCCGGTACAAGCCAGAAACATTGCGTTGCGCAGCCGATTGCGCATTTTAACCGGAAATTGTGAATGGACCATTCCACGCCAACCGAAGATAAGGATTTCCCCGTGTAGGCGATAATTGTCCTGCATTTATTAAACAGGCTCGGTACTGGCAAACCTGCTTCTGAAATGTTATTCGAAACAACTAAACAGATGGTACAAATACAAAAAGAAAATGTGGAAAACTTAATAATATAGCTAGTCGATTTTCTCTGATAAATAGAATCCCAAGAAGAACAGATGCTATCTTGAAAGCAAAAGGCAGTTATACGAAATGCTATCTACGAACCAAATCAAGTCACGCAATTGTTTTTCTATTATTTCGATTGTTAACAGCCTCGTGTTAACGAATGCATGAATCACTTTGCATCGAAACTGACTGATTTTCTTCTCCAGAAAATGGCGAACGAGTGGTAATACGTCAGTGCTCTACTCCGAACGTCGACGAAGCTGACATCACCGACGGTTCCTGCAGCGCAATGGCGATTTCCGGTCGCAGCATGATCGAGTCCTGCCACATCTGCAGCACCGATCTCTGCAACTCGGCGACGAGTGCATCGATCGTGCAGTCTCTTTACATCGCCGCTCTGGCCATCGTCGGTTTCCGTTTCTTCCAACCAAAGTACAACGTTCTTTAATGTCGCGAGTTCCCGTCGCGCGAATAAAAAAAAATCGTGTTCAAAAGGGGCGTGATTTCGAAAGCAGTAAAGGCAAACTGGTCGTTTAGAATCGTCGCGGGTCGAAATCTGTATCACGGAAGTCTCTTTCGCGCCAGTTTTGCGGTGGTTATCGGTTAATAAAGATTGTTACTCCGGCGACGTTATGTTAATAATCGTTTTACAGGGTCGGGACGAACTCGTTAGTGTTTTATAGTTAGGTACCTTGTAAGTTGCGTACTAAGTAGAATCCATTCGAGGCGCGTTTCCTTAGTTACGCTAACGCGTTAAAAGCTTTACTTAATTTAATCCTCCAGACACTTTCGCGAAAAAATTATTCGATACGAGGTGTTTACTTTTGTACCATATTATATATGTATATAGATTTGATACGTGATGACGTGGTTGTACAATAAAGGGAAACTGTTAATTCGGATTGCCTCGTAGTTACGGTAGCCGTGATTCTTTGGCGAACGTCACGTCACGATTCGTTTAATTCTTGGTCGATCAATTGATACGCGTTTAATACCGCACGCTGTTGTAGATAGTAACCCCTTTCCCTCGATTTCGACGCTCTTTTTTATCTGACTGATGGGATCTCTCGGTACTGTACTGTTTCATCAACGTGCAAATTTCGTACAATTTTTAATTCGAACGAAATAAGAAATGCACAATATTTCATTAAAGTAATGAAAGATAAATTACAAACTGTACCATCTAGTCTAAGAATATTTTTAAAATAGAGCCACGAACGAAATTACACATCACGAATTATTGGTGAGGACTAGAATTCTCAAAAATTTTTTTTAAATTTGTTTTAAAAAAATTAGGGGACTGTACTGAGATTTCCCTCGTTCTCTCTTTCTCTTTTTTCTACATTATCTCTTATATTGCGAAATTACTTTAAAAGGCAAAAATAAACGGAAAGTATAGCTTATCAGATATCCGTCCAACGCTTAGGTTAACGTGAAATTTTCTCTAACGATGCTTCGCGGCCAGCGAATGTCTGCGTTTCGTTTCAGTAGCATTTCGTTATAATTGTTTGAAATTCTATTGATCTTTAATGTAGATTAGATTCCTCTCTGCGAACAGTCAATCGCTTCGTTGCTATGTTTTTCTCCCTTAGAATAAAGCACAATCGTCGCGATATGTACTTTGTAAAATTTATTAAATTTATTGTATATCCGAATCGAAACATTTCTTGTCCCCTTTGCGTGTGTCTTTATTTTATTTCCACCTTAGCAAACATTTCCATTCGATTACTTACTTAAAATGTAACAAGATGAATTATAGTTTTATTCGTTGGAATATTATTATTTCTCTTGAAAAATTTTGCAGCTTTTAACGAGCGTGTTTAATTATCATATTTTCTTATTTAAATTGGTTTTCTTCCCATTACGCGTCGACAAAAATGGAAACTTTATTGTGATCCGTTGTGGCAAGGTCAGAACGTTCAAAGATGGCGGTCTCGCGGTTCTTTGTAGCATCAGAATCTCTGCAGAGGTTGCCAGACACGCGGAAGTGCATTCCATTCGATTGCACGCGTGTCTACTTAAATTAAGAAAGAAACAAAAACGACGAGCAAATACAAAGGACGAAATTCGAAGGTTGCGGCGCCGGAGGAGCCTTTTTTCGCCCGTAATTAAATTATGCCACTGAAAGATACCGCCAGACGAGATTTTCCAGTTTCTGACATTGGGATCGTTCGACGCCTCGTTTCACGAAGATTTATACGGTTGTTAAAAATATTTTCGAGGGCGACGAACAAACCGGGGAACTGGAAACAACGTCCTTGGATGGAATTCAGAATTTTTGGGAAAGGTTCGTTTCTCTATTAAGATAAACTAATGATCGATAGTGTGTACTATTGTCGTGGATATTTAGGACAGAAACAAGCAAAATTTTATTCGAATAATTTTATGAACTAACAATATAAAAGAAATATTTATATCAAGGACATGCTAAATAAATGGTAAAAATCTAGAACGGATCGATCGATGATGACTTTTCAACGTCCATCAACGTTTTCTCGATCGTTGTAGCCACTTTAAAGTATAGTCGTAGGATCGATCGGTAAAATTGACTGATAATAGAGGAAAAGTGTAATAATATGACGGCACTGCGACGGATTAGAAAAGCCCTGGAGAGCAACAAACAGTATTTGGGTGAAATTCGATTCCCTTTTTCACGCGCGCACCACTCGAACGGAAATACGAAACTGATCCCCGCGATCCGACGGAAGTTACGTTCGTGCGCGGCACTGCCATCCCCACGGCTACTGCAATTGAATTTCAAATGCAACGATAGAGTCCTAGAAAACACTCGAGCTCCAGAGAAATCATTTCAATTTCGACTACTCGACGTGGAAAATTTGTTGGCGATCGGATCGCATCTGCAGACGCAGCAAGAGGGAAACAGGAACCAGTCCATGAAGATTCCTTTGCAGTCGTTATCGGGGTCGTACGCGAGTAATCTGTGCCATTTGTACTTCTGCTCGCAGCCGCAATCCCCGCTGCAACGGTTCGTTTGCGTTTTTCTGAAACAGAAACGTCACTTTCTGGAGCCTGCGTGTTGTTGTTTCAATTTTTTACACCCAACTCAAGCACAAACATACGTAATACCGTTACAATGTGTTGAAAAATGGACGTACAGGGTGTTCAACATTTACGATAACAGATTTTAGTTTTCTTCCAATTGAATTTTGTAATTCTTCCGTCGGGAAGATGAAAGAAGCAATGTTAGAAGAGAAAACTGCCATGTTTACCACCATTTGAACTCGCAGAAGCTGTTAGCGGGTAAAATAAGGGGAAATAAGTTCGAGAAAAGTTAATTCGACGACATTGGGACTGGTCTTCGAAAGCATTGCGTTGGTCGTAAAAGGGTTGATGCACGTCTGAAGTTTTGTTTGTCCGCGGAGCGATATTCCGAGGTATACTTACGAGCAAACTTCTCGGTGAATGGCCTGTTCAAAGTGCTGCGTATTTACGATGGCACGAATTTTCCCGGCGCTATTGCTGGCCCAGTATGGCGTCACGATTTCCACTTTGGACTCGCACGCGTCCACTCTGAAAAAAACGTTCAACGCTCGATGTTTCGAGATGGAACTTTTCGTGGTGGTACAACTATCATTTTCTCGGGGTGAAAAGCCAACCGAAAATGGGATGATTCTTCGTCGAGAAAATGAACGAATAATTTTGGAAACTTGTTCAGATAAATTGAAGTCTAGAAATGGTCTACGTTAGCTCTGGGTTACGTTTCGTTGGATTTCCAGACTCGAAAGTGCTTTCGTGTGTCTTCGTCGAGTACGACCAGAAAATGGAAGGAAAGTTTTTAAAAAAGTTTTATCATTTGTGTAATCGCGTACCTTCCGCTCTCGTTGTTTCGATTCTTTCCGGGAGACTGTCTAGGATTCCTGGTCTTCCTGACATTACCAAAAAATGAGTCGCCATTAACCTCGATATCCGGATCCAATTCGTCCCGAAAACTAGGACCGCCATCTGGAACGTCGTGTTTCCTAGCTTCCCTGCTTTTTCTTCTTCTGCGCGTTCGATGGCCGGGTTCTCTGGTCGGTGAACCGTATCCCGAGCTCATCTCAAAGTCACCGTACATTCTCTTCATTAACGCTTTATTTTCGTCGATAAAACGTTCTATCCGCTCTCTAAAACCATTTTATTACGTCGATTTTACTACACGCCAGCCGTTCCACGGTCGTTCGCGATGAAAATCGTCCACCGTTTCTCGGTTTAACCATTAATATTAGAAGAACACGCGACGTGCAGAGTGCACCAGTCGAAACTAAACTTTTGGACAAATGTTAAATGGCTTCCAGGGGGGTTCAAATAAGTGTAAAAATATATTGTCCATTAAAACATTGGAACGTAACGTTGGAAAAAATGTATTGCTTGTTATTATACTTAGAATAATTACATTGGGTATGCATTTCCGGCTGTTGGACAGAAGAGCTGATGATATTTTTTAATGCATGGTACACCGCGTATTAAGTCTCCTTTCACTTCAACGCCCAGAGCAACGGAAAGAGCGGTCCAAAGAATCTGCAATGAATAGAAAACATAATTTAACAATTCAATAATTCAAATAAAATTATCAAAATAATCAATAAATGTATTCACAGGTTATACTAGCCACCTCTGTACCTAATGTATACTTATTTTAATTCTATACATTTGTTTTCATCTTTTGATTTCCTGAAACTCAATGGTCGTTAAATGGAACTCAAATTTTTAGAATTTATTTAAAAGCGTATACTGATACATTTTCTATACAAATCACTTCGTAACGATTCAATATATAGAAATACATATTTCATAAGCAATAATCATAGAAATCTCAAAAAAGAAAGAAAAGGTTATGGACAAAAATTCTGCACAAGTCGGGACCCAAACCCACGTTCCACAGGCGTCTGAAACGACCATCCAGCTAACCCAGACAGGATCGTGGGTAGGACAACTCGAGCTTATGGCTTTCCGCGACATTACTATAAGAAAGAATTTCCTCCTTCTGCGTGCAGTCTGTTATTGTTTATTTCAGAAGTCTTTCGGCGCAAAATTCTTAAAAATTCCGAAGCAACCAGAAAATACAGTGACTCGCGAATCGGTTACACTTTATACTCAATTTACTGCACAGAGACACATTTGCGAATTTAAATGTTTGCAAATATTAAAAGTCAAAATTTTACATCGAAAGAATTGATTAGACATTTTTGTTTTCGATCACTCTACGTTGCAGAAGCGATCGAATTTCGCATACCTGTCCTTCAGAGTAGCGCTACGGTCTCGATCGGGAAATGTTTGAAAGTTCAGAGATAGACCGGTAACAAAAGTTACGATATCTTAGTGGAAAATCACGGGACTGTGAAAACGCGAGGCACGCAGGGAAGGTTCCTCGATAAAACGATCCTTGGAGCGGATGAACGATCGATATCGAGCAACCACGCCTCGTCGGAGCCCAAGGCATACGTGACCGTTTCGAACTATATTTGCATTGTACACGCGAGGCGAGCGAATGTGCCAAAGAACGAACGTGCAAGCATACGGAACCTGTACAACCCATCGACGAGAGACGATACCTCGAACCAGGGCCGTAGCAAACAGGGACAAAAGAACGTACAAAGAGACATTCGAGTTTTATGAAACTTGGTACACTGACAGAGCATTGAAAAACATTAAACATGTATTTTTTTGTTGGGTTGATTTTACCTATCGAGTTGCTTTTTCAAAATTTCGTCTACCAATAATGCAAGACAAAGTGATTTTAAATAAATAGAGAAGATACTGTACTGATCGATAAACCAGGAAATGATTAAATTATTACGAAGCGTGTAAATATTTTTATATCTTATTCAACGCGTATTAATTCCATTTATTTCCAATTAGTGGCACGAATTGGAGTGGGACGTCTAATTTGAAAATTGCATCGGGGCGTTGGTAATTCCAACGTTGACCTAGCGAGCATGTGTACCCAATGCAAAGTAAGTTGACGGAGGACACTGTATTCCACTGTTGTCTCTGGCACCAGAACATATAGGCACGGTCCTGCCCTCGGCGAGACATAGGGTTCAATTCCACCTACGCGATATATGAACGATAAGAGGCCCACGCGCACCTATTATTTCGGAAATTATTACTTTACAATTTATGTTTATGTTTATTGGCAATTTCATTCGAAACAGCTATGCAATTCAAGATGAAGTAAAAAATTACAGAGAATTAACAGAGAAGTTTCCTACCATGTGTGTCACGAATACAGGAAACGTGTTTGAAACACCAGTTTGTTCAAGATAAATAAAAAATTAATTTGGAAGATGGGAACAAATAACTCGGTACGATCGACAGTTATAAAAATAGCAAACGATCTGTATTTTTTAAAGAAATTCGACCTCAACAAAATAATAACTTAAACCCCTTCTAATATCGTGTGGACCACTTTGTGCTTTGATTTCGTTAAAATCAATCGATTCGAATCTGATCGATTCGATGCAGAATGGAAGTCTTCACAATCAAACTTTGCTCCACATTTTCGATTCATTTTTGAAGAACGAATTATTTCGTGTACCATGGATTACAGGACACCGTGTATACGATGGGGTTTAGCAACGTTCCCTGGACACCTACGATCGACCGCAAGGACGTTTCCAACGAGGAAACAATCGTTTCGTAGGAAGACTGACACGGCGGTTAACGCTGAACTCAAAAGGAGTAATCGGAATGTGTACGAATGAAAACAACAAACGCGTATCGTAGGATTGTAATTTTTTAATATTTTCTTTCCTCTATTAATAGTCAATTGCTTCGTTTTAAAGAGATGAGTCACGAAATTGATCAGATACTTCTCTTTATTATCTATATTATACTTAAAATGATTTTAAAATTACTGGTTCAGTATTTTAAATTAATAATTAGTTTTAAAATTATTTCTTTATCACGAACTGTTCAATTATACCTGTTTCAACGACGAGCGCATAATTTAAATAGTTTTGATGATAGAACTGTGGATGGAAGAGCGATTTTCATTATTGCAAACTGCCGCAGAGGTCATCGCACAACGTTCGCGGTCAACGTCGGGAACATTCACGTAATTGCGGAATTGCCTATAACCGGAAGTCGGCACCGTTAACGACCGTCGTCCTACACGCGTGTCTCCGTGGCAGCAGACGGTAGGCGTCATTCACCGACTCGACTGAGTCGTATACGCGAGAAAAGTAATGAGCATTGCCCGCCAGAAATGAATCATGCTGCGTGTCCACGCGAGTCAATCGCAATTTCTCGTACGAATTGAATACAAAGATCAACTTGCATGTCACGGGCTTATAACTGAAATAGAGCAACGCTCCCAGTTGCAAATTGTTCCACTCGCGGTACCTAAATTCATTTTTCTTCGTCGAATTTTTACAGTGGACCAAGCTTGTATAGAAACGTCATAATTTACTGTAAAAAAATTCATTCGTTTTATGCATTTTCAGAAACTTCGTTACTATTAGTCAATTTCATCAATTTACTCATGGTATCTCATTTCATTTTTCTTTGTCGAATTTTTATAGTGGATGAATTTCTATAGGGACACCATGATTTACCAAAAAAATTCATTCGTTTTATGCATTTTCAGAAACTTCGTTACTATTAGTCAATTTCATCAATTTACTCATGGTATCTCATTTCATTTTTCTTCGTCGAATTTTTACAGTGGACCAAGCTTGTATAGAAACGTCATAATTTACTGTAAAAAAATTCATTCGTTTTATGCATGTTCAGAAACTTCGTTACTATTAGTCAATTTCATCAATTTACTCATGGTATCTCATTTCATTTTTCTTTGTCGAATTTTTATAGTGGATGAATTTCTATAGGGACACCATGATTTACCAAAAAACTTCATTCGTTCCATACATTTTCAGAAACCTCGTTACTATTAATCAATTTTATCAATTACTCATGGTGTCTCAATTCATTTTTCTTTGTCGAATTTTTATAGTGGATGAATTTCTATAGGGACACCATGATTTACCAAAAAACTTCATTCGTTCCATACATTTTCAGAAACCTCGTTACTATTAATCAATTTTATCAATTTACTCATGGTGTCTCAATTCATTTTTCTTTGTCGAATTTTTATAGTGGATGAATTTCTATAGGGACACCATGATTTACCAAAGAACTTCATTCGTTCCATACATTTTCAGAAACTTCGTTACTATTAATCAATTTCATCAATTTACTCATGGTATCTCATTTCATTTTTCTTTGTCGAATTTTTATAGTGGATGAATTTGTATAGGGACACCATGATTTACCAAAAAACTTCATTTGTTCCATACATTTTCAGAAACTTCGTCAATATTAATCAATTTTATCAATTTACTCATGGTATCTTAATTCACTTTTGTTCGTCGAATTTTTATAGTGGATGAATTTGTATAGGGATGTCATGATTTACCAAAAAACTTTATTCGTTCCATACATTTTCAGGAACTTCGTTACTATTAATCAATTTCATCAATTTACTCATGGTATCTCATTTCATTTTTCTTTGTCGAATTTTTATAGTGGATGAATTTCTATAGGGACACCATGATTTACCAAAGAACTTCATTCGTTCCATACATTTTCAGAAACTTCGTTACTATTAATCAATTTCATCAATTTACTCATGGTATCTTAATTCACTTTTGTTCGTCGAATTTTTATAGTGGATGAATTTGTATAGGGATGTCATGATTTACCAAAAAACTTTATTCGTTCCATACATTTTCAGGAACTTCGTTACTATTAATCAATTTCATCAATTTACTCATGGTATCTCATTTCATTTTTCTTTGTCGAATTTTTATAGTGGATGAATTTCTATAGGGACACCATGATTTACCAAAAAACTTCATTCGTTCCATACATTTTCAGAAACTTCGTTACTATTAATCAATTTCATCAATTTACTCATGGTATCTCATTTCATTTTTCTTTGTCGAATTTTTATAGTGGATGAATTTCTATAGGGACACCATGATTTACCAAAAAACTTCATTCGTTCCATACATTTTCAGAAACTTCGTTACTATTAATCAATTTCATCAATTTACTCATGGTATCTCATTTCATTTTTCTTTGTCGAATTTTTATAGTGGATGAATTTGTATAGGGACACCATGATTTACCAAAAAACTTCATTTGTTCCATACATTTTCAGAAACTTCGTCAATATTAATCAATTTTATCAATTTACTCATGGTATCTTAATTCACTTTTGTTCGTCGAATTTTTATAGTGGATGAATTTGTATAGGGATGTCATGATTTACCAAAAAACTTTATTCGTTCCATACATTTTCAGAAATTTCGTCAATATTAATTCCTTTTTTTTCGTCCAATTTTTATAGTGGATGAATTTGTATAGGGATACCATGATTTACCAAAAAACTTCATTCGTTCCATACATTTTCAGAAACTTCGTTAAAATTAATTAATTTTTCGTCGTCGACAAGCAGTAAATTTCCAGCGTTGGAACTGAAGTCTACAGAGACGAATAGACTTTTTTCGACGAAT